CTTGGATATTGAAGGTGCATTTAATTGCACCACAACCGACTCTATCAGACAGGCCTTGGTTAGACACGGGGTTGGATCAATCCTAATAGATTGGGTCCTCTCTACTCTGGAGGGTCAGGTAACAACAGCTATGCTGAATAACGTAATCTGCAGCGTGAATGTAGCTAGAGGCTGCCCTCAGGGCGGAGTTCTGTCACCCCTACTGTGGTGTATCGTGGTGAACGAACTCCTCGTTAGGCTCAGCAGTATGAGTGTCTATGCGCAAGCCTATGCTGGTGACGTATGCATAGTAGTTAGGGGGCGTTTCTGTAGAACAGTCTCGGAAATTATGCAGGGCGTTCTGCGCTCCGTGGAATCGTGGTGTAGGGAAGTCGATCTTTCTGTTAATGCTGAAAAGACCGAGCTGATCCTATTCACTAGGAGAAGAAGGCTTGACGGGCTGGTCATGCCGACCTTCTTTGGGACTAGATTAGTTTTGTCCCAGTCGGTGAAATATCTGGGAATTATCCTGGATTGCAAACTGAACTGGAGAGAGCATGTGGAATACAAGGTTAGCAAGGCTCGCAATTCGATGTGGGCTTGTAGACGTGTTGTCGGGGTAAGGTGGGGGCTTAAACCCAAAGTGGTATACTGGCTCTACACGACGATAGTACGTCCATCTCTCTTGTACGGCTCCCTGGTCTGGTGGCCTTGCATTATAACTGAGACAACTAAGGTCAAACTCAATAAAATTCAGCGTTTGGCCTGTATTAGTATTACAAGCGCAGTGCGAACAACGCCATTGAGTGCAATGGAAGTTCTGTGGGATCTCCCACCGTTGGATCTGGTGATCCGCGGGAAAGCGAGTAGTCGCTCATCGACTGTGGAGTCAGGGCAGCTGGGCTTTCTTGAATCCTGTCAAGGGACATACTGCCATCTTAGTCGAATTAGAAAGGGAGGACCCCGTCCTTCTAAGCAGGGGTGATCGTATTACCCCTAAATATCGCTCCAACCGCAAGTTTATTGTGGAGATTCCAACGAGGGGGGAGTCGGACGCCGGTAGCCGGGGACTCTCCGAAGTGAGCGGGCAGGTCTGGTACACGGACGGCTCGGTCACCGAAGAGGGCTCAGGTGCTGGGGTCTCTGGATACACCACCATTTTCCAGGTGGAAATCTTTGCGATTCTGGCTTGTGTATCTCACATTCTGGAGGAGGGTGGGCCTAGGAGAAGAATAACAATCTTATCCGACAGCCAGGCTGCAATGAAAGCACTAAGTGCCTGTAAGATTACTTCGAGTCTTGTATTGCCTCTCAGCGAGGCATCCGGTATCGTTAATATGGGTACCGGGGCACGCTGGGATAAGGGGCAATGAGACGGCGGACACTCTGGCGAAAACAGGATCAGCCAGCAAGCTCGTTGGTCCTGAGCCAGCTCTAGGAGTGACCGCGCATAAAGCTAGGAGGAAAATGGAGACGTGGGTTGTAAGACAACACTCTCAGAAATGGAGAAGTATCTCTAGACATCTCCGCCAGGCACGAGAGCTCATTGAAGGGCCCAGTGCTAAGGATGGACGCTTCTGCCTATCTCTGGGTAGAGCCAACCTAAGGTTGCTGGTGGGACTGTTGTCTGGCCATAACTCGTTAAGGCGTCACCTGCACGTGATGGGGGTGGCTGAGGATCCCTTGTGCGAACGCTGCGGAGTAGAGGAAGAGACCTCGGCGCACGTTTTGTGTCGCTGTGAAACTCTGAGCTACTATAGGCAGACTATACTGGGGTCCATTACTTTGGACCCTCAGGACGTCAAGGAGCTTGGACACAAGGTGATTCTCAACTTCGCTGAAAGGGCGAGGCTTGTGATTTAAGGATTTTAGAGGTGCATAAGGGCCCGCTTAAGCGGCCTATGCAGTGGCTCCTTATGGTGGCCGGGATGCCTCTAATTTTAAGTTTCATTCATTCATATGAATTTCTTACGTTACAGTAAGTTAATTGTTATATGAACCAGGTATATTGCTGTTTAAAAAGTACCATCATCCTTATCCGGATTACGAAAGAAATATCTTCGACTACATCGTTTTGGCCCAGATGATGGTCTGAAAACAACCGTCGACGACTGTTTTGTCAAGAGGAAACATTTTTTTATAAGTGAATAAACTCACTAGAGGAGAAATGGCACAAGTGCATTGATGTATCCAAAATCGATAGGATCATTATTGGAAAAAAAGTGGTTCATATTATTGAAGAATATTATTTTTCGGCCATTAAAAAAACGACAATATTGCATTAGGGTTAGTCCATACCGCATTAGGGTTAGTCCATACCTGGCGACCAAAATCAGCTAAGTAATTAGTTTTCCATTGACACGATTGTCAAAGGTCTCTGCTATCGTTACGTTGGATTAAACAGTGTTGTTGGAAAGTTCTTTAAACCGATTTCCAGGGGTGTTCTTTAAAGGTCTGTCCCACAAAACGAAGCGGTATTTCGAAAATCGTCAGTAGACAAAATGGTCATAGAATAGTGCAAAAATCCTTCCTCTTGGATCCGTGTTCCATTATTTTGGATACAGCCTTTATAATTGTGCTCACTTGACAAACATAAGTAGAATATTGACAAACATGGAAGGCGACAAACTTTATTAGGGTTACCACAGCACCACATTATACAGATGCTATATCATAGCTACTCCATTAATTGAGTATTGAGAGTTATTTTTTAAATGCCTGTGTTCTGTCATACATTTTTTATCTGGGCAATATTGCCTATAAGTTACTTTCTCCCTTACTTCTCTCAAAGTTCGAGTTTTACTAAAATTCATTGGTTGAATCTGTTTTAGATTGGATATGGTTGAATTTCTACTGACCTCAGATGAACTGGTCATAGACAATCAGAACTTCATAGGAGAAACAGCTTTACATAAAGCTTGTAGTCTAGGACAGAGAGAAATAGCCCAGAAGCTAATTGAAAAAGGAGCAAATGTGAATGTGTCTGATACTTATGGCCAAACTCCTCTACATTGTACTGTGAACAATCCTAAATTAGGGCATCTGTTAATAGAGAATGGAGCAAATCCCAATGCGGCTGATTCTGTTGGAAACATGCCATTGCATTATGCCATACTTGGTCGATGTATTGAAACAGTTTGCATGTTGTTATATCATAATGCCGAGCCAAATGTTCCTGGAGATCACAATTTTACACCGTTTTTACTGGCAATTGTATTAAATAATGACGAATTACGAAATATCTTGGTTGATTTTCTCGATGAAGTAGATGCTATGGAAGCTTTTTATACATCTATGTTCTCAAATAGTGATGATGTTGTTGCGTTAACACACACTATCATGTCGTATGATGTTCTTATGTTTGATATTACAAGAAAAACTAAATTAAGTTACTTCATACATTGGACAATGACACATGGTGGAAATGAAGACGTAATAATGGAACTTGCTTGTGCCTTTTTGATGTATGGGTATCAGTTAACTGCAGATGATATATTGCTTGTGTATAAATTATTCGGATTTAATGAGTTGATGAAGATATTCTTGTATATGGATTTTGAGGATGTCACAAATAACAACAAATGTACTTTAATGCCATTTCTTTTGTGTTGTTTGGATCAAAACAACCTGTATCGTTTAAATTTGGATCTAACCGAGTTACGCGAACTTGAAGATTATTCTGAACGGCATTTTAGACCCATTATACTACAAATTATGCAATCCCGATATGGTAGGAATGCTACTCTACCAAAAGTACCATCCCTCTTGGATTTAGCGAAACATAAAACTATCAAACATATAATAAAAAAGAAAAAAATTAAGACCGTTTGTCAATATTATACCTATGTTGACCATCTAAATATTGCCCAGATATACAGAAAAATACTGAAACATGAAAGCAGGATATATAATTTCCAAAGGTTTACACTAAGATGTAAAAATTGTCTGAATTAGATACTCTTTTTTTGTTTAGTGATTTTGTAAGAGAAAAATATATCATTAAACACTAAGAAATAGTTGTTTTTATATGTATATAGCTTGAGTATTTGAAAAAATGAATGCTTGACAACTGTGTATCATAGATAGATGTTCTTATAGTCATATGGGCATTCCTATATTTTGTAGTTTACATACCTGATGTCCAATAGTATGAATTGGTTCCATAAAATATTTATGAATGAACCTGTTCTCAAAGTTGATACATTTTTAAAATTTTTTTGGGTATTATAATCCCATGGATTTGGCGGACCCTTGAATATACTGCAGTTGCCCACTGACTCGATGTTCTCATCTTTCCTTTTATTTTTTAAATGCTCATTCTCATTATTTTTGGAAGCTTCATAATGCAGTGAGTCCTCCCTATAGTCTGGTACCAAAACGGAGGGGAGCAGCATCATCCATCGCATACCACAGCGAATTTAAAGTGTCTAAATAGGGAGGGTCCGCGCGCACCGACTGCCGATACCAAGGCATTAACAGTGGAGTACGAAGTCTTAAGAAACGCTGCTTAAGTATACCCCATTTACATATTAATTTATGGTTTTCAATCGTCTGAAGCGTTGCTTAAGCACAAACACTACATTTTTTTACTCATTTTTCTTTTTAGCATTGTCTAAAATATTGACTGTTATGCATTAGTTCAGTCTTTTGTTTGTGAGTGTCTCTGGACTGGGTAATTTAAGGCATTCTGAGGAGCAGGCATCTCCGTTAATAATATTTCTCACTTATTGATATAACAGATCGAAACAGGAAATGGACAAATATTGAAGTTCTGGTACACTTATACTTTACTTCAGCCATTTTTTTTTTCAAAGGACTGCTATGTAAGCTTTTTGCATATAATCTACCTTTACGTCCTTTCAGTTTACTAAAAATGTATATCAAATATGGGATCGTTTGGCATTTCTCCAGAGAACTCAAGATTTCGGTTGTCTCAAGCACTAGTCCAAAACAACAGTACATGGACTTTGCTCAATAGCAAATTGGCACATATGGTTAGATCCAACCAATTCCGACTATTTCAAATAAGCAAGTCTACGATTTGTTGTCTCGAAAATCTCAGTCTGTAGTCAGGATGAAAGTGCATACTACAAGTGTACTTGACATAAGTTAATTTTTGTTGTTTGTCATTATATTCGTATTTTTACTGTTATTTTTTAGAAGTGTGAGTGTTTGCCGACAGTTGTGGTATTAGACGATTTCAGGACTTCTGTCATAATTTGCAAAGCCTAATTAAGGTGAATTTTTCCAACGGTATTATGTTCATTCGACGTTATCACTTTGGTAGTCAGTAACAGTCAACTGAGTCAAAAGAATGCAGTAAAACTACTCAATTTATCATATAGGCTGGGCTCCTAATCTATTCGAATTCATTGGTTAAATCTGACCATTGCCAACATTGAAGCAACTATAATATTGTATTCAAAGTCAATTTATTACAGGATAATCTACTTCTTTTTCGAAAAAAAAATTACGTCCTTGCTACATTTCAGCTTCAACCGTTTTAACATAAGATACTTGCAAGTTGGTGTTCGCAGTCAACGTTTGATGTAACGAAGGTGCAAGTTCTGTTAGGGGTGACTTTTAGGCGGCACTGAATTGACTTTTTGATCATTTTGCTTTATCAAATATATTTTAATCAATAAAATATTACGTCATCTTCCTCGTCGGACGAAGTAATTTCGCAGCTTTACCTATTAAGTAGTAGAATGCAGTGGTTGCCTTTTGCCGACCCCGAGTGTACCAGCAGTCTACTCCACATGTTAGTTCAGTAATCTGTCGAACGTTCCTGATCTTTCATAAATGTCAGGATGTCCGACAATTCCACTGAGTAACCATAATACCTGAATCATGACCTAATAAAAATAATAAAAATGGTAGACTGTAATACATGCCTTCTGCTAAGTATCTGTGCCCTGACTTGTAAAACGTGTAAAGCTTAGAGCTAAACATCAGATGTGCATGAGGTTGATTCGGTTTAGAGGTCGAAGCCATATCGTAAAATTGACCATTTCGTGACATAGTCGCATTTCGAGAAATGTATCATTATTGGCCAGATCATAATGTGCGGTGCGTTGACCAGATCATTGATGACAAATCGTTTAACGATATGATGATCTAGACGCGCGGCTACTTCATGAAATGGCCAAGCATGTTTGGTCAAATCATAGAATATTTACATTAATTACCGATCGAGGCGCTGGCGACGCTTGGGTTTTGAACTGAAGATTCTAATAATTCGTTACCAAATGAAGAAAAAATGATTAGAATATTTTGCCACTAAAAGGTACTCGATTGCTATACGTGCCACGCAAATACAGATTAAAACATCAAAAAGCCGTTGAGCTCGAAACTTGTTAGTACTTCACTCTAAACTTACATTATCATTCACTTATTTGAAGTCAAAATCGTGTGCCACTCAAAATATTGTATTTGTATGAAAATCTAATCTCTTTATTTCATTGTTAGGTTATACGTCAAATAAAGGAGCGTAGGGTGAACACGCTAGGTAATAACTTAATATCTGATAAAAAAATGTTTGTTATACATGTTGAACGATAAATCAGTTCGTAACATATTTTTGGATTTTTATTAAGTATTCTATGGACACCCTATTTTACGATATGGTCAATCGTGGATGACCAAATCGTGAAACGTTAACAATTTAACGATATGGTCATTTCTACGATAGGGCCTCGACATAGTTATTCGAGATTTCCCAGAGAACTTCAGATGGTAAATGGATATTTGGTTGGCCATCTAAGGGTGTGTAAGGAGGTTGTTGGAAACTCATATTGTAGTACGAGAGTTCTCTCAAAAATGAGGTTCACAAATTTTTTTCGGCACAAGCTATTTTTATTTGAAAAAAACGAATTTATCATTGGAAACGTTGACGACGCATATTTTTAGACGAGATATCCACTTTTGCACTCCCTCGTCCATCTCGTTAACCGTCTAGGTGTTCCTTCAATTTCGGAAACGCTATGTCAGGGTTGTAAGGGGGATGGGCAAAGACTTCCCACCCAAATCGCTCGATTCTGTCCTTTGCTTGTTGTGAGACGCACGTTGTCGTGGTGCGGTCTTACGCTTTGGAGAGTTTACCTCTACGTCGATTTTGGTTTGCCCTTATCAGCTTTTTCGGAAGCTCCAGGAATGTCAACCACCTGTTCCCGGATCGTTATTCGCCGATCTTAGAGCAATATTTGCTCAATCTTCCTCCCGCTTCGTTGTTCATGGTGGGTGTCCATGCTGCCATCTAAGCACTCTTTTCACCATTTGAATACATTCTTCACTCAACTGGCGATTAATTTCTACGGATGGTAACGTTTTTGCGTGCAAAAATCGGATGACCGCACGAATTTCCCACCTGGCGGTGATGGCGATGAAGGGCTGCATCGCGCATTGCTCCCAGTCCTGTACTGAGCGTCACCAATAGGCGCTTCTTGTTGGGATCGATGGTGGGGGAACCGACAAACACGACGGTGATGTCAGATTTTGCCTAGCATCACGCGCGGCACGGTTACAGCGTTGGGAACCATACTTATGAAACAACCCTCGCAATTGTGAGTTTCGAATACAGATAAAAAAAGTCAGTAGATGTCTTGTGCACGTGAGTATAGGTTGTGTCAGCGAATATCTGTAGCCGACGATAAGCAAAATCAATAGGGCAACGTGCATATTACTTTATTAGAATTGCTCCTACCTTGAATTTTCTATTTTACGGGCTACAGCAAACTGATTGATGGATTTTGACATTTTAGGTGTCCTTAGACTCGTCTTGATAGCACAATTAAAAATTCATTCATTTTTGAATTCTTTTAAAATGTGCTGGTATAAACACTTTTTTAAATATCGCTTTAATTGATTTTCCTTATAAAGATGAATTTGATTCCAGAATAACTAACTCCACATATTAGGCAATGGGTGATCAGCGTTACTACCCAAACTACAACTATCCCCCGGCAGAAGTACCACCTTATCCGCCTCCACAAACTCCACATCAGTACAACCAATGGCCATCTCATCCCCCCACCAGCTACTTACCACCCTATCCCCCACCATCTAATCCTTATTCCCACCCCCCTCCTCAAATACCTCCTGCGTATAACGTTTCTTCTCCGGATATGAGGGTGGATCCACAGTATGGATACAATAATTATGCCAACTACTCAACGTATCCAGCCAACTATAACCAGAGCTGTGCAGCTGGAACAACTAAAGACTACACCACGGAATTGGAGACGTATAAATATATGAAGTCGAGATTCGGAAATGGGCCGACAAATAGGAATGATGGTAAGCAGTAATCTGTGGATATCTAACTTACTACTACGAGGGATGTCTTTTAAGTTTTTCATATGGAGATAAAACAACACGGTGGGTAGTTTTAAATGACTTTATTGTTTTTCGAAGTATTCTCCACGAAGATTAATACACATCTGCATGCGCTCGAACCAATTTTAGAATCACTTATTCCACTCGTTTGCTGGCAGATCCGAAACGACATTTTTGAATGCGTCAACTGCTTCTTCTGGTGACTGGAACCTTTGACCACGTAGTCTGTTTTTAATTTTCGGGAAAGTAAAGAAATCGTTAGGACTTAAATCGGGACTATATGGAGGATGGTCCAATAATTCTACGTTTTCTTCCGTTAAATACTGCCTTGTTTTTTTGGGTTGTGTGCGAGCTTGCATTGTCTTGGTGGAAGATGATTCTTCTTTCGAGGTTGATTTTTCGAAGCTCGGTGATGACTTTTGGCAAACAAATGGTGGTATATAAATCCGCAGTAAGTGTTATTTGCTCATTAAGAGGAATTGTTGCAATATGACCCGCTTTTGACACAAATGTCGCGACCATCTTTCTCGAAACACTTCGAGAACGGATGACTGTTGTTGGCTTTTCTTCACCTTGGAACACGCAAACAGACGACTATCGTGTATTTTATTGTTCATAACAGTAAATCCACGATTCATCACCACTAACAATGTTGTACACATTTTTTGAGTTTCCTTAATTGAAACGGTCAAGCGTTTTTTGACCCCAATTAGCCCTGGCTACTTTCTGCTCTTCAGTCAACAGGTGGGGTATCCAACGAGAAACTAATTTTCTTACTCCTAATTCTTCATGTAAAATTTTTTGAATTGAGGTCTTTGAGATCTGCAAGGACGCCTCAATCTCGCGATATGTCACATGTCTATCTTTAATGATGAGTTTCCGCACAGCATCGACGTTTTCCTGGGTGTCCGCCGATTTTGATGCACCCACCCTGGGATCGTCGCTAAGACTCACCCGTCCACGTTTGAATTCTCCATACCAACGGGAAATTGTCGACTGATGTGGCGCTTCGTTTCCGAAAACAGACAGTAACTCAGCAAGGCATTCTTGTTGGGATAATTGTCTCTGAAAAATGTTCTCGGTTGAGTTCCATTTTTCTAATGACTTGTTGACACTTAAAAATTCACTTTAGTGAGAACACTGCACGTATTGTTGTGAAACTTTGAATTTAAGTTTACTAAAGAGTGAGGTTAAGATTCAGTACTGACGTGCGATCCGCACGGCCTACTATGTTTCTATATGCAAAACTTAAAAGACATCCCTCGTAGAACCAAAATTAAAAAAATGTGTCAACCTGTTTGGCTAGTACCTAAAAAGCTATTTATGTAGGAGTCGTAGGCATTTTGCGCTTATATACACCATTCATAGATACTTTGGGTAACTTAATCACTTTGACAAAAAGTTTGCTATTCTATTTGCAAAAGTATCCCATAGTTCTAGAAGTAGCGATTCAAAACTCATGCTATATCATACCAAACTTGTTCCTTGGAAGCAGCCTTTTAAACTAGTAAAATACGATATACATGGTTTTCCGTTTAAAAAAAAGTATGTTTTGCCATGTAGTTGTTGTAACGAACCCTATTAGATATCTTTTGAAATAACGGAGCTATCGACCGATTACACACTAAAAGCTCATATGTCAAGATTCCTTAGAACCCCATGAAAGACGTCTCAATTTTTTGATCTAGGGTATGTGCATTTTGACACACGCACGCGATATTTCTGTGAGTCCAGATTTTTTCAAACTTCGGCCAAAATTCACCTTTTTGGCCGACTGTGGCTGAAACAGAGACCGAAGCTTCGGTATGACCCTAATATTTTACTATAATAATCTTATTGGCACACTCCAATTTTTTTCTTGAATCCCAATAATGAAAAAATGTTTGTTACTATATTTGATTTTTGATGGCATTAGAGCAAATTAAACATAATATAAGAATAATAATGGGAATTATGGAATTCAAGGGTTGAAAAAGTATTGGCTCACAGCTAGTACTTCGTTATCATCATTTGCAACAATTATGGCCTGAAGCTATCACATGTCTGCATCAGAACATCTTTAGCTGTTGTTTCGAAGAAATTTTATTATTCCGGGCCTTCAGGTTCAGCAAGTACCGAAAAGGTTTAGTGGGATTAATATTCGGGAATTTCGGAATTATGCAACAATGTAAAGTAACCATTCCTTTATTTTAGTGCCGGTCTGCTTAGGATCATTACCCTGCTGAAAGATAAATGTTTTCCTGGTCCCCATTTTTTCAGCACTGCTTTTCAACGTATTGCACAAAATGTCAACATACGTCTGCATTCATAATGGCTTCGATGAAGCTTAGTTTTCCAACACCATTTCAGGACTTGCAGCCTCAGACTGAAACATCCCGCCATGTTTGACTATTGGGGTGACATGTCTCATTACAAATTAAGTTTAGACTCTGATGGTCACAAATATGTATGGAGAAAGCTTAACACTTAACCTGAAAATGAGACATGTCAGCCCGACAGTGAAACATGATGGCGAAAGCATTTTAGTCTGGGGCTGCATATTGTAGAATGCTAAGCTTCATGGAAAGCATTATGAATGCATAGAAGTATATTATCATTTTGCGCAATATCTTGAACAGCAGTACTGAAAAAATGGGGATCAGGGATACATTTATCTTTCAGCAGGATAACCATCCTAAGCAGACCGCTACTGAAACAAGGGAATGGTGACTACAATATTCCTGCACTGCTCAAAACTACGCAATCCCTAAAAATCAATCCCATTAAACATTTGTCGTACTCGCTGAACCTGAGGGCTCCAAAAAGTGAATTTTCTGCCAGACGACAGCTACAAGATGTTCTTATGGAGGAGTGGGACCAAATTGAACCAGAAATAACTAAATGAATTTTGTTAACACTTATTTACTTGTTTTTTAGTGTGCCGATATTTTTTATTTTCAAAAAATTCATATTTTCGATATTTGAATTCAAGAAAAAAGTAGGGTTTGACAATACTGTCCTGTCTCATTGTATGTTATCTGTGTTCTTAGTAACTCATAGATCGACGACACCTTTAGAGCAACCAAGAAGAAGATCCAGATCTAGGAGTTCTGATCGGCGTACTAGAAGCGACAATAGGAGGGACAGGAAAGACTACAGGGATCGGTCTGGAAGCAGGCGTTCCAGAAGAAGCAGGTCTAGATCTAGAAGCAATTCTCGAGGAAGATCCCACAGCTTTCGATCTTCGTCTAGCTCATCCAAGCCAAGTAGAACGTCAAATGACTCAAAAAAAGCTACTGAGCGAGAACAGATACTTCAAAAGTGGCGAAGAAATTATGCATCCACAACTCAAGAGATCACCAATAAATTGGAAGAATTAAAGGTTGATATCACTAATAATACACCTTTCTTCGGTCTGTTCGTTTAGCCAACCATGTACAGCGCTGTTCCATGCTTACAGGCAATTTTCGACACGGCCTAAGTCTCTCTAAGAACGACCACTTCTCTCTAAGATTCACTTTTTTGGGAAATGCGGGAACCACTTCTTATGTCCGTTATACTTTTAGTTTATCAAAGGTCACCAGTTTTGCCTTGATTGGACGAAGTGGAAACGTTGATTCGGATTTTTTGCCGATAAATTATCATATTGAAAACAGTACATTTGGCAATATTTTTCAGAATCTTACTATGGAAGAGTTCCTGGAAAGAGAAAGTAATATATGGACACGATCTACACCAGCAGAGTTATATTATGTCAGAGACTCGAATGACCTCACAAAAACCAAAGCCACCCCTAAGCTCGTTCAGCTTTGTGAAATTTTCAGAGAACAGTTAGTAATGAGAGCAAGGAAAATAAATGCACTAAAGCCTAAATACGAACCACCTCCAAGAAAGAATAGGGCAAGGCTGTGCAGACATAAGGCTGAAGTTGGTTCAAGTTCCGATAGTTCAAATGATGATTTGACTGATGAAGAGGACTGTTCTATGGAGGAGCTAGAAAGAAAACAGAAACATCCAGATAGATTACATCCAGAAATGTGGTATGTATTTATTTTATTTTTTCCATTGACCGCGGGAGTACATTCTAAAACCTGTATGCAGGCAAATATAGTCAACCTGGGCGATACGGTCTTTCGAACGTTGGCGCGGAAGTTGCAGAGTCATAACAAAGGCTATAACTGATCAGTAAAATACAGCTGGTAAATTAATAATGGTAGTTGTTCCAGTGAAACTGTGCCATAATCTTTGTTATGGCAATTTATATACCAGAAATCGTCGCCATACAAAATTAGTTAACCCAAAAACTACAGCCTAGTGACCATGAAAGACGCCAATACAGGCATGCAATATTGCAGCTTAATATCCAAAATAACGATTTTTACCGACAACTGATAATAATCATCGATGAAGCCCACTTCGATAAGAATGGATTTGTTAATAAGCAGGATTCTCGTATCTGGATATTATAGAACCCTCGTGTCATCCATCAACGACCACTACATTCTCGTTGAGTCACAGTTTGATAGGATGTTTGGTAGGGAGATGTCATTAGAGCTTACTTCTTTGAAGATGCTGCAGGTAATTCTCTTACTGTCACTGGCGAGCGCTACCGTGATATGGTGCAAAACTTTCTGACTCCTCAAACCCAACAATTTAATCTGCAAAACATGTGGTTACAGCAGGACGGACCAACGTGTGACACAGCTAGGGAAACAATGAATCTTTTGCGAACAATGTTTCCGGGACGTTTAATTTCTCGATTTGATGTCCGGGACACGGATTTAACGACTAATGACCTTTTTATAGGGATTTTTGAGAAATAGGGTTTTTGCCAACAAACAAAATACTGTAGAGTAGCTGAAGATCAACATTACGGAAGCGATTGAAAGTATTCCTCCGTAAACCTACTAAAAAGTGATGGAAAATGTAGTTAAGAGGGCTCAGGCTTGCGCGGCTTCTAGAGGAGGACATTTGTCTGATATTATTTTCAATACATAATTTCTAAGTTTCAATAAAAGATTAAGATAAAAAAAATATAAATAATTTTTTTCATTTTACAAATATTCAAGGTACAAACCAGTCAGTTATATATCGGCCACCCTGTACTTAGCCAAAAGGGATTATAATGGCACCGCTCTAGATACTATCTACTCTCTAGCGAAACTCACGGAGTTGTAAAAAATTGCCCCGGGTGAGGATCGAACTCACGACCTTAAGATTATGAGACTTACGCGCTGCCTACTGCGCCACCGAGGCTTGAGAGTTTATTGACAAAAAACAAAAATATAGCGGTTATCTTTCTTATTGTGACTTGATGATCTAAAAAAATAAATTGGATATTGAGAAAGACATAATAAGATAATTGGTTCGGTCAACGGAAAATTAGACGAATCTCAATTACGTTTTTTATCTTATATAGTATGTAATCAAATTAAACTCTTGTTGCTCAGTCACACGAAAATATTCAAGTAATGCAACTTTGATTTTTCATACGTAATTGCTTATAACAAGGACTTTGACGCTACTGAACTGCTACCAATCAACAATCATAAATATCGCATACGTAAATCTTGACGCTAACCTTTCTCGATGTTTTGACCAATTATTGTGTGATAAGTATGAAATAAGTTTAACGTTTGTGTCTGCGGTATTTGTGATTGCCAGAAACTCTAACACATGAATAATAATAATAAACGTCTTTTAATTTCATTTATGTTCTACCACAGGGTGAAACGGTTAAATAGACTTTATCTGTTCATTTTTTAATCTGTGCCCAAAGAAAATAGGTCATCAAATGCTGGTGGTAGGAAAAAACTAGCAGATCTTCAAAGAAGGTCCGTAAGTTTAGCCAGAGAAATACCATAGCATAGCCAGTGTAGAATTACGGCTTGCCAGCTCTAGTACTTCTTCAACCAACATTCCCTCTGCTCATAATATAATCCAGAGAATGGTCTGAGAAGATGACGATACCAACAATGTGACAAATGTCATCATATCGAGCCAGCTGCAAGCAACTACCGCCCGAATATCAATAACCTTGGCAGAGTAAGCTATCGTCCGACACTTCTCATGCATTTATTTACAAGTCATTTGATAGTGGTGATACAACATTGTTCACCTCTGATACAGGTTAATGATGCTAGACTTAACGAGCATTTGCAGCAGATGCTATTTTAACACCCTTCAAAGTTATAATTAGGCCATTTTAACAACATATTTGTCTTTGAAGTGCACACACAGGCGGCTTCCTGTAAGTTTTGTCACTCAATCTACGAGGGATGTCGTTTAAATTTTGGATATAGAAACATAATAGGCCGCGCGGATCGAACGTCAGTACTGAATTTTAACCTCACTCTTTAGTAAACTTAAATTCAAAGTTTTACAACAATGCGTGCAGTGGTCTCACTACAGTGAATTTTTAAGTGTCACCAAGTCAATGTGTACAACATTGTTAGTGGTGATGAATCGTGGATTTACTGTTATGAACCAGAAAATAAACGACAGTCGGCTCTTTGGGTGTTCCAAGGTTAAGAAAAGCCAACAAAAGTCATATATTCTCGAAGTGTTTCGAAAAAGATGGTCGCGACATTTGTGTCAAAAGCGGGTCATATTGCAACAATTCCTCTTAATGAGGAAAGAACTGTTACTGCGGATTAGTATACCACCATTTGTTTGAAAAAAGTCATCGCCGTGCTTCGAAAAATCAACCCCGAAAGGAGAATCATCCTCCACCAAGACAATGCAAGCTCGCACACAGCCCAAAAAAACAAGGCAGTATTTAACGGAGGAAAACGTGGAATTGTTGGACCATCCTCCATATAGTCCCGATCTAAGTCCCAGCGATTTCTTTACTTTCTCGAAAATTAAAAACAGACTACCTGGTCAAAGGTTCCAGTCACCAGAAGAAGCAGTTGACGCATTCAAAAATGCCGTTTTGGATCTGCCAGCAAACGAGTGGAATAAGTGCTTCGAAAATTGGTTCGAGCGCATGCAGATGTGTATTAATCTTCGCGGAAAATACTTCGAAAAACAATAAAGTCATTTAAAACTACCTACCGTGTTGTTTTATTTCCATATGCAAAACTTAAAAGACATCCCTCGTATTAGTGTAATTTTTTAATGTAAGGTTTCAACTTCTGTTTTTAATCCTGCGCTAGCGGTGTACGTCACCATATATTTTCTGATTACAGGTATAACGAACCAGGAGAAATGAATGATGGACCACTATGTAGATGTTCCTTGAAGTCCAAGAAATCAGGAATAAGACATGGTATTTACCCTGGCGAAAAACCGATACGAAGATGCGATTTATACAGCAACAATATCGATAAATTATACCATTATAGGATCACCATATCTCCGCCTACAAACTTCCTGATAAAAACGCCCACAATCATCGAGTACGACGAACACGAGTTCATTTTCGAAGGATTCTCCGTTTTCACACATTTTCCATTAGAGAAATTACCGCCTTGCAAGGTTATACGATTCAATATCGAATACACGATACTTTACATTGAAGAGAAGTTCCCAGAAAATTTTACCGTACAGGAATTGGAATTGTTCACAGAGTATCTGTTCAAGGAAATACTAGAATTGGTGGATTTGGATTTCAAAGCGACCAATGACAAAGACGGTTGTGATCGATTCCACTTCATGCCTAGATTTGTGAGAGAACTGCCAGATAATGGAAAGGAAATTTTGTGTATGAAAGAGGTGTTACAGTATCTTCTTAGAAGCTCTATGCCTCTAATTAAGGAATCTGAGTTGGATAACATGGTCAAAATGTCTCAGTATGAATGGCAAAAGTATGCGGATGAAATAAAAGGTATATTTATCGCATCTTATAAAAGTTATTTGTCACTATGTTTGCAACACTTATTTCTGATCACTTTGCTGTTTAATTACTATTTCGACGTACCTTCCCAGAAATACATAAATCGAGCTTAACCCCTGCTAATTCTAGAAGGGAACGCGAAATTAAGCGTTCACGTGTCTCGTGTCTCTAAAGTCAATAAATATGGATATATTGGATCAAGATGGTTAAGCTTGCTGCATTTTACAATATAAACGCTCAAATTCCATTTCTATCCTGATTAAAGTCTTGCGCCAATTGACCGTAAATCAGTCCATAGAATTTTTGGTTAGGAGTTGTCACTACTTACTACAATAATACAAAGGGTACTACAAAAGTTTTGCAATGCAGCATCATCTATTGACTTCGTTCAAAGTAATTTCCACTACATTCAATACGCTTCTCCATCCGCCCAAACCAGGTCTGCCAAGTTTCCGTTTTCCTTTTCGCTTCATTTTCACATGCGGAAATAGTGCAAAGCCGCAGGGAGCAAGATCTAGACTGTAAGGAGGGTGCTCAATAAGTTTCAGTACAGTAGTGGTCAAATACTCGGTGCAGGCTTTTGCGCGGTGAGCTGGAGCGTTGTCATGGTGGAGGTACCAAGTCTTGAATTTGGCCGAAGGTTTTTCATATACTCTATGACTTTAGGCAGGCATTGTTCCGTGTATCACTTACGAGGGGCACGCTGTATATTATGAGATGCGCATTAACTATACTAGTAAAAACCAGCAACAGTGCTATTAGAAAGAGCAGTCCTTTATTAGAAGTCGCCGCATTCAGTGCAATTGCAAGCGTCTTACAGTGCACGTGGTGTAAACAAAGTTACGGCGAAACATGGAGTTCTCGAGAGATTTATCGCGATGATTTACTATGATTTTAAAGTCCGTTTAACTGAACATCAATGTATCGAAGGGTTATGACAGGCATTTGGTAATGAAGCTCCGTCCCGGGGCGGGTTTCATTGACTGATGAAGAACGTAGTGGTTGGCCATGTGACTCCAGAAAACATTGTTAAAGTTCAGCGGCTAATTGAAGAAGATTCTCGCTGCACACATGCGGCAAGTCTTGCGGTAGGATCCTCAACAATAGTTTTAAGTTTTCGTGTATCAAAATATATAACGTGACCCTCGTATCTGTGACTGCCTTCTGTGTGTCCAAAGCGACATGCTGCACAATCCCACTCGATTTGAAAAATACAGCTATCACTTTTTTCTTAACAGATCGGGATTTTCTGACAGCTATCGGTGTGTCCTCATCATCAAAGACCCAAACCTTGTTTTGAGCCTTGGTCGGCACATCGTAATAATAGAGCCAAATCTTGTCACCTGCCACGATGCTGTTCACATACTGAGATTGCCCCTTATCAAACATTTTCAGCATATTTCGGCACCAAGTCGTACGACGAGTCTTCTGCTCTTCCGTCCTACTATGTGGTACCCAGAGAGAGCAAAGTTTCCTTACGTGTAACTGGTCATGCAGAATTTAATGAAGTGCTGGTGCATGAAGGTGTAAAGCCTCCTCTATCTGTTGGTATGTCACTCTCCGGACTTCGTCAAGCATTTTCCTCACTGTTTTCCTCTGTTACTGACGTTCGCGGCCTTCCTTCCCTCTCAGCGTCCTACAGAGTGAAATTGTACCTTTGGAATTCTCTGTACCATCTGAATATTTATGCTTATACTACGCGTAAAGTTATGCCGTGAAACTACCCTTATCTCACTACGTGACTATGATGCCATAGTCCGCACTTTACACTGTCAATACGAATGAACAACTAAATCAAACGTGTTGCTGTCGGCTACTATGCACTCATGGACATGTCTCCCCTGCAGTCTCCTGCGTCCATTTGTTAAGTCATATTGCAAAACTATTATAGTACTCTTTGGATTTCCAAGAAGTATTCTGCACTAGAGAAATATACTTTAACATGGTTAATTTTTCAGGCATGGTCGTTACATACCCTGGCAAGAAACCTTGTTCAGTGAGAGTAGATCAGTTAGATCGCAACATAGACCTACAGAAAGAGGGAGACTACAAATTCCCTGAAATTGTTCACTTTGGTATTCGTCCTCCTCAATTGAGCTATGCTGGTAACCCAGACTACCAGAAAGCCTGGAGAGATTACGTGAAGTTTAGACATTTATTGGCTAACATGTCTAAACCTACCTACGAAGACAAGAGGAAATTAGAAGCAAAAGAGAACAAACTACAGGAAATGCGCACTCAAGGTAGAGGTTTATTTCATATTGCTTGAGTAGATTGTAAAAATTTGTAACTGTTCTTGATTTATTTTCTAATACTGAGTTTTCCCGATACACAGGTAAAAATCATAAATTGCTTTTTCATTAAAATGTATGTAGACATGAATGCAATGTTGTCTAAGTGGAAAAATATATTGTTCTACTTATTTTGTTTACTCAAAGTATTGTTGTAGGTAAAATGAAAAGGGACGTGACGGTTGCTGTTTCATCGGAAGGATTTTACAGAACTGGGATTATGTGCGATATAATTCAACATACAATGTTGATACCAGTCTTGGTGTGCCATCTCAGATTCCACCATTCTTTATATCTCCTAGAAGATACGGTTGGGTATAAGTTCCAAAACAGGAGTTTGCTTCAGTTGGCGCTCACTCACCCGTCGTATCGTGAAAACTTTGGCACTAATCCTGACCACGCCAGGAATAGTCTTACTAATTGTGGAATACGGCAACCAGAATACGGAGATAGAAGAATACACTATATGAACACAAGGTAGGAACATATTAAAGGTATACAGGATTACTAGCAGGCGTGATATGGTACATAAAATGGATCAAAAATTGTCCTTAACCTTACCATCGACATGCTAGCTGTATGCGGAGTGGCACCATCTTGCTGGAATAGGGTTCTGTTGTTGTAACCTGGATACATCTGCAATGAGGTAACAGAAACTCGTCCATCATACGGCTATACACCGGAGCAGAGACTGTCACTCGCTGGTTAAAAAAAAAATAAGAGCCAATTACCCCGCTGGCTGAAATTACACACCGAACTATCGTTTTTAAACAATGTAAAGGCTTGTGATGGCATTCTCTACGGCTGTTGGAGCACCAGTATCGCATATTTTGTTTATTTGTTTGTTTGTTGAAGATTCATTTAGCATTAATGCTACCATGTCAATTTTGTATAATGATTCGTTCACACATTTTTTTTAATTAATTTTCTGCAATCTTACATTTGTTTATATTAAATTAAAATTACGTCACTATGCATTTTGAGTATTCATAAAGTGATTTTTTAATTTGACCTTAAACATTTTTAAATTCGAACACATTCAATTTTAAAAATTCAATTACTCCTTTTGAAATACAAATTTGCTAGTTATGCTACTATTACAATTTTGCAAATGAAAATCTATACTGCCTCTAGTTTGGTAGTTATGATAACAACTATTTAATTTTGTGAAGTTTTCTAAATGTGGTGGTAATAACTCATTTTTAATTTGAATATGAAAATGAGAACTAAATAGCATATGACATTTTTCACATTCAACCACTGTAGTTCTTCTAACATAGACTTATCCCAGCATATTTTTTTTTATTTAAAATTATCCTCATAGCTTTATTTTGTAGAATTTGTGATTTTGAAAATATGTTTTCATTTGCTGTAATCCAGATGGTTGAACAATATAAAAAATGGGGAAGGATTTATACACAATTTTTTTCTAATACATACTAAATTATGGGAAACTATAGAAATAATTTATGTTTTTTGATATTTTTGAAATAATGTGTTCATAATGCTCGTAAAACAGTAGTTTACTATCCACATATATTTAAATGATTCGACTATTTCAGTTTTTTCATCATTAATCATGAGCCTAATTGTATTGTCATTTAAATGTTTCCCTACTGACATACATTTTGTTTTATTAGTGTTTAATTTCACTTTATTCACATTTAACCATCTTGTGACCGCCAGAAGGCTGACGAATCTGGCTTTATGGTAGATATGGTCTAGTTGCCATTGAATGAACTAAACATGATGCTTTCTTCTGACCCACCAAAAGAAGCCAACCTTGGACAGCTGTTTCGTGCTTCTTGGTTACTTACACCATGTGTGCCCCCGATGACTAACAATTCCGCGAATCCTAAGAATGATACCCCTTCCGGCTATCTGACCCTGCTAGTATTTTCTGAATTCCAAGTTGAATATTGTCTGTTGGACGCCTTTACCGAGATATTATATTTCAAATAAATTGAATATGAACGCAGGATACCTCAAGGATCAGTACTATATCCGAATTTATCTTTAACTTATATAAATAAATAATTAGTAAATTTAAACATAAATGGTAAATTCATAGTTTTTGCTGAAAATGAAATAAAGAAATTAAGTTACATACAATCAATCCAAAAATGGTACGATAATAAATACTTAACTTTCAATGTTGATAAGATAAAATTTATGACACGGCAATATTCATTATTATGTGGGTTACAACGATAAAAATGTACGAATCAGGGGCGGGACTCAAGGGGGCCAAGAACGCACTTTATGAGGCTCCAGATTTAATAAGATTTGTGCTGTGTCAAAATCATGACGTTCTTCAACTATAATCTTACGAATTTTGTGCTTTGTTCAGTGAAGTGGGTTTGCCCTGTCCTCCTTCGTACTTACTAGCTACATGGACGCGTTTGAACGAGTTATTTTGAATGAAGTTATCAGGACACTTTTGTCATACAGTCATAATGAACTAATCGTATTGTTTCTAATGAACATGACTACATCAGCGAAAAATTAAGTAAAGTTTTATTAAAGAGTTCTGTACCGTTACTGCCAACAATACAAAATAAACAAGAGACCTCAGAAAGTGTTGAGGTATTGTGGAAAATAATTTGTTCATTTTGCAAAGTATAGAAACTATTTTCTACCTACTGCAATGTATCACTTTTAGGAAAAGGGGGATCAACACTCTGATCAATATTATGTCACGGTTTGGAAAGCAGCAAGAAACTGAGTCGAATATAACTCACAATGAACGTTTAGAGTTTTTGGGAGATGCTGTTGTCGAGTTTCTATCTTCGATACACCTGTTCTATTCATTTCCTGACCTGGAAGAAGGTGGGCTGGCAACCTACAGAGCCGCAATTGTACAGAATCAGCATTTGAGTGTGCTCGCAAGAATCTTGAAGTTGGACCAGTATATGCTGTACGCGCATGGATCCGATCTGTGTCATGATCTGGAGCTTAGGCACGCAATGGCTAACTGTTTTGAGGCACTGATGGGATCTCTGTTTTTGGATGGCGGAATCGAGGTAGCTGATAAGGTGAGGATAGTGAGTCTTAAGGCATTGTTCTCGCCAAAAGCAACGCGATAGGAACTCGACTTCAAACTTTGCGTTGTTTTAGCTTTCTTTCCGAAAGCAACTGCTAAGCAAATGGCAGCCTCGTTTTGAGATTGTGGAAACGTATGTATGTATAATCTGCGAAAACACAATGTTCGCCAATTGTGGCCTAACAGACAATGTTAAAAATCGCTTTAAAATAAGGTAACCTCAAAATACTCTTAGGGGTCTTGTAAAGCAAGATTCAAGCTTTAAATTAGATACTTGACGACCTGAAATTTGTTCTAGGTATATTCAATGCTTACAAACTCTGTTAAAGATTGGCGAACTTTTGGTTTTTGCAGACTGTACGTCCTAGTAAGAATGTGAAATATAAATAGACTAATTAGATTCAAAAAATCTTGGACTGAAAGAAAATCTTTTAGGTATCGTATTTCACAAATCAAATCTAACCAGATCGATCACTCAGCATATTTGGCATTTTTTAATTAGCATAAAGTAATCACACTAATCACCAAATACATGACAAATTAATATCATGTGCAATGAACGATCTGGGAGTATGGTGGCCCATCGAACACTATTGACCTGCTTGTCACACTTCTTGTGACAACTTTAGGCCCCCTGTAAGTTATTCAATACTGATGCTACAACTGAATCACTCTAAAGAATACTAGCAGACCACCGAAGGCATTGTTAGCAACCGCTGAGCAACTAATTGCGTTGCTGTTGCTTTGGTGAGAACGCTTTTATTTTAATACATATGCCAAGTTGGACTGCGGTTGCCGGTGCTTTCGGTAAGAAGGGCCCATAAAAGTTAACTTATCTGCCTGTCTGTCTGCTAATCATTGGCCCGTCTATAACTTAGGCAGTACCGGTCGGGTTTTAATGACATTTTCTCACAAGGTTACTACTATGCCAAGAATCGCAATTGTTTATGTTAGTATATTAACACCCTTCAAACCCCGACAGTTCTACGCACGTATTAGACATATTTTACATATAGTTTGCTCCGTACATTTGCCCTTAAAACTTGGAACGATAGAAAAATGTTTTCGACAAGTGTTCGGATGTGTGTGGCACATGCTCTCAGATACTGGGGAGAGGCTACGCGACGTTGCCAGCTAGACGAAACTACGGGACTTGATCTGTTTAATTTCTGTGTTGTACATGTTTGTATATAACTTTTTCACTTAAACACTGCCAACCACAGACAGCTGTTTCGTGCTTTTTGGCAACTCATCAGTATGGTCTAGGCTTGGACTGTGGAACAATGAATGAAAGCGTAGCAGGTACCCTCTATCCAGGGTATAAGGTCTATGGCACAGTCAACCTACGTGACGCAATTTTTTCCAAAGCCACTCTATTTCGAATACTAGCATGTTTGTCAGATACCAGTTAAGAAATGGGAAACTAGTGGAAAACGAGTTGCTAGCAAAAAATATAATCAACAAGCGTTAGCACCTTACTCCCCTCTGAAACTGAAGTGAATGAGTCCGAAGGCCTAAGTACTTCCTGCAGTCATTTGAGTTTGCCAGTTTACTAGATGATTCAGAATAATTATAAAATGTTAGTATAAACATGATGGTTTTACGTATAGGTAACTAACTATACGTGACACTTTGTAATTAATAATCTTATCAAATATTTATAGTGTTATGCATACCTCGTTTGTGAAAGTCATTATGTACTACTACGTACGAGATCTGTAAATTAAGTAATGAGTCTGATTTTTTACACAGATCGATGGAGACAGTTCTTCCACTCCTCATAGCAGTGCTGAAACTCCGATACTGGAATAGCCCTCAGCTGGTCGGTTACAGCCGTTCGGGGTGTTCTGGGCTGACCAAAAGTTAGTTCCCTCGAGGTGATTTTTCAACTTCGGGAAGAGAAAAAAGTCACAAGGGCAGAAGTCAGGTGAATAAGGGGGCTGAGGACCCACAGAAATGTTTTTACTTGCCAAAAACTTGTTTATTAACATTGCTGTGTGACAAGGAGCATTATCGTGATGCAACACCCAGTTGTTCTTGATCTAATGAACGGTGGTGTGAGTCAAATTTAATTCTTCCCCGATCATTCTTACTGGCAACCGGCTATCTGAACGCATAAGATCCCGGATTCTGTTGATATTTTCACCGGTTATTGAAGATGAATGCCTTTCGCTTCGTGGTTCATCTTCGATTGACTCTCTCCCTTCTGAAAAAGTCACCGAAAAACCTGGGCTCTTGACAAAATACTATCTTTATAGGCCTGCTAAAGTTCAGCAGAGTTTCCCTTAGACTGTGCCCAAGCACACCCTTACTCGAACTTGATGTCACTCATTTTTAGAACACAATTGAAAATGCTGTTTCACAAAAAAAATCGCTACTGACAACCAAATGACTCGAGCGATTTCAAACATGTACTAAAGGCGGATCACATGTTCCTCTGTCTCCCCTCCACGCACGGCGCCTCCATTGTTGTAAGATCGAACGCTACGTTGCCAGTCTCATCACTTAATTTACAGACCTCGTAGGTACCTAATGCATACAATCTTTCACTGGTATTTTGAATGAAACTTGTGCTCATGTATACTTCATTTCAAAATACGTTGAATACCAAAATTGCATTCTAAGTCTATGTTTATCAGGTATTCTCTGCTACTTTTTTCGAAGAACGCCCTGACCTACACGAGATATGGGTGAATCTTCCACTGCATCCATTACAAGAACAAGAACCGGATGGTGATAGACAATGGATCGACAAGTTCGAAATCCTTAAGAATCTGGCAAAGTTCGAGCAAAGCATCAACTTGGAATTCAAGCACATCAGACTTTTGGCACGTGCTTTCACAGATAGAAGCGTGGGCTATACCAATCTGACAATGGGATCAAATCAAAGATTGGAATTCTTGGGAGATACGGTGTAAGTAAGATGTATTAGTCCCCTCACCCGCTCCTTTAGTAAGTGTATTAAAAAAACGCTGCCATTAACCTTTTTGACCTTGTAACAAATCATTTCTGAATTCTTTCGGGATTACAGGATTTACTCGCCAGTTGGCATGGGAGAAATGTCGCTTTAGAAGGTATGCCATCATGTATGTTAAGTTTGGGGTTTGCAAAAATCCTGAAGATGCAAGAATTTTGTACATGATTGTACTTCTTTAATCTGCTTACACGTATTTCAAATCTAAGTTGGCGATTATTCAACTGCATCTGAAAGATTCTTAGACAGAAAATGAAAATTTGTCTAGCGAGCCCATTCTCTATGCACTACGTTTGTTTTTGTGATCTTATTAGAATCGATTTGAACACAGCTAAATTTCTAACGAGTGGGCCACTTCATTGACCTTTTTCAAAGTACAATTAAAAAAATGACTATGGCAATATTGCCAATATGGCGTGTTTTAATTGTTATTTTGTACAATTGTCAAATGTGCGTTGTACATTTTGTCAAATAGTACAATTTATTTGTACAATGACAATATTGTTATTTTCTTTTTTTTTATTTACTTTTTCATTTGTACCTGAAAAAGCTATCGAGTTGTTAGTAAACAATCAATCCAGCATATGTGATTACATTTGCTGGACAGAAAAACATGTTGCTTTATCCGCATGAAGACCACAGAATAAGTTTCCGATATTACGTTAACAAATAGCTATTTTTCTTCAGTTGTTCTTGGTTGTATCTTTCCTACGAAAGCCAATTATTTGTTTTCAGGTTACAGTTGATTGTATCCGAATACTTATACAAGTTCTTCCCGGAACATCATGAAGGGCACTTATCATTATTGAGGAGCTCACTAGTAAATAATAAAACTCAAGCGGTGGTATGTGACGATTTGGACATGGCAAAGTATGCAGTATACAACAACCCGAAGGCTGAGCTGAAAACCAAAGATAGAGCAGACTTATTAGAAGCGTTCATAGGTAAGTAAAGACTGACTCAACCACAAACTGACAAACATGAAAAAAAGGTAGAATTTTGTTTGCGAAACAATTTATGTCTGTTTTTGTTTATCACTTGTAAAGGGTTTTACATTAAGGACTTGACAACTTTCTTATTAAATGAAACGCAAACCATTTGAGATATCTCGAAAATTTTATTATTGAATTGAAGTATACTCATGTATGGAATTCTACCTCGTTCATAAGTACACCACGGGCATGTTCGCAGCGATCGGTTGGTTGGACCCAATTTTCAATGACTCGGCCACACATTTCGACAGAAACGGCCGAGTTATCTCTCGTATTGGCTCTGAACTCCTCTAACGACGTCGTCTTGTTGGCATAGACCAGTGATTTAATGTAGCCCCACAAAAAAGTCTAGATGTGTTACTTAACACGATCTAGGCGGTCATTCAACAGGACCATTTCTCGATATAACACGTTCACCGAATTTTGACTTCAATATGTCGATTTTTTCCCACGCTGTGTGGCTTGTGGCACCGTCTGGGTGAAACCACATATGATTAATGTCTAGCCCATCCAATTGACGAAAAAATAACGTTGCAACATGTTTCTGTAGCGATCTCTGTTGACTGAAACGTGAAGGTGATTTTCATCAACTAACAAAAAAAAAAAAACAAAAAACGGCCCAATGACACCATCGGCATGAAAACCACACCATACAGTTATTTTTTGTGGATAAAGTGGTGTTTCTTGAAGCACATGACGGTTTTCACCTGACCAATATCACATATTCTGTTTGTTGACGAAGCTGTTAAGCAAAAAATGCGCCTCATCACTGAAGATGACTTTTCGATGAAATTGGTCATTTTCTTGCAACATTTCTAGAGCCCAATTCGAGAACGTACGTCGGTTCAATATGATCATGTGATCGAACGGCTTCAGTTCTTGAGGTAACTTGATCTTATAAGGGTGCAGACCAAGATCTGCGATGCCCAAGTCTTGAGAACGCCGTGGAATCGACGTGTTCTGTTCGTTTGCGATGGAAGCTTGAACGGCACCTAAATTCTCGGCACTTCGACCAACCCGTTATCTCACTGACATGCTTGTCTACTATGACGAGAATTACGATCAAAAACGCGCTTAAAGTTGCAGTCATCGACTCGGAATTACGGTAGTAAATTTTAATTTTTTGTAAGCGTTGTTCGTTCGTGTACTTCACCATGACTAAAATGCTTTCTTTACCGCATGTTTTGACATTGACAGTTCAGTAATTGATTTAAAGTTGCGTTCACAGTGAAAGTTCAAAGTTGTCAAATCCCTATTGGAAATGGAAAACCCCTGTGTCACAGTGCAATGTCAGTGACACTTGCACCACTTATGATCTTTAGGGACAATCAATTCATTAGCTGGCAATATTTGGGTAACAGAACATTTCAAAAAGTTCTTTCCAATAATCATTTTTAAATTAGACAAAAAGTGCATATTTGACGCAGGCACGTTGGTACACGTGGCTGCTTCAAAATAATCTCAAATCAAATATAAAAGCCCTATCAAATGTTATAAATCATTATTGTCCATCTTTTAGAAACTCTTAAAAAATGCCCATACTTTGAAATGATTTTTAGCAATAACATGAAGCAGTCTAAATGGTCAAGCCATTATCTACACACTTGAAGCTAAATTGTTTTATGCAAGGTGCATTTTTCGTCTAGGTTCGTTGTATGTTGATCAAGGCATGGCATACTGTGAAGTATTCTGCAAGGTGACGCTATTCCCTCGACTACAAGAATTTATCATGAATCAAGACTGGAACGATCCGAAATCGAAGCTTCAACAGTGTTGCTTGACACTACGTACCATGGATGGCGGTGAGCCTGACATTCCGGTATATAAAGTGATTGAGTGCAAGGGACCGACCAATACTAGAGTGTATACGGTGGCAGTATACTTCAGAGGAAGAAGACTAGCTAGCGCCATGGGTCATAGTATACAACAAGCTGAGATGAACGCTGCTAAAAAGGTAATGCCCTTTAGGTGAATTTTCGGTATCATCTCTATTCTTTGGAAAATATATCAAAGACTTTATTAGCTTCGCCAAGCTTAAAGTGTGACTCCTATAGTTGTGGAAATGTTGAACTGTGGCTCACCTGACTTCAAATCGGTGTAGATTCTCCATTAACTTACACGATTTAGAAAAAATTTCGTAAATTTGATTTTTTGGCAGTGAGGTAGTCTTACATCAAGAATGAAACGATAATATTCTCACGAAGTTTTATTGGCAAGTAATAAGACAAAAAAAAAATAATGTGTCGGGCGACCCTGCAGTTGAATACACTCCTGTGAATTAGCTGTGGCAGATGGTGCAAAGTGGATAGCCTGCTCCCCATCATATCCACATATGTTCGATGGGATTTAAATTACTTCAAATATCCTAACCCCCTGCAATGTTACTTTTAATATAAAAAAGCAAGCCACGCCTCGTGGATTTTCTTTATACAGTGGACCTCCGGTAATCCGACAAACATTATGCAGGGCAGTGTCGGACTATCGAATTTGTCGGATTATAGAGCACTGCCTAAGACCCCCTATAGTCCGGAATTTTTTACAAAAGAGTACCTTGTAATCCGACAAATTAAATATCCAATGGTAAGATTATATATGTTATGTATATGTATGTACTTTGAAGTACAAATCATACATAGTTTATGTATGTCGAATTTAGTAAATTAAATAACAATAGAGAGCTTACGTTTTATTATAAAATTAAGCATAAATGCACATACATAAAATATGTACCAAAATAACCAAGAATTATTAATCAAAATCATTAATGAATTTATCAAATTATGAAACTTGGGAATATTCATAATTTTTTTTGTTTAAGGTTGTTATAACGCGAGATCAGAGCATTGACCCTCAGTCTTCTCAAAAGTAAACGTTCATTGTAGGATGTACCATTCTCTTCAGCCCATTGTAAACCTACCTCAAAGGCGTTAATTGCGTCTTGTGCTGTGACTTGTGGAGCAGTTGCAATCACGTCGTCGTTATTTTCCTGATTGTTTGTTGTATAATTAGAAACCTCTTTTATAATTTCTTCGTCAGACATTTCATGAAAAACATTTTCCTCTTTATCCATTCCACGGCACCAGATTTCCAAATCTTCCGGACTTATCTGTATTTCAGTACCGACTTGTTCTATAACTTCCGAAGTTACACTTATTTGTGGAACGTTGCTAGGAGTGGAGACTATATCTGGCCATAACTTTTGACTGACAAAGAGCAAAAACCAAGTCTGTCATATTAATATCTTTCAAAGTTTTTTCTATTGGTTGGTCTTTTGATACGGCTCTCAGAAGTAGGTTTTTCTTATAGTCTTGCTTGACAAACTGAATGATATTCTGGTCCATTGGTTGAATCAGTGCAGTACAATTTGGCGGAAGAAACATCGCAGTGATGCATTTATCCTCAGTTGTTAGTTCTTCTTCAGACGGATGACCGGGAGCGTTATTAAGAAGCAACAACGCTTTTTGAGGAAAATTATGATCTTTTAACCATTTCCTAACTTCAGGTACGAAGCATTCATCAAACCACTTTTTGAAAAGGTCTTTTGTCATCCATGCGCTTTTTTGTCCGTAATAGTGTACAGGTAAATCAATGTTTTTGAATGCCCGTGGTTTATTATATTTTCCAATGACCATCATCTTAAGTGCGTGTGTGCCCGCAGCGTTAGCACATGGTAGTATGGTTACACGCTCTTTACTTACTTTTCGTCCAGGTACGCATTTTTCGTTACAAGAAACGAAAGTTTTGTTAGGCATTACACTCCAAAAAAGCCCTGATTCGTCTGCATTGTACACCTGTGACGAGTCAAGATTTAAATCGTTCACCTTTTCAAAAATCTTAATTTAAAGGGCTCTATGCAGGTGGCGTCGTTAGAAAGTTTCTCTCCTGTAATAGTCATTGATCGTATGCCATGACGACTTTTAAAACGTTCTAGCCATCCTTTGCTGGCCACAAAATCATCTTTTTTTATTTCCTTATAAAAAAACTTAGCTTTCATAGCCAACTTGGGTCCTGAAATTGGTGCATGCCTATTTCTTTCCTGAAGAAACCACATGTACAAAACTTCTTCCACTTCTGGATGTTCAGCTTTCTTGAGTGTCTGTCTCTCTTCTTGATCTTCTCGTGGTTTCTTTTACTGTCATAAATTGTAGATCGGCCTACGCCGTATTCACTAGCTAAACTACTGAAAGCTTCATCGCGATTTAAGCGGTCTAAAATATCACATTTTTTCTTTAATTGCCAATGTTTTGTGCTTTCGCTTCTGAGTTTGTGATGACATTACTAGGTACTATACTTAATACACAATGAATAAATAATAAACAATGAACGCACACTAGGCCGTACCGCTATCACAAGTACTCAAATTCAAACTAAGTAAAACAATGCTTACGCGTCGAGCACGATAGCGGTGGCGCGTACAAGTTGGAAGCTGTTCAAACCTGCGTGATCTACATTAGCGAAGATTGACAAATACGTATGTATGTAATATTCAAATACATGTTGGATTACAGGGGGCGCCGGATTAGACAGGGGGTATTATCGGGGGTCCACTGTATTTGATTTAGTTTATGGCAAATAACTCCCTCTCAAATTGGCTGAAATATTTGTATGCGGTTCTCCATACCAATCTGATCTGAAGTCTCTATTGCACGAGGGTCCCGAGATCAACGGTTTACAGGAGGTTCAAGTTTAATAAATGCGAAACATGTTGGGTTCTTATGAAGTTGTTTGGCTGTTGATTAAAAACCTAGCCCCTACAAAAACAATCCAAAAAATATGAGGAGCCTCTGAAATGTGTTCCGCTTTTTTCCGCCACCACTGGACCGATTTTCAAAAACTGTAAAGCTCTTTCGTCCTTAGTCATATTAATAACGTTCTGTGGAAGTTTCATCAAAATCGGAGTGGTACTATCCAAGTTATGTACGGACCAAATATTAGCGGACAGACAGACAGACCGACAGATGGAAAGACAGATAAGTGACATGGTTTTTCATGATGTACATGTCATATAACATCAAAAAAACAGTATTTCATTTTCTTTCGCGATTACAATACTCTCTCGCCAGTAGTCGTGGGAAGTAAAAATGCCATTGGTTGAGTACCGAGTTGATTTGTGTTTTTGCAGGCGCTGGAAATATCTCAAGATTTGTTCCCTCAACTGGATCACCAGAAGCGAGTAATAGCAAAAAGCATGAAGAAGCAGAAACGTGGTAGAGGTCACAGCCCTACAAGAACCAGACGTGCTCCAGCTGCATCGAAATCGCCAGAACAGTATTCAAGCACTAGATTCGCAAGGTCCCGTTCAAATGACCGTAAAATGAACCAGACTGATCGATCGGAGAGTAGCAGAACTATACATACGTCTTCGAGAAATGAAAGCAGGAGTTGATAATGTGAAGGTTTTACAATCTAAAATGATATAGATATATGGATGAAATATACTCATAACTAACTAGTCGTGGCGCCATTGGTACTTAATCTATTTTTTACGATACTTCACGTTTTAACGTCTGTTGAGTTGAACAGCTGATCAGCTAGTGACATTGTTGTGTTGCCTTTACTGTTTGCAATATTTAATATGGTGAATATCGGTACAGTAAAAACCTATAAAAATGTATTTCCACGTACGTAACTTTCACCGACTGAAATTGACAATAAAATATACGGAGTACACATAAGGAAATGCAATAAATATCAATACGTCCTAGTCTACAGATCTGCCAGAGTCCAGAGTTGTCTGTTACTTGATGATATATTTTTACACCGCGCAGGTAGAAGCCCAAATCCCAGGGCACCGCGGCTGCTATGAGGAGCTTAAAAAACTTTGTTAATCCGATTTTTGAACTGCCTAAGATTAGTAGAGCTGGCCTCCTCATGTAGATTGTTCCACAATTTCGATACCCTAGGGACATAGGAGCGGTCATGTCGGCAAGTTCTAGATGTACGTAAGTTCAATAGGAGGCCAAAGTCTGTCGAAGTCGGCTGGCAAGCATATAGAGCTGTGGCATCATGGAGGGGAGCTCTGTGGAGCAAAGCCCGTTGGCGTAGCTATAGCAGAGAGCTAGATCACTGACTGCCCGCCGGTGCGAAAGCATCCTTAGACTGTCCGTTAGAGAATCGTTGGACAGCCCTCCTCTGAACACCAATGAGCATGGACAATGTAGTCGGGGCGGCAGCACCCCAAACATGTACTTCTTAGCCATAGACTCCTCCGCTATATGTTCGTGGGGCATCTATTGAACCCGGATGAGCTCTAGGACGTTTCTTGTTAATCAAGGTACAGTACTGTGTTTTGCAAGCATTAAACTGTACAAGATTGTTGCGTCCCCAAGCAGTGATAACATCCAAGTCTCTGGTCACAGAGGAAGTCGCTGTTAGTCTCCTTTTCTCCAGCTCACCGGCAGAAATCGGTTTGTCACTCTGAATTCCCGAATGTCTCTACATTCGGGAATTCAGTCATCAGCAAAGCTGTGGATCAGATTGACCGTACAGGAAGGGAGGTCATTGATATGTAAAAGGAACTGTGTCGGGGAACACCCGGCCAGAGAGAAAGAAAGCCACCCATCTGCAAAGTTTCTCTGCGGGCCATAGGATGGGAGTTTGCATAAGAGGGCAGCATGCAACAGTTGATCCAATGCTTTCGTGATATCAAGAGCAACAAGTGAGCCGCACCTGAATAAGTTTACTCCACAGTTGCGTGAAGTTTGCTAGCAGGTCCCCCAGGCAGCCCAAGGCGCCGGAAACCATACTGCCTGTCGCTAATCAAGCCGTGACGTTCGAGGTACTTCAGAAGCTCTCGACTTAAGCACCTCTCCATCAACTTTTAACAGAAAGCTGAGCTATAGGCCTGTGGTTGTAAGCGTCGGTCTTAGATCCTTTTTGGGATGGGTTGGACATGAGCAAATTTTCAGTTTTCTGGGAAAGTATAGGATTCGTAAGAGACGCGAAAGAACTGGAGCAGGCTCCGCTGCACAACTCTTCAATACAACGGCAGGAGTCGAGGCCAGATCAGAAACTTTGTGAATTTCGAGCGACAAGGGCACTCGTCTTACAAACATGTCTGCATGTTACTTCCAGCATGTTGAATCGACGGCAATCGGTGGGGGGCGTCCATGGTGGAGTTGACAGAAAGGATATTGGCAAGCACTTCCGATATGAGATGTTTTCAATGTCACTAGATAATATGTCACGTAATGATGAAGTATTGGGAAACATAGGTTAGTTCAGTTCTTGCTACGTGGTGTCCAACTCTTAGTCCAAGATCCGAGGTAAAGTTTTTCATGCTAAATTTGTTTTGTTCACAGGATGTCTCGGATAGTCATATCGTAATAAAGTGGTACTTTCTGTATTCTTTTAAACAAGACACAATATTTGATAGCACTGACACCCTGTAGGGTCACTGAAGATGTTCCAACGTAAATTACACATATGCATCAAAAAATGAACGGACCAGCATTGGATTGACAAAAAATATTGTCTCTGAAAACGTATGTTGGTATTATTCAATCTGTGGTTGGTCACAGAGTAAAAACTATTTCTCCTAGTAATAATACAGTCCTATGCGTTTTAAGTTAGGGTTGATAATGATTTTTTGTTTTTCTATGTATATTTTAATTCCTTGATATATCTACTGTGTAGCTGTACTATGGAATGTATGAAAATATAAAAAGTTATTTCCATATATTGACTTTTATTTTCTCTTTGACGGTAAAACCCTAAAATACAGTTCTGAAGATATATGTCAATCCAAGTTCCAAAATCTATTTCGAAATGTATAGCAAACTAATCCAAACAAAATAATCTTTTCATTAAAAAATGGGGGGATTTTTTAACCCCTCTCACGGAAATTTAAGTTTCTTGATCTATGAAGATGCGTTGCCATAGAACACTCCCAAACCCCGACCAGCCGCCCCTAAAGGATCTTTTTGAATAGTTACAGAATTAGCTTAAAATCATTTAAGAACGGTATACGGATGGATATATTTTTTATTTGGCTACTTTCCAATAGATGGCGCTGCATATCGGCAACTATCACAAAGTCCACCATTTTGAATGACTACCTTGGGGTGCTGAAATCCGTTCAGTAAGCCCCATTGCAAGTAAGGAGGACGCTTTGTTGTTCAACAAATTTCAAATCGATACAGTTAATATTAGATATAATAAACTATTCAAACAAAATAAATCCTTTCATTAAAACATGGGAGGATTTTTAACCCCCCTCACGGAATTGAAGTTTCTTGATCTTTGATGGACGCGTTGCCTCCCAAACCCCGGCCGACCGCCCCTAAAGATTCATTCTTGACGAGTATACATTTTGTATGACCTGTGATAACACTCTAGAAAGTAGCGCCATCTATGTGTTGGTAGCCCAACTAAACGATTTTTTTTGTCTAGTTGAAAATACACAGAATTAGCTTAAAAATCATTTGAGACAGGCATCCGGATGAATAGATTTTTATTCGGCTACTCTCCAATAGATGGCGCTGCATATCGGTAGCCACCACAAAGTCCATCGTTTTGAATGACTACCTTGGGCTGCCGATAATCCGTACAGCAAGTCTCAATACGTGCAAGGAGGACGCTTTCTTTTTCAACAAAACGAAATCAATACGTAATATTAGATATAGCAAACTGAAGCCGTAATGCAAGCAAGGAGGATGCTTTGTTTTTCAACAAAGCCATATCAGTACACAGTACGTAAGAAAATGGGAGGATTTTTAAGCCCCCTCACGGAAATTTAGGTTCCTTGATCTTTGAAGGTGCGTTGCCATAGAAGAGAAAAGAGCAAATCTCAAAGAGCAGCTCAAAGCTCAAGTATGTTTCACATACTCGTACTTAAGCTGCTCTAAGATACTTCTATGAACCAATCTTAGAAACAAAATAATTTGCGATTAAAATATTACCTTATATTAGGCAAAAATAATTTTTCACGTTTTGTTAGCTGGTTAGGCATGATTTTCTTTAATACAGCACACTTCTTGTTTTAATATATATAGAATTTTGCAGGGGATGAAGATGTTTACTGTTTTTTTTTCAAATGTAGAAAATATTTTTTTTTGCTGATAAATTTTTCCGTAAATAAAATATTCCATATACTAGTAACGGAAACGAGAAGCTTCTATACATCTATCTAATAAAAGTACTTGTGAGAAAAGTTTACAATGAAAGACTTTGAACCCAATTTTCTCGAAATCTGAATTTTGTAACATATCACCTTTATCCACTCGTGTCTTCAATTAGATAAAACTGACAATATATAAAAAATTATATACGAAGGGATAATGATGAAATTATGATTATTGTATAAAGATATATTTATTAAGTCTTCATCATACAAACAATTATGTGTCTGACATACATACTTTGGCGTGCTCTTCATGGACACGTGACCTTGTTTGCATTTAATCAAATGTAAGAAAACGAATGATTCAATAGATAATACCACAGCTACAAAAAGACGCAATACTGATAACCGTTGCAACATTTTTTTGGATTATATTTGCTCAAATAAAAACGTCTGGAACATTCAAGTTACTGAATTGTAAAAATTGCCATCACTTTTACGTATCTGCATTGACAGCTATAAGTCATAAAAAGATTATGACTTACTCATAAATGTTCAAGGTCACGTATTCATTCAGCACGTAATGTTGGAACACTTTAAAGACCATTTTAATCTTATGAAAAACATAAAGACACAAAACCATATACTCATCCGATATCACATGCATAAAATAATCATCCACGAGCTTTAGAATCCGTCCATAAACAGTACAACTGCAACATGGAATATTTTGTTTGGGACGTCTTATATATAGAAGTAAGGAATGTACCTTGACTTCATTTGAACCAATTGAATAACTGGTCCAGATATAAGAAAATGGAAAATGTTGAAAATGGATAATGAATGTTGACTTGATTTTATTTGGAAATCAAATTTATTATTTTATGTAGAATGGAAGCTTCTTATGGGAAATTAAATACTTTTTATTTATAGACGGTTTCCAGCACATTGTCGCTTAAGTAGTCTTCAATAAAAAAATTTAAGAGCTATTCTAATAAATAGTGTTTTACAAATTGAGCTGCCTTTGTTCACAGCTCTTCAGTGAGGCACATTATTTTAAATTCTATGATTAAATATAATAAAAAAATTAAATTCCTACAAGTCGCGCAATAGAAACAAACATACATTACAAACGATACGTACTAAAATAAAATAAGTAAATCAAATTCATATTGTTATATGAACATTTCTATACTGTTTAAAATATTTAAACCTAACACACTCTTAACTAATGTTATAAAAATATTCTTTTTATTTACAAAATTCATTAGTTTATCATTAGTAACAGAGGAGTTCACGCATGAAAGCAACATCACTATCATAAATATCCTGATTCATCAATTGCAAAATAAGGAACGCTAATTACTTATTTGAGGTTTAAGGAAAGTCAGCAAGATAAAATCTTTATTTTTATACACATTCTCCATGATAGGCTTAAACCAAACTAAAAATGCATCGAATATGAATAAAACGTTGAAGAACGATAACCTTCGTTTATATGTCGTATGATCCATGCTGTTAAAGGTGTAATCTGATGTATTAGCTAAACGGGAGTATCTGAATGGCAACAAAGAAACAACTTGGAAGATATTATTATAGAATTTGTGAAAATGCAAACTGCTTACAAATAGAACTCTTTAATAAATCAGATTTATGCAGTAAGGATATTCCGGAAGGAATTCAAAATATTTCTCAAAGAAAGGGCAAGTATACTTATAGATAAAGTAACACGAAAACTCTCCTGTTAACTTCTATTTGATATGCAATCTCTATGATAAAAACATTCAAATTGTTAACTACTCAATTCCTAAAATTGGAATTTATAAAAACGTAGAAATATTCGTGTGTGAAAATTTTAAACATATCGCTCACGTACATGAAAAATTCATCTAGTAGGATTCGAATCTACAAATGTAATATTCACGTCAACGTTCATAATTCTACTATATATGGGATAATTGAAGACCTCGGGGGAAGAAGGGGACATGCCCAAAAATATGGTTCTGAGAAAAATGGATTTAAAATATTCAATCAAATCTCGAAATCAACTTTTCTATTGTGTAAATTAATGAAACTCAGCAACAGATTGATAAATATATCTATTTTTATAAATGATAATGAAAAAACATATAAACTTAAAAACTTTTTTATTTCATACGTTTTTTAAAAAAAAATGTGGCTAATCTCGTTTTTGCCTTAATCTTATCTCAACAGTTTTTTAGGTCAAAATAGTAATAGTGATACAAAATACACTAAAAACAATTTCTTTCTAACAAAATACAAACATTTAAAAGTACTGTACAACTTATTATATTAATTAATAACCAAACAAAAAATAAAAAAGATATTCATTCTAAATAATAGGAATTGTGTAAAAATGTGAAAAAAAGTCTTCAACATTCATTCATCATCTTCATTATCGTTCTCTTCTTCACTACTGCGAGCATCAAGGTCCTCAACGTCATTTTGCTCTGAAGTTGTTGGGTTTGTAACTACAATACATGCGCCTATTTCTCGATAAAAATCTATATATATATAGGTGGGATATACTTTAGCAGTTCGGAAAGATTTGACACTTTTTTGTTGTTTAAAGGAAGCAGTTGATAATATTTTCTTTTTAAGTCTTTTAAACGTAATGAAATACTGTGTCGTATGCCTCTTTTTTTTATTGTGACACTTCTAAATTCCTCATTTATTGCATGTTTAATGTACATTTTATTGGGATCCTCATGACAAAATTTAAAATGACTAACATGGCTAAAATTCAGTTTGCCTTTGTCATCCAAAACATTTCTTTTCTGGATCTGAGTAAGTAGATATTTGAATGATATTATATCCTTCTGCTTAATAACATTCACTACAAACGGATTTGTTCGCTTCGTTTTTTGTACAGCTTGATACCAGTCGTTTGGCTCATACACCTGTCTCATTCCTTTTTTGTACTTCTCTATCAAAGCAAAATCTCGATCGCAAGGAAGATGAGTATGACCAACAACTAAAAACCGATGCTCAACTGAATCAAACCATCCATCAACTACCAGCTGTTGCCATAAACAGATGATCGACCAGTTTTTGTTTTGTCCACCACAGTTATCGGTGTAGACAATTAGTTTTTTGTTACCTTTAATGTAGTGTTCTCGAAAATGTTTGTACAAAATGCTGGCAATTTCATCACTACCTCTCTTGGCAACATTTTCTGGCCACATGTACATGTAACCCTGACCTGTCACACAATCATGAATACCCAAATTATACACCCATGCTTTTCTTAAATAGAAAGCTGGTCCAACTGTTAAATTTGGGACAGGTAGAGCCTGCTGCAAATCAAATGTTATAACATAAGTATCGCCACTTATTTTTGCATATTCAGTTTCTCTTTTCAAACTTTGTTGCATGGCTTCGGCCCTCCTTTGATGTAGTTCCAATTTTATTTTATCGCTTTTGATTTCTTCTGTAGTGGCACCAGGATCTTCAATTTTAATTTTTAGCATGCCGCATGTTTTACATGTGTCACTTTTCGGCAGCTTAAACCCGATATTATATTCTGTGCAGAAGATACGTCTATACCTATCTTCCGACACATGTACCAGATCTCGCTCCTTGCACCAGTCAATATAGTAATCTTTGTATAGTTTCGAAATATTTAAATCATGGTTTATATACACTTTTCCTGGGTTCCTTTTTCTACTATAATGACTGGTATACTTTGGAATAGCATTTATATGGTCCCTAGCCGATTGTAAATTCTCAGCGGGGGTTCTATTTGGACGATTTTTGTGCTTACCCCGTTTGTCTTTCTTAGGCGTTATTGAACCTTCATTTGACATTTTTTTGTAAAGTATTTCGATTCTTTTTTTACTGTGCTGGAGGCCGTGAACAGACAAGAATTATTTTTTGCACAGTCTAACATTTTCTCCATTTAATTTGACAAAATACTCTATTGAAATATTTCTGGATGAAACCTGTTTTTTTGTTTTCTTTGGATATGACCGCTTTTTAGGAATTGCTTCCATACAAGAATATAAATATATGTTTTGCTTATCATAATCGCCTAAGTCCCAAAATGACTTGAAGATGTCCAGTTCCTTTTCTCCTAGCTTTTCCCGGCATTTATTCTTGCAGGTACATGGTGGTCCTAACTCTCTAGCTGTTACTTCAATTCCCTTGTGATTCTTGTAGCTGTGACCCAAATTCCTCCTATTTTGTTTTTTCTTTTTTTCTCCATTCTCTCCTTGGCCTCTTCCATCTGGATGGTTTTGATTTTTCTGGACTGGGTAAGCTACCTCTTGATGTTGTTGAAGTAAGTGGGGCATCTGTTGCAGTTCCTGCATCATTATTGTTGGGGTCCCCCTGTAACAAAAAATTTTCAATTTTTGTTGGTAACAAAGGGATAAGCCTCACAAAAAACAGAAAATTTTATAAAGGAAAAAAGGGGATTAGCCACCATTTTTATTTTTTTACGATATGTATTGATATTTCAGAGGCGTATCGTTGCACTATTCTAAAAATAAATTTATATAATACTATGGTAACTCACAAAAATCCTACAACTTCCATTTTGTAACATGGCACAACCAAAACAAAATTTCTAAAGATAAGCCACAAAAAATACGTTAAAAAGGAGATAAGCCACAATTTTGTTTTTCTTACCTCATCTGTCGAAACCTCTGAGGAATCACTGCTAGTTTCACTTTCCACATAATCTTTGTCTTTAATACTATCGTCTGAATCCATTACATCACCACTTTCACTATCGGAACTGTCATAATAATACCGTTTTGACTTCACTTCATGTGCACGTGGCAACTCCATGTTGAAAAATACCTGCGGCTTGTCCCCTTATTGCTTGTAAAATGCCTAAAATTATTTTCGCGGGAAGAACAACGTTTGCAAACTGTAGCGCCCTCTATGATCCGATTCTTATAATATTTTGTCAAGACAAGGATATAGGTTTGGAAAGGTGCCTGCAGTATTTGGATTAATGTTCGCCAATATGTGGCTTATCCCCTTCTTCCCCCGAGGTCTTCAATTTGCCGTTCTGGAGATGTGTAGATATTGTGGTGGAATGTGGGATCCCCACAACGTGCATAACAGTTTGCAGTTTACTTCCTTCCAATATAAATATAACAACGGCAACATAGTATTATGGCACGATTGTTATAGTAACGAACTTCAGATATGTTTCATTCAAAATTAAATTTTGATACTGTATTTCCCATCCGTCGCCATCTCAACGGTCTAAGCGATGCAATGATAAAATGCACACGTCCACATAACACGCCACAGTAAACAAAACCTGATATTTACGACATTATCCGAGTTAACATACCGTATCATAAAGGACACGGTCCCTTAATATATTTGGTTATTTAGATCAACGGTTTGCATTCGACATAGTTTGCTACTGGTAAAATTGAAGCATATCATTTGATGATTCTGGTAACTGAAAATTGATTCATGTAAATTTTAGAGAAAATTATCTGCTTTTCACTGGTGTTGGTCCAGCATGTTTTACACAAAGTCTCTTAAAGGAATGACTTATGTTAATATGCATTTCGCTATGAGGTAAATTATTAATGCTAGCTGACTTTGGTTGATGTCAATATACTATCATCACTGTAAACGGCAGGTGATTACTGATCTTGTTTTTATATCTGAAAAATACATTTCATGATAGCTGAAACAGACACTTAAAAATAGTATAATAACCGTCCAAGGACAAATTTAAAATTATGTCTAGGTGTTGTGAGTCAGTCAAAAATGATATATTTTTTTAATTTAGGATGAATATACTTGATTAGACTTTATGTTCCTGAATTTATACATTTTAATCTTCATATTTCAATATTGGCTCTAATCAATAATCTAGAATTTTGTCCAACATAATATCTAGGGTGGGCCGCAATGAATGCGCCAGTATACCTTAGCAAATGTCGCCCTTTAATATATTTTTCTATAGCTTAAGTAGTTTTCATTATATCAACATGAAAATTGGTAATCCTCCGAAAGCCTCCGATACCAAATTTTATGTTGATATCACAAAAACAGCAATGAAAAATAGTAATTACAATAATGACAATTAAACAGGTTCACTTTTGACATGTTTCCTTTGTCCTTTACAGTAGTTAGTAATAAGGGAACGTATCCTAAATATCAGCGATGGGCACAAACACGACTTTGCAGCGACGCTATCCAATGGTGCGGGTAACCTTAAGAGGGACACCCTTACTCTTCTGGTGTCAGACGGAGGTCTGTTGCACAGGTGAGGGGTAGCTATTTAGTGGCTTATGCTCCGCTTCGCATTCAGAGTCCTCAATTTCGCAAAGGTTGGTTGACAGGTCGCTATTGCTGTTATATGGACCACCTAAAAGGGAGTGCCGCTCTTCTAGAATTGAAAAATGCTTTCATCAGTGTCGAATTATTTTTTTTTTCAGTGGGATAGTGCCATGTGAGGGAGGAGAACGTGAAGTGAGATGAGCATCATATCAGATTAGATGCTCTTATTTAGTGAAGCTGGGACAGTTTATGTGATCGAATAGTATAATTTGTTGTACAAAGTTTCACAGAAAAACCCAGGAAAAGTCGTACCGCGTTTCGCTTACCAAACACTCACCTCAACCTCGTTTGCGTTCCGTCATCTCTCTCCAAACCATCAAACCTATTCCAGTTGCTAAAAAGCATGAAACAACGTTGCATACGATTTAGCCCATTAATACTTAGCGCCGCACAATACCCACCACGATGGAATACTGCAAGCAATGCCATGATGGGATGTGCCGCGAATGATTATTGAGAATGTCACATTTCTGAATAATCTTGCACTTTGGGCAAGAAAGTCCAATAGACTGTTAATATTTGCTGCCTGAGAGAGGCTGTAAAAGCTTTCCCGTGTCTAAAAAAGATTAACAGTTCATCTAGTGTAACTCGACACGACGGGAAATAACCTCCGACATGTGATTTTGGAAGCTTAATAAGATGATTCTTTCCCTTCGCCATTTACACATCTTCCTTCTTTGCAATAAATTCAAGATAAAATCTGCTTGGCCGTCGAAGGTTTCAAGCCACGAATCTCTAACCTGCACTAATGATAGTATGACGAAGAGTATGTGAAACTCGGTTAATAAAAATTCTTCCTGAGATGCTATTGGTCACAACAGATAATACTTTCTTAACTACTTTCTAGTATCACCTGTGACAAAGCCAGCTGAAGAACATGCAAAAAACTGTTTTTATTCAAATTTAATCGCAGCTATTAAACTACAGACAATTGAAATCGAGTTCATGTTACATGTGCTTGCAATTATAATTATTCAGTATTATCATTATAATATTACTATTTCAACTGTAGTCATCTAACAGTCTTCCAGTATTGGTCGTAATCACTGTCGCTACCAACCACAGATGATCGTGACGGCCACTTTTGGGGCCCCTTCTGCCTCTTCTGCTATTGAGTTAGCTATGGACCGCACTCATAGCAAACTCTTGGGCATGTACAATAAAAATACCTTGTAGGGATGTGAAACTATGATGTCTTCCCCGTTACAAACCATTCTTTCATGCACAAAACACACTATGCCATCTTAGTTACTTACTCAAGCCCTGCCTGATACTGTTTCACCACTTTTACAAATGCTAGACAGCTACAAAACATAGACATTTCTGTTTTGAAAATCGCGAATCCCGAACAACTGGCTCAACGTAGCAACGTCGAGAGAGAGTTGAGAGAACAAGATACAGTCCACACGTTTTTCTGCTCAACACGAAAAAAACTGTCTAAATAATTGTAAAATTTGAATATTAACGTAAAAGACTGTTATTGTAAAATGTCTAATACATACTGCAATTGTGTACAACAATAAAACTCCAAGAATTCAACGCAGCAGGCAACTAAGTATGTTCTTTCACCCCACAAGGCGGCGACCTAACCTCTCAACAGTTGCCCTGGTATTTTTTGACACTTATGACTCTTCAAAATTAACAATAATGCTCTTGACATTTCAAACATTGATACCACTATGCATTTTTATTACCGCTGGTTAAGAGTCACTGTCTTTAGATGGCGCTCAAAGAAGGATACAAAGACATGTATACTACATATAGTTGAAATCACGAAAGATGACGATTACGTCATTATTTTAGTCTGCAGCAAAGACTAACGACAGAGACAATCAGAATGTTGTTGTCTAAACAAACTGTATTGCTAATTTGCATGTATCCGACAAAAATAGGCAACGTTTTCATGTTCCATGATCGATCATAGTTGAAAGATGAATAGTTAGGTTATGTTAAAGCAGGCTAGGTTGTTTTCGAATAATACTTTGGTCTTTGGTGTTCCTGTCTTAAGGTATTATACTCCTAACTGTTTTTTTCAAAACAAAATCTCCCCACTAATATTATTATTAAGGTATCACTCAAAACCATGAAATAAAATGAAAATAAAAATAATCAGTGAAATAACCTAACTTCGCAAAATCATAATATAAATTTGTTGTCATTATGTCCCTGACATCGTGATTTTATCATCGAAGAACGTCCATTGATTACTTCGGTACAATTTATGATGTGACGTAATAGTCATCTTTTGTGGTTTTGACTATATTCCCATCTGCTTCTACCTACCTAATGTGGTGATGACTGATTCGATGTCATCTTCGCACGGCCTCCTCCGATTTCTATTACTGGGGAAGCCGTAAGGCTCCACATCGTCAGAATCCGCTTCTGGACTCTGGGGCCCGTCCATGTCAACCTCGCCTGTTATGTTGTACCCATGAGCAGGTAGGTATGTATTTGGGTGACGTATATAGCTATCCGCTGCAAAAACACAAATTACGTAACAAAAATTGTTCATGAAGTACTCCAAGTTAATCTGAAATTTTTTATATCAAATATGAACAGAGCCCAACATTTGCCTCTTCATGCAAACTGCATAAATATATTTTATTTTATTTCTGTGCTATGAGACAAGGTGCTGTGGTATCCGAAACGGCACTGAAAAGTAGTTTCTTCTGGTTTTATTTATCTGCGAGAACAACATGGAGATCAATTTTTGAGCTTATTAGACAAGATAAAAAAGACTTACTATCAATAAACAGGCGAAAACGGTGACGCCGTTGCGAAAATATTTCCATTATTTCCTTGTTATTAGATTTAGGTTTAGTCTTTAAACTATATTTATGAGAAAAAAATCGGATGTTAAGCGACATTATTGATATTGGACGGAAATCATTTTCATGCAAAAATATTGTTAGGTATATAAAACAACGTGATCTGTGCTTACAACAAGTTACACAAATCATACGATAACAAGCAAAAATAAGTAGACTAAAAAACAAGCGTGTATAAATCGTAAATGTATGTAATGAATAATAAATATAATTTTTGAATTGAAACACACAATAAAACCTCTGAGGAATTTGTTCATGCAACGCCGTGACCATGCACAAAAATTTGAAAATACTCACTTTGTTTAACAATGAGTAAAGGCACTGCATAGAAATACAAAAAATGTTAGTATGGCATTCGGAACATAATTATTAGTGTTTGTTAAGAATCAGAATGTTCTAGACATACAATTGAAAAACAATCTTCTCACACTGACAAAATGACTTACTTATATTGCTGTGATTTGTTTTTGTGATACATGGGACGGTTCATAAAGCCGTTTCCCTGAATCCTATAAAAATGGACATTTGTAAAATATCGCGAAGGTTTCAGTTTTCGGGGCGATTTGACATAAAAAGCTCAAGTAATATAGTGAAGCAATACAACATAAATGAGTATATAAAAGTGATGACGTTAGGATTACAATTATGGATCTAAGTGGTTTTACTCTTGCTGAGATAAGGTAATCTACGGATGTGACAATATGGTATGGAACAGACCATGTAAATATACTTTTTCTACCTCATCCATATACGTAAGCGAATCCAGAACGGAATCGGTATTCGTTTTCACCGATTTTGGCGGTTACGTTACAGTGACATATGAAATAAGTAAGCAGGTCGATAACCTGTGTCGGGTGCGGAGCCTAACTTTCCGAAGAAAAATTTGACACTGCGCCAGCCAACGAATTCGAGTAAATTAGAAGCCAAGCCTATATGTTTACAATACATTGTCGCCAAAAACAGGTAAAGTTGGGCGCCCATTTCAAGAGAGTAATCACAATAAGAGTGAAAAGTATCGTTATGGAATACTGAACGTAACGATAAATTTGCAAGGCGGCGGGTCTTAAATCTAAAGAATGTACGTGAACTTACATACAAAAATTAATGTCCGCGGAGAGACCCACTGCATACGTATGAAATGGGGGAGATGAATGTATAGAAGTGATATCGCTTATTAATAATACCTTGATGTACTTAATTAAAACGCATTTTATTCAGTAGACGAGTAATTTTTAAATAGTTGAGGTGAACCTTTAATCCATTTTTATCCATTCATATTGATGTTCTATGTATCTGGTTAACCAACGTGAAATTCATCTTAGTGCCATTGCAGTTTCATTTATAATCTATATTAACACCGTCTTTATTCAGAGCGAAGTTTAGTTATAGCTAATCTGCAACTTAACCCTTGGCAAAAATAAATTAATATCAAAAAATATAAATACAATAAAAAGTTTAAATTGTAGTACAGCGCTTTCAAGATGACCTGTATATATATATATATATATATATACATATATATACAAATATCCGCGTACTGCCTTGCTCACGGTGACCTTCCGACTACCTGCAAGGCGCGGGAGTAAGTATACGCGCACCCAACTAGAAATATGTTGCAGTGAGCGACTAAGCAACTAGCTCCCTACCCTACTACCGTTGTATTTTTACCCCAAGTTCCCCATAAGCAAGCAGCTATGCCACATTTACCCACCTGTGGTGAATCTATACTCCTGCTCAGTCCCGCTGCTATCCAGCGCATTCAGTCCGTTCTCGCTTATGTACCCGCCCTCCTGATTCCTGTCAGAATGAGGTTGCTGGCGCTTGTGTCGACCTCTGTGCGATTGAGGCGCCCTCTGTTGGTGGCAGCGGGACTCGTTGCTCTCGTTGCTGTGGTAACTGGAGGAGTCTGGCACTTCGCTGCCAGGCACCTCTGTGATGTTGGGCAACGTTTGACTGTGGCGCGCCCAATCGGAGCAGTCCCAATGGTAACCTATAGGGATTAGTGGAGGGGGAGGCATATGAGGCGCTGACAAGCGATAGATGTTTGAGAAAATGAAACTGAGCTACAAGTTTGGTCTATTTTCGGTGGCATGAGTTTGGTAAAGACTGATAAATAATTAGCACGGTCCAGGTATTAGTACAAAATTTAAGATACCATTTTGACTTGTAAGTAAAACTGCTTTAAGAAACGACATCCAAAAAGTAATTAAAAAATATGAATGACATGGAACATCACTTCGTTTTTTTTTGTTTTGTAGAAAGCTTAATAGTTGTCTATTTCATTTGTCAGGTTTGTACACTGTACAAAGTTAAAAGACTAGAAATTTATTGGGCTTATAGGCATATAGAGAACATTTAGGGTGGCGAGAACATACCAAGAGAATTCAAAACTAAATTAGTATATTGCTGAAAATATACGAAATTGAAGATGGAAGTAGTAAAGCTACATAGCCTCACTATTAAAAATATCATTCCTCTTGGTTGGTACTCGCGACCATAGTTATTATTGTCGGGTGACTTTACAATATTTTGACTGCATCCTGTAGTTTTTCGAAAAATTAGAAAATACAGTGTTGACGTTCTACAGTACTTCTACCTATACCAATAAATTTTTTGTAAATAAAGGTCGTCACAGTCGTCGACAAAAAATATGGAACTGAACTCATTTTTTTAAGAATGGAAATCATGTCTGTCACACAAATAAATTTTTTCTTCAGTTATCTTAATTTGTTACGAATTCCGTATGAAATCTCGTGTCAGTGAGAAGAGGCTAAAATAATGTCACCTTCGAATTGACATTTGTCACAATGTCAAGCATCTGTTCTAACCGTTCTTTTCATCCTTAGCCGCTTTCCAGCGCTTCTGGATTGTATGCACCGGGAGTGTGACGTTCCAGAACTGCTCTAGCAAATGTGCACGGGAACGCGACGATAAAAACCTAACCTGTTTTTTGATGCCAAGCAATGAAAATTGAAACACATTTTGCCTTTATTTTTAGAAGCATTGTCAGACTATCCAATTGATGTGCATTTTTATTGTAAAGCTTCTGGATAAATGTGTCGAATTCATATTTTTGTGTAGGCATTCAAAATTATTTTCAAAATGTCTAGTTATAGATGAAGCCAATTACAGGCAGCTGTGAACCTGCATTCTTGCACTCTCTTGTGGTCTTTATTATTCAGGAACATCTCAAATGTACGTTGTGACTCCGGGTCATAACATTATCAGTTTTTTACCATCCTCGAATGTCTGGTATCGGTTTAATGCGAGATTAATGCAAAAAAAAAAACAAAAACGATAAAAACATAACCTAAAAATCTTGACACATTGTCATTTTCATTATCCCCACTATTTCGGAGAGTATAACACCGAATGAAAAGCTGGTGCATGAGGAGGCAGGGGAAATCAACACTCTAGAGCACTGGAATGCTATTGACAGGTGGTGGGCAGCTCTGTTAGCTCAGTCAATTTCACGATTTTGCCCTGCTATTTACTGCTTATCCAAATCCGGTTTCCGAATTGTTAGCACCTCTAGCGGCCGTTGTACAGTCAGTAAGCCTGTATAAGTCAAAATATTTAGAACAGATTCTGAAAAAATGCACCAAATTTGTTCATACAGAATCATGTACAAACTGCTATCCGACACTACACTTACTTTTGTATTAAATCTTCACAGAAAATTAAATATTCAACACCAACATTTCCTCTGTTCTGACATCTTTTCTAGCGAATTTCCAAATTTCTAATACCAAAAAACAAATTTATGTTATCGTGGAAAAGATTTTTTCATAAAGCGTTTTTTTACATAAAATTTGGCCATTTGCACCACCGTTATGATCGTTTATTGACTTATTTCCTATGCACCGACTTGAAAAGCCATCTAAGCTGTTATTAAAATTCAAATTCTTTGTTGACGTTGTTGAATGTCATACGTACCAAAACCAAGAAATCACAAAATGTTTGAATATTTACATCGACAATGTTGTTTAGAATGGCTTTTATTTAAATCATTTTTATGGAAACATAGGTCTTTTCTGAGAAGATTCGGATCAGGATACAACCACCCTCGAAGCTTCAGGTACAAGAAACTCGAAGTTCATTCAAATATTTCTTTGTCAATAATGTTGGAATAAATGTGACATGTGAAAATTCGTAACAAAACTGACCTAAATTAAATTTGGATTGTAGATGTTCGTTTACAGCCTGAATACACTTCAGAAACCTTATTAAATTTAGTCTAATTTTAGACCAAACTTGTTGCCTCAGTCCAACAAAACCATTACCTTATGGATACCTACGTTAACCTACATTAGGCAAGTTTACGAATATGATAAGTAAGAGATTCCAGACATGCGCATATTATTTTTATATCAAATTAATAGAACTACTCAGCACGATCAAAAAGCTGAAGCTATCTAGTAACTTTATAGTTTCATTAGAAAGAGGAATTATTGTCCAACTTGATTAATGAACGTATCAATACTCACTTCCGAGATTGCGTTGATCGTCGTCCACGTTCACAGAACCATTTGGCTTAATGTTATTGATTGTATTGCTTCTTCCTCCATATAGCCTGTTTGGTACATCACAGTTGACAGGACTGGATACCTTATAATCTACGGAAAAAGATAGGTTTGAAATAATGAAAATATTCAGATTGAGCATTATTTCGATCATGGGTATTTTCAAAAATGTTTATTTCGATGAAATAATTCAATAATATCAGTATTTTACACCCAGAAAATACTTTCTAAGTGATTTAACGTTTTCCCACACCATGTCTTTAGAATGAAAGCCTAATTCTGCCTTAGAGGTTAGGCTTCCGTCAGATGTGAGGGAAATAACCTTTAGTTTCTGGCATTGGCATGCCATGTAATGGATGTCTGCCGGTATTGGGAATAAAAATAGAACTCCATTGACTGATTGCTCCGGAGGGGATAACAGAGGATTACGTACATAAACGTACATTTTTCTGGGTAAAGAATACTCCATTGTGTCATAGAATATCCAAAGCAGATATGTATAAAAAATGAAAAATTCCCTATTTCATCAGTACTAATTTAGTTAGTTCTATGTCCAAGCCTAGCAAATACCCGTTTCAATGACCCTTATTCATGCTAGTTATTTGAGATACACCCAATAAACAGTGATGACTCACCGTTTTTGACTTTGTTCTTTTCTCCTAACGTAGCAGCCATTTGCATTCTATCTGCCCACGTAGCTTTTTCTGAGTCCCTATATTCTCCAGCACAGCCCTGAGGAGCGCTTCTGTTCAAGTTCCTTGCATAATCGGCTGGAACATTCTCTAGTTCATCACCAGCAGATCCATAGCTTCTCAGTGTATCTAAATTATTCAGCATTACCTGAAAATACAATAGTATTACATATAGTTACACATACCTTGTTTTATTTTTGCTTATTGATCATATTGCATTACAAAACTGGGCTCTCAATTATAGTCGGCACTTGAATAAGACTCAAGCGAGGTTATGGAAATTCCAATTGTCACTTAATCGTTGTGGTTGTGGAACTTACTTTACTGTTAAAACAAGTAATTAAATAAATACCACAAACTTAATGGAAAATTATGATTTTATTTGATTTATGAAGTTGCAGGAACGACCTGAACCAAAAAACAGCGTTAATAGGCACATATGCGTCAGTATCCAAATAACTTAGCTGTTTATTTACAAATGGATTTAAAAAAACAGACATTTCACGTTCCTATAGCAATAATGAAGTTAACGATTTGATGTTAGTTTACAGTGAGCATCTTCAAGATTCTATTGATTCATCGCGAGTGTAATGGATTTCCTGGGTGTTTCCATTGTTAATTGGCACGTAATATATATTCATTCATTCATTCATCTCGAGTTGCACAGGAGAAGACCTAGACACCCCCGAATGTTGCAAATTAAGGAAAAAGTTAAAAAACCTTTTTTTTAATCGAATTGCGACAAATTCGAACAGTGTTTACGAACAACATGTGATCGGCGGTACTTGAAGTATCTTATCAAATGAATAACGAGTACCTACTTTTTCAATTTCTTTTTTGTTTTCACATATCATTTCACGGCATACTAGTTATTTCAAACAGTGGTTTCTGAACAGGAAATTCTCAACTTTCAGAACAGTAATCAGTATTCAACTGAAGGTTATAATTATACGGGACCTAGCGACCTAATATGCACTGGAGATTTTTTGAGATGTATGTTTATTATTGCGTTCATTTATATCCGATATCACCAAATTTAAGCCTGAAAATTGAATACTGAACTGGCTGTCCATATTGCAGGTTATTCTTACCGTAGCAGCATTATTGCAATTATATAAGGGATCGTTCTGCGAACTGGGCGTATAAGAAACGGGTCGTGGTGGACATATGGGGACCTCTCCACGTTGGTTCACCTCCAGGTTGCTTAACTTGGATCCGCGCTTGAATTCGGACATCTCTTGTGGCCGTGTGTGGTTAAGCACGATGTTGTCTTTCAGATTTTCGTTGAGGCGACGGCGTCGTCTTGTCCTTTTGCAGTAACATCTAGAAATTGGAAAAAGCAGAAAAGTAGTAAAGTGTCTTTCTAGTTTGATGATTTTGACTTATAAAATTTTATTTGACTCCAAACCTCAATGGTTGCAGAATATATATATATATATATATATATATATATATATATATATATATATATACAGGGTATCCGCAAAGTTGGGGTTTTCCTTTACACGACGTGTAGATCTTGAAAACATTAGCAATTTTTCTTAGTACCATATACACCAATGTCTTAAGGGAACCGAGATAAAGGGCTCTGCAACATCAAAAATATCTGAATACCGTCCTGTAGCCGCGACCCGGGACATCACAGATTGGTACAAGGTCTCAACCCGACGGCAGAACTGGGTCGGGGTCAGTGTGTCAGGTCAGTATGCAACCTTCAACCGATGGTTACGGTCACGCATGTAGAGGTAATCGCGTAGACGAGAATCTCTAGAGATGTGGCTAGAGAAGTGCAAGTATCATAAACTAAAGTGTGGCAAACGCTGCGTGAAGAGGGGCTGTATCCGTTTCACGTCCAACCTGACGATTTTCCAGCAACAGTGCGGTTTTGTGAGTGGTTGTTGCATCAACATGACAATAATCCGGACTTTTTGAAGTGCATATTGGTGACAGACGAATCTACGTTCACGCGTAATGGGGTGAATAACTTTCGCAACACTCATGTTTGGTCAGTAGAAAATCCGCACGCAATTACGCAACATTTTGCCCTCCTTGTTAGAAGATGTGCCATTAAGTGTAAGACAATGAATGTGGTTTCTGCGTCTGCTCGGTAGCGCTTCAGCTGATTTCATTTTCTGTTGGAGCGGTATGATTTCGGGCAGAGACGTACTTAGCCCTTCTCGTCAACTGGAGAGTGAGTACTTTTTTCTTTATTTTTTTTTACTTGGTCGCCCTCGTTTCATTATACATTACCTTTGTTATTTCCAGGGTAGTTGTTTCTGAAAAGGAAAACCCCAACTTTGCGGACACCCTGTATATATATATATATATATGAATAATAACTGCATTTTTATTATTTTTCCATCTTCTTCATACCCCGTTTCATTGTCAAGATCAGTTTATCCCTTTTGAAACGTTACATAGGGAAACAAATTAAAATCTAAAGGTATGCTATTCATATATACATTATATACATCTGGGACTATTCTCTGTTAAATTCTGAATAAGGGTCTCTGTCTTTGCAGAGGGCCTATTTTTACAGAAACTTTTGTGTTATTATTTTAAGTGTTATATATGAATCATAAGGATTAACCACTTATTTTAGTCTGTATGAAAACATAGCGTAGCTAGCAATTAGTACTTTGGGTATCTGGTAAACAACATATACATGAAATATATTTTGGAACCAATTCAACGTTTGCTTCGTGATTTATGTTAATCATTGAAAGCAGACTAATCGGTCAAAAATACAGTGATGGGAAAGTTACCACATAAATTCGTACCAGTTCTTGAACTAGTCAATGGGGTATTTTCCATCCGAATAAAACTGCACTTTTAGTAGCTGAAAAAACACGAAAAAAAACACGAAAATTTTATTTTTAGTTAATTAAAGAATTTAGAAATGCTTCATTTGACTTTTACTAAGTTTCTAAGCTGATAACTAAAATAGAGAGGGGTGGCAAAAACTCACGCTACGCCACTAAAATGTCATTACTTTACACTGTGTATTATCTTCGTGACCGGTATATTCCATGTCCAAATCGGAGACAAAATGCTGTATCTCTTACATCTGACAGAAGTCAACTTCATAGAGGAAGTAGGGCCTTATTCTAAGGACAGGGCCTGGAAAATCTGTCTTCTGAAGCGAACTCGCACTTTTTGGAAACAATATAATGAAAATCTGCGAAAACATTTTTTTAAAACATCCCATTGCAACAGCTGTAAACCGTTAAGTTGTAATAAGACATACCTGCAGATAAGTATGATGATGATAAGGAGTAGCAACCCAACAGCGGTAATTCCGATATAGATCAATTCCTGCCAAGTGATGTTGTAGAAGGATGTGGAGAGAGGCGTGTTGTATATCATGCTGGCACAATAGACTCCAGTGACATTCGATGGACATATACAGTGGAAGCCACCAATCTCATTGATACAAGTGCCACCATTTTGGCACGGCGACGATTCACACTCATTCAGATCGAACTCGCAGAATTCGCCCGTGTAGGCACGGCATTTGCATAGGGGACCATCATCTCCTGTAAAATAGGCGATACATTAGTAAGTACTGAGCATGATTATACAACATAAAGGTAGTCCTCTCTACTAATTTTTTTAACCGGTCTAGTTATAAAGCTGAAATTTGGAGTAATGGAATAAGACTGGTGCATGAACAATATATTTTAGAGCAAAAGTGTCAGTTGATAAGTTCAACATGAGGGCTGCGCGCTATTTTGGAAATTTTAGTCGAATGCGAGGCATGTGGTACCTCATTATTTCTCTCTTCTTTCGAGGAGAACTAGCATGCTGTCAAAGTTAAGCGTTTTCGTACATTGAATCGCTTTTATAACTCTACAAAGGTTCACGAAACTACATCCAGGGTGATTCAGAAAAACAGGCCAATGTTGAGACTGAATAAGGGCAAAACATTATTAATGTTCAGATAACTATATTGTGAGATATGAATACACTCCTAATACAGTAATACACAAATTTTCATTGTGACTAACTTCCGAATAATTTCAAAGTAGAACGGGGTGAAACTTTAATTCGGATGTTATCTCAAATATCTAACCAAATTTTCCCCTAAAGGACGAAAATTCTCGAGAGAGGTGATTCAGCCAAAATTGAATGTCTTATTCAAAAATAGAATTGATGTTTAAAAAATTCAGAGACGTAGAAAATAATTTTCTTTTTTCTTCTGCAGGGGTCAAAATTTCCCAATTTTTACGCCATTGGTGTAGTCTCAGCCACGAACATTTTTGTTTGTAATGGCATGTTGTTTAAATCAATATCTTAAAACACTCTGAAGATGTATTTTTTGGATTTCAAAATTAAAACTTGTATCTTTTGGTGAGGGAACAATTTAGGATCCATGTTTATGAGAATTGTTCGTGTTATTTTTGGACCTAGTTTCACCCCAGAAAGACTTCCACGATAAATCACCCTGTATAATAGTATAGCAATCTTCTTCTCTTGGAAAAAGATCTAATAGGTTTTGACAAATTGTAAGTGGAATGTTCGATGTGTTTACGACTGCTAAGATGTATGTTCTACGATGTTCTATCCCCCTTGAAGAAAATTCAACGGAAACCAGTTTTAAACAGACTGGTGAAAACTGAATATCATCAGACTGATCAGTAATAATCAAACATACGAAAGCCCGAAATTATACCTTCTTCACAAACTCCACCATGTTTGCAGGGATTCGGAGAGCAATATCTTCCATATTCACATCTTTTACCACTCAGTCTCAAGATGCATTCACAAACGAAATCGCCGCTAGATGTCGCCGAACATTTTCCGCCATAAAGACAAGGTGCTGAAGCACATGGATCAGTATCTAGTTCACACGAAGGTCCTTTAAACCGTCCGTGACAGTCGCATTCGTAGTTGCCATTCTTCATCTCCCTGGAATGGGAAAAAATAAACAAATACAGTGAGAAGACTCAACAGCAATTCATCAGAACAAAGCGCATCTCCAGCAATCACAGTTATTGACATTGCTACCTGTATGTGTGATTGTAGTAATGTCAATATCAGATGGAGTTCAATATGAATGACTGACGTGTTATTCAAAATTAAAAATGCTTGTTGGCATTTCCACACATTGACAACAAGGCCAAAAGTTGACTTACCTGCAGGTGCCACCATTTAGACAAGGCTGAGATCCGCATGGTCCAGGTGGAATAAGTATGCTGCTAGAATCACAACTGAACTCTACGTTGGCGAATCTTTTCAATACAACCACTGAATTCTCCCCTGACTTATGCAGAGGTACTGATACTCTTGATATGCGGATGTCGTCCATGCAACCGATAAAACCACGCTGGACATCTTCAAAGCCTGTCAAAAAGATTATTGATTGATAATTCCAAGATCAGTATATCAATTATTTATTGCACAAAATTTGCAGGTTCTGTTACTTTTTATGAGTTCCGATCGATAAAACTAGAGGAATCTAGGAACATCTTACACCTTCAAGTTAATTTCTCAGGGATTCACATTTGGTTGATTTGTATAGCTACAAATTAGCTGCACATTTTTTTTTCGTCTCCAAGTCCCTTGATCATATCCACAAAAAACCAGTGGCGTGCTTAGTCAAAATTTCAAATTCACGCGCATAATGCCGCCCGCAGCACCCTCAGGGAGCCGTTGTCGATCCCGCAAAAAGTACATATTCATGATCTGTATATAATTTTGAAGATTTTTATGAATTGATAATTCGGGTCGGTGGAAAATGGAGATGTTACAGGGACGTGTTTGATCCGAAACAACAGGTGTAAGTATGAAAATGAACTCAAATCAAAAAGAAGAAAAATGAAGTTGTCTTGTTTTTGCTGCAAGCTGACGATATATAGGATTGTTTAATATGGAAATACTAATGCATGTACCGTGTACCATTGACTGGCCACCCAGGTCTCCAGACTTGCCCCAACGTACTTCTTCTTGTGGGGTTATTTGAAAAGTCAAGTGTACTCTAGCAAGCTCCAGACCACTGAAGAACTCAACGCAAACATTCGTACCGCAATCGCCGCTATACCACCAGAGATGCTCGAAAAAGTAATGGAAAACGCAGCAAAACGGGCACATTTTGTTTTGGTCAATAAAGGTGGCCACTTGATAGATAAATAATGTGTTCAAAAACTAGTCGAAAAAAATTGTAAAGAACCATATTTAATAAAAATACCCGATATATAGAAATCAGTTTTTCGTTTTCATAGTTATTTCATGTTTACATACCGACATAAAAGATAGCGCACATTATATATATATATATATATATATATATATATATATTTATATCAAAATTCTTCAAGGCAATCCTCGTTTTGAGCATCAAATGAACATACTATTGATCACAGCCAATCTAATTAATGCATCTAAAGAGTCATTACCTAAAATGGAAGGATGCTGGTGCACTTCCGCCCCTAGATACATTTCGTCACTCTGCAAATTCAGAATATCGCTGACACCCGGTGCAGATCCTTGCGCAGTATATTTTCCATCTATAGTAATCTTCGCATTATTTCGTTCTCTTTCTAGTTTAATTTCATGCCATCCACCGTCTGACACATATATGTCGGACACACGCACAATGCCCTCGCCACTGCCTAAGTCGAAACGGTACTGGACTCCTCCATTCACAATCTGCAATGTCATTTGATAAGAGGTTGCATATTCAATATGAACAAGGATAATATGGCGTAAAGAGGTGTTACAATGTGGAAATACGTTGAAATCGAAACCTACTTGATTACATGGTGTCCCCAGCTATAGTATCAAATAATTGTATTTCCCCTCAGCTCTATTATTAGATACCTATATTCCTGATCTTTGTTCAAACTTTCAATATATAAGTATTTCGAAAAATATTGATTATCGAACTGTGTGTCCATATAGACTTTTGATAATAATGTATAACATGCTGCAAATTCAGCTAACTCCACTGTACCCCTTCCCCGTGTACGTATATACATTTTATCAGAATTTTAATGAAAAATATAGAGCTACTCACATCTAATATATTATAATCCACTTTCCCACTAGCGTACATCAAATTTCCAGTAGGCTGTACCGTCCTGATTCTCAAACTGAGACTCAACTGATCCTCAATGCTCTTCTTGTTGACGATCCTATACTGTGAGTAACTCTTCCCACCGAAGGATATTGGATTCCTTGCAACGTAGCAATCCCTATCCCGACATTCAGAGATATCTATTTCGCATGATGGGCCGGCGAAACCTTCAGGACACAGACAAGAATAGCCAACCTGGGATGCGTCAGGGACGCATAGCTTCGATGGAGGACAGGGAGTACGGGCACACTCATTAACTATGGTATCGCAGCGGTCACCACCATAACCTGGAACATACGAATATTCCTCAATTGATCAAACTTCTAGTAATAAAGGGTGATATCCTTTCAATGCATAAACATATGATTCACGTTAAATGGCAGTAGAGTTTAACAGAATTATCATTATCGAACGAAAAATTCAAAAGGGTTATAGTTCGTAATTGGCCTTATTAGGTTTTACATTCTTCATAAAAATTTTAATCAATTAAAGTGAATAAAGGGGTGGGAACTTCGATAAAAAAATTCCCCAAGAAATTGAAATTGATGTATGTGTTTTTTACATCATTTGTACGTGACGCTTGTGGGATAAATGGTCTTTTATTTACGAAAAAAAAAATAACATTTCAGACATAAATTACTTAATAATATCAAATTTATTGAACATAAAAATTAAATGATTTTCTCTGTTATTTAATAGTGACACTCGTTGAGAAACTTGAAAAGTAGTCTTTTGGCGATTAATTGTTTATGATTTCTCACAGTCTTTCGAATTTCAACAAGGACTCTAGCGTCTAAAGAACTAGAACAAATATTTACACCTACCTTCTTTACACTCACACTCCAACTTTTGTTTATGCCTAGGTGACACGAAACTAGTTACATCAGTAGCAATAGGCTCAATCACACTCGTATCTAACACATATCGATCTTGACATGTGCCGTACATGCAATACTTGTTGTTGCATTTCAGTCTTATGATTTCTTCTACAACCAGTTTCGCGCTCTCTTCTAATTCCTCCAGATTGTCGTTCAGGTATTTTCTGATTATTTCCGATGTGAAGTATCCACCATCTGGTTTCCGGACGGTGAACAGAACGTCCAAGTCTTTGTTCACGTACCGCTTAGACCTGTCAATAACGGCTGCGTTTCTTTTTGCCCTGTAGATATCTTCATCTAGGCTAGGTTGAACTGATATTATGACCACGTCCTTTAGTCGACAATTCATGGCGTTTCTTACTGCTCTGATAAAACCTTTGCGGTGGCTTAGGATGAAAGCCTCGGGTCGCACGTCTCTGAACCGTATTCCCACTGAGTTCTCTAGCATTTCGTCGGTGAGGATCTCCACGATTACCTTTTAAAATAAAACAGGTCAGTTCATACGTTCATAGAAGATTGTTTGGCAAAAGTTAACATCTCTTAGAAAAAGATAAACTACGAAAATGTGTAACAAAAAATTAATGGACCAAGTCAGTCAAACAGGCCTATGAAAGACACAGTCCTTGCCCACTTGAATACGCTGCGTTCTAGAAATTTCTCATCCGCCCTATCAACCATTTGTCAGTGGTGGGATCACAGCTAAAGTCTGTTAATAGAGAAAAACGTTAAACTAGTGTTGCCTGTCGCACATATATGTTCAGTTCCATTTTAAAGCCTCTATACCCTGCATCTAAACTTGACGGGCAATCTTAATGCTGGCAGGTATATTTTTTTTGAAAGATCAGTCAAAATCATGTCAAAAGACCTAAATTTGAATCGAGCACATTTGCATATAGTTTAATGTCTTTACTTTATTGGGCAAGTTAAAATATTATAGGAACTATTTTCGCGATGTATCGTCTCTCGCGCCATTTATATGCAAAGCTGACGATTGATACTAAATATGTATTCTCTATCATAATGAATAATTCATTTAGAGCTACTTAAAGTTTTTACCAAAGCATATAAATTAAAAACAATCAGCTGCGTCGGGTTATTGTGATTATCAAACAAAAGAAAGATCCACATCAGTTTTTTTGACGTTTTCTCATGGTCCTGATTATTTTAAGCGGTGTCGAGAAATACCAGTGATGAGCTAAAAAATCTTATATACGTTGTAATATAATCGTCTGATGCTTATTTTTACTAGAGGGATTAAAATTCGCAAGATCGCAATCATTTTTGGTTAAGTTGAAAATTAATTTGATTCATTACGCGAGAAGTACAGAAAGAAAAATCTAGCAAAGTTGCAGAGAAATACCTCATATTATAATTAATAAAATAGTGACAAAAACCATCATCGGTTATCAACGAATAGACGTAGGTGGTACCAAGAACTTGGCAGACAGTAGCCAGTAGATTAAACTATAAACACGTCAAACTGAGCAAATTATTAATGAGGTTAGGATATGAGATGTGATTAATTTTTTGTTGGTCACTGATTGTAATACAGAATAATCCGTCAGTTTCATATATTGTTTATCAGTTACGCACCGTTTTTAAAATAATAATATCCATACACACCTTCACAATCATATGCGTTGCGTACTTTCCATCCGATACGGTGACGTTGAGTCTATAGTCTCCGACATCCAATCTTGGCAAGGCAGTCAAAGTGCCATCGGTACGGTTGATGTGGAAGAACTCGTGAGTAGGATACGAGATTCCGATGGTAGGAGACAGGGAATACGTTAGAGTATCGTACTGATCTTGATCATTCGCATGAACTTTACCAATAACGCCTCCCGGGTACTCGTCCAGGAATGAGTTAATGTTGATCTCAAGGGGAGTGATCACTGGAGGGTATTGGGATTCTTCAATCACTTTCACCACCACCTAAAAAATAGCAAATATACAGTATGATGTAATCAAACAGGAGGCAAGGGAGGTATAACGTGGGATGTCTTCGAAGTTTGCCGAATGACTTAAGTGTCCAAGTCCGTGTGTTAATGATACATGTTTTCTGCATTGTCCATAATATATTACACGCCACTAGAAAATCGTCGATCTCATTTGCTAAAATCTAATATGTAATGATTCTTCAAAGAACACTGTTTATTAACATGAAAGAACCATTAGATTGTCAGGTACCTGTTTCCATTGTTCTCATCAATGCATGCATACACATTTTCCAATATGCAACCTACACATCAATTGAAAATCTACCATAAATAAAGTTAAGACTGAACAAAGTAAATTTGAATAAAAATACTTGATCATTGGTTACAACTGATGGACAATAAGTTCATGGAAAAAGAATTATCTATCTCGCACCACCGGATTCATCTGTCGCCAAATAATACCGCCATTTTATCCATTACCTAAAGTCATGTCCGTATGAACTGTTCTATTAATGCATTGGGAACGCCGCGGAAACATAAAAAATGCGTTTTGTTCTTTACGTTTTACGTATTGCCCTTTTAACGTGTGAGTTATATGTCACTGTGCATACTTATTGAAATGGAACAGCTATTCTGCAATCATTTGTTAAAGCTACTTTTATACAGGATACAGATGAAGAGGCTAAATACTGGATAACTTACCCAAGTGTCCGAATACAGAGGAGGACTGCCATTGTCAAACACCCTGATCTGCAGCACATATGTGTTGCGGATTTTGTGATTAAACTTGGTCGCCGTCCTCAGTATGCCATCTTGATCAAGTCTGAATGTGTTACCTTCATTACCACTTCGAAAATCGAACGTGTATGGCACTGTGTTAGGGACTGTATCTGCATCAGTTATGTCGAATTTGAGGATCGAGTGTCCTATAGGTTTGTCCTCCTATACCAAAAATATACATATAATTTTCTATTTTAGTAAGGTTACTTATATAAATGAATATAACGCTAAACCCCATAATGCTATTCTGACAAATAAGTCGTGTTTTGAACGTCAAAAAAGTTACCTTAACGTATGTCGCGGTACTATTAAGACTGTTATGGGTAGTCGCATTACGGCATATGCTAAGAGACCATTTATACGCGCGATTTGTAATGCACGACAAGGTCCTAGAACAAGGTGGCGCGTTTTGAATGAACAGTCGTAGGTTATTTCTTAACGCGCAATTTCTGGGACATGTCGTGCGTCTTTGGCCGTTAACGCTGCTAAATGATGTCGACACAGATTGTCACTTGATAGTCGTGCTGAGTTCAAGGCGCTGCTGACCAAAGACGAGCAACATGGTCTAGAAATGGTGGGATAAGATAAATTAAGCGCGTCATGTATGGACGGTCACAAGTTTTTTTGTAAACATCAAAGCTGCAGAAACTATTTAGAGCAGGAGTTGTAATACAAATATTATAAAGACCTTCTGCGTAGTAGTGCTGTTTTCGACAATTTAAGGGACATAACATTTACAGTTTTTTGTCCTTATCCATAATGATCTCAAGGAATTGCTTCAAAATATTTGCCCGCATGGATAGTTCTAAAATAATGTAAAATAAATTTTGGATATGCCAGGTGATGATAGTTTCAATAAAATTGAACAACAAATATCTACTACATAAAATTTGCTCATATTATTATCACATTTGATATATCTTGGTGTGTTCATTCCAAAAATCACATAAGTGTTTGCGTAGCAGCTCTAGTTATGTTGGATTTTTCAAGCTAGCCGCGTTTAGAGCGGCGGTGAGTATTAAGCCAGTTTCAACTAGTACATTGATCATTATTCTCCCATTTAAAACAATGGATACGAAGAGAAGACGTTATTTAAATAATTCAGACAGTGTTTGTGTTATTTGCGGTAAATATCCCTTTCGAGAGTATCGTAAATCGATTAGGGACTTCATTAAATCTGCGTACATTAACGACTTTAGAGAGAATATTTGCATGCCAAATAATGCATGTCAAAATTGTTTTGTCTCTTCGCGGAAATGGTCCAACGGAAAAAGATCTGCTCTTAAATTTAAGACGCTCATGATTTGAAGAAACCTCTTAGTCATCGTGATGATGTATTATTTTTGTGTAGTTGACATCACATTACACTCTGTTCAGTTATCAAAGTCAGTATCATCGGCACCAACATTTTTTGAACCTGGCGATATTGAAACTGAGAAAAAAAACATGAATCAGACTCTGATTTTTTAGACTGGGTAACGAGTATTTTAAAACAGGCATTTTTAATGGACCACAAATTAGATAACTGATAAAATGAACGAACCTAGAAATCTTCTAGTTCAGTGATCCAAAACCTCTCGAGATTCATGAATCATAAAACTATTTCCAATTATTTAACGATATGTTGCCAAATTTGGATCATCCATGACCATTAATTATGTAAATTTTGATTTGGATTGACTGAAAGCTTGACTAGAGCAAGATGAAAGGTTTTAATAGAAAATTCGCACAATTGAATAACGTTACCAAGGGAGGTGGAGCATACTCGTACATGTGATTACTGCTGGAATCTTCCTCGGGATCTAAAATATGCAGTTCATTCAAGGAAATCTTATAACTGGCATTTTTTCTTTCACTACAATAACTTAAAAGTGTGCAAAAATAATACTTTTGTAACTTGCATGTAAATTTGATACTAGAGCTGTCAGAGGAAAACCAGTGTTATCTTCATAAGCAACATACCTAATTTAACCGAAAACAAAAAACACTCTGGAAAATTTTTAAGTGCTGACCAGTGTTATCATTCAGTTCTAAATAAATAGCTCAGAAACTGAGAGCAAACGGTCATATTGCTAGCAGATGCCTCTTCGATACGATATGGCTCGTTGCTGCATTCTAATGCAGAAACTCCAAGTAGACCAACAAGGAATTGCCCTTACGATGATGATGAGTAATACTCGTGGTAACGTACCGCATCTCTGAACTTTCCATCACTTCCTCAACGGTAACGAGTTTTTGGCATTCAAGCGAGACACGATCGTGACAACTATCTTTTCTGAATGTCTGGCACATCTAGCGTTTCAAAATAATTTGACAATATCAATTTCAGCAGTAGTGCAGTGAAATAGTACAATGCATATCTAAATTGCAATGTGACCCATTATTAGGGGAGTAATTTTATAAGCTGAGGCATGTTGTGCTGACGCATTTACTTTCGACATCAATAATTTGCTCTCACATGAGCATCATTGCAGTTCCAAATTATTTTGCAAATGCTTTGGAGTATCTAGTTGTCTGTTGTCTAATTCACATTAATGAATGTCACAAACAGTCTGTCAGGACTATTCCATTTTAAATAAGAATGAGGTGCAAGCGTTAGTAGGTTGTATTTTCAAATACTCGGAAATACTGCAGTATTTTAAATGTTATTCATTATTTGCTTAATTATTGTCATTATTTACATTGGGAGAGAAAGGATGCTTCACATTGGAGGATTCCTGCCATTATTGGTGATTTCTAAGGTTAACAGTGAAAAAATAAAATTATGTAACCGATATATTACCTGTATGATTGCAGTGTAATTAGCTTGAGAGAATAACGGCGGATTGTCATTTGCATCAGATATTTCAATATTCAGCATAGTTTGTCTTGACAGTACAGGTACTCCGTTATCTTTGGCCAATATTTCAAGAACGTAGCTGGATATACTTTCCCTGTCCACCTCAGCAGCCACAGAGACATAGCCAGTATGCACGTTGATTTCGAATTGATTCAGATTGTCCCCTCTGATGATCGAGTAGGATATTTCACCGTTTTTTCCGCTATCCAAATCCGTTGCTGTTATCTGAAAATGGTATAATATGGCATCACACATTAGAAGAGAGGTCATTTTAAATCTGATTTATTGCCAATGAATAAATCGTTCAGTATCAATTCTCAGATAGTAGATCGTTCTCACGTCTATGGCAAAAATTTAGGTTCCGTGGAAAAATTAGCGACGCATTTTACACAATGTAATGTAGCCCTACTTTCGTGTCACGGAGGTAAGGCTTCAGTTAGATATGAAAAATGAATCATTATTCTCTTATTCAAGGGACAGGAAATAGAGAGAGTATAAATGAGTTGTATTCGAATCTAGTAATTTCAAATACGTTTTTTCTATCACATGATTGAAAAAAATGGCGTAAAATATATTGGCCCTATTCTTCCCACGCAACGCTGTGATCAACTCATGAAAAATTATGTTCGACACATGTTAGCCCCTCTTAAAAATAATCTAACATACTAACATGTCGAACAAAAAAATTAATCAACGAAGACAGTCAATTAGTCCCCAATCTCCAGGTCATACAACTAATTTCTAGCTTTGAATTTCAAATAAGAGTATTTGAGACAAGAATCCAATGGAATTACCATCAACACATATTATTAGCACACAAATCCTCACTATGCATCCATGCATTGCCGTTAGCTCCAGTAATGCCATCTCTGAAGCAGATTTTACATCACATCAGAGCCAACAGATTGATAACTGAAGCCTCATGACGTTTAGGCAACACGTACAACTACAAAACGAGTTCACAAAGTGTCCATCAGCTAGTGCTAAGTTAACATCCGGTAGGAAAACCAACATAATGCCACAAAAAACTAATTTGTCAAAAGAATCGACATAATGTCACTTCTCAAAATACGTAATACCCGCGCGGAGCGGCACTATCCAAGTTATGGAGGTGTCAAAAATTAGCTGACAGACTGACAGATCGTCAGAGACAGGAGGAAATATATATGTCATGTAACATCTAAAAAACATGATACCTCATTTAAGAAATTTCTCGCTATTACAATACTTTCTCGCCAATTAGAGTGGGAATTAAGAATGCATATATACCTGTACCTCAGAGCTAACAGGGCTCAAGCCCACTTTATTATTAATTTGAATTTTTTATATAAGCACCATCTTCTGTTTTTATTATTGGTAACGAAGTTAATCGTACTACTTAAAGTTTTGTCCTGATACTATCTAGGTTAATCGAAATATATCCATAAATACTTTCTGAATTCACACACGGATATTATGGCCAACAATGAAGTAACATGTCTTAGGACCGAAGGCATAGTCGTTTCCCGCTTGTTGTGAGGAGCCGCCTCATATTTTCTTGTCAGTCATAAATAAGGAAGCATAAAAATGTTCCCTTGTATTTGTAATAGCACTCGTTTACTCCTCTAACATCTATTAAGTGATACATTTTCATGCAGATTTTTTAGCACTAGATAATATCACCTATCTATCTTTGAATGGCAGCACTGAAAACGTTTTTTCTGATTTCGCTTCTGTTCACTCTTAGGTGCAGACATATTCCAGTATAGGCATAAATACCTGTAAAATTTTGTCTCCAATCTGAGCATCCTCTCGAATCCTTGCACTGTACGACATCTGACTAAATACAGGTGCATTATCATTGCAATCGATGACAGTAATGTTGACAGTTGCAACATTACTTAGCGGTGGAGTTCCACCATCTACAGCTTGGATGGTTAAAAAATAGTCTTTTGCCCTTTCATAGTCCAACATGTCGGCTATAGTAATCACGCCTGTCTTGTTGTTGATGGCAAATTTTTTATGTTCGTTTCCACCTATAAAAAGTATATATATATATTTATTACAGACACGTTTTGAATTCAACGGACACGCGTTACTGAAATCAGCAGATACTTCAAGAATTAGTAGTATTAGTAGCATTTGGCAAAGGGTAAACTGTTTTGCTGAATATGCCGGCATCAGAGGAGTCAATTAGACCAATTCTATTTGAAACTTGCTAAGTATATTGCTGTTTGAATCAAGCTGCTACTGACTATTAATAACACTAATTACAAGTGTTTCATTTTGAAAATAACGCTGTTATCATCGAGAGGTTACGTGAACATTCGAGATGCTGCTAGTTTGGTAATGGCGCGAGCAATTCATCACAATGCACATATTTTGTTCGTTTCTTCTAACTTCGTTAGTCTTTAGTTTTGTGTAAATAGTCAATGAGTACGTTGCAATAGCATCCCCAATTTTTCAGAATTGAATTGCATGCATAAACAACTGCAATATTCTATAGGGTACCCCAATATATTCCTATGTAAACATATACATATCAACAGTTCCATCAAAACCCATTCTTATTTTTTGAAATATAAACATGAACTTTGTGCATATGGGAAATAAGGATCTTCTCCGTAAGAAATAAAACGATAATATGAAAAAATTCGCACTTTGGATGATTTTGTTTTTGAGATATAAATAAGAAATTTGAAAGTACGAGAGAAAAGATGTTAGTGCAGAGTATTGTCTTTGAATTTTTCTCTTTTTGTTTAAAGTATTTCATTTTCTAAGAAATTTCTCTACAGAAATCGAATACATTTACAATTTTTTTTCTGGAAATTCAAAAGACCGTTACACTAACCTTCTAGTACGATATTTTTCATTATAAAAAAAGAACATCTCAGAAAACAATATTTCTTACAGAAAAGATCTTTTGAAAAAACTGCAAAGGCAAATTTTTTATATCTAAAAATAAATAAAAACTACTGATGATGTTTAGCCTTAATGCTTTGTGCTTGCTGTATAAGCGAATAATATATAATTTTATTTTTATTACAGTGACTAATTGGGCTGAATATATGGATATACTTTATTATTCTATAAGTATATGTATGGCTTACCAACTATTGAATAATACACCTCAGCATTAGCTCCAATATCTTTGCTGGTAGCCAGCACCCTGACAACTTCAGTACCAATCGTGTCTATCTCCGGCACAGTTGCAAAGTAATACTTGGTCTCAAATTCAGGTGGATTATCATTAATATCTTGGACATTCACGATTAAATAAGCTGTGCTCGCTAACTGCGGTGTTCCTTGATCAACTGCTTTTACCGTGAGATTGTACATAGATCTTAGCTCTCTATCTAGCGGTTTGGCTAGTGTTATGATTCCACTTTCTGGGGCCATACGGAAATGATTGTTGAATGAATCAATGAAGAAATATTTTATCTTTCTATTGATGCCTATATCTAAATCTGTAGCGTGGATCTTAGTAACCAAAGTTCCAACCTCAGCATCTTCGGGTAAAGCCACAGAATAGTAAGGAAGAGTAAATTGGGGTGCGTTATCGTTGAGATCGGACATCGTGATTTCTACCTCGGAGCTACATTCCCAGGTAGTATGTTCTCTGTCGTGTACATGGGCTGTGAGGAAATATTTGGCCTGCGTTTCTCGATCGAGGTGTTTTTGTGTTTTGAGCAAGCCTGCATCTGGATCTAAATGAAAATTTTCTGATCCTTCCCCAGATAATATGTATCTGAGTTTTGAATGATCTGGACCATCTGCATCGGTTGCTAGGATGTTTAGCACGAAGGACCCTGGTCGGATGCCTTCAGATAGTGATTGTCGATAACGGTGTTTAAGGCAGTATGGAGGGTTATCTGAAATGAGGAAATCCAACATCATACTTCTAATTATACACACTTTGCAAATTTTCTAATTGCTAAAAAACATAATCTAGTAGAAATATGTGTTTAAATTGAAAAAGCGTCCAACTCAGTTCTAAGATCTCTAGAAATCAATACTTTTGGTTATATTATTTTCACCATCCTTTTTATATACCGAAGCAGCTGCGCAGGCAGAAGCCTAAATATCAAAACACGAATCGCCAAATACTGTTAACATTTTATCTGTTGTGAAGGTAACACAATTCCATTCTATCTACTTAGAATATTACTAGGATTATTGAATTGCAAGAGCTGGATTCGGTGTGTAAAACACATATTTCGTTATTCCAGTTATTATGACGAGTATAAGAAATCCTTTGCTAGTTGAGTAAGTAATCTATCTACATTATGAGTAAAACTTAATTTATGATCAATGGTCAGTCCCAAAAATTTGATTGCTAGATATCATCTGAATGAAGTTACAACAACCTATATGAAAATGTCATGCAACTCACCATTAGCATCTAATATGTCAACTTCAACATTCACCGTGTCCGTGAACAGCCCGTCTGTCACAATAACTTTCAAGTTATACTTAGATACCTTTTCTCTATCTAAGGCTTTCGACACGTATATCTCCCCTGTTTGTTTAATCTGAAATTGAGAGCTAGGATCGCCAGAAATGATATAGAACTCCACAGGAGTTTGTAAATCTATATCAGCATCTGTTGTTTGTACAGCTATTACTACAGTTCCAGGTAAGGCACTTTCGTTCACTGAGCTTTTGTAAAAGCGTTCTTTGAACTTGGTTGGACTGTCGTTGTAATCTTTGAGCTTGATAATAATGCTGCTTCGAGCTGAATGTTTAGGAGTTCCTGAAAAAATAATGGGTTTTATTCCATGGACAGATATTCGTTACTGTCTTATAAGACCAGCGATAGTATTCAAACCAAAGGAATGTAGGAGAAAAAGAGGGATGCAGTCAGACACTGGATGTAATGGAGTTCTTGGGCGGTAATTTGGAATATATCCATTAAAAATATCACCGAAAGCACGAAAATTATTCTCTACGCGACATGTACTCATACAGTTATTGCATATGTATTTATTTTAATCAACTTCAAGTGTTTGAACTGATCTAAAGCCACGAACATACTGGAAGTTTCCAATGAGCTTTCAAGCTGTTTCGTGTGAAAACTCTGTAGGGTAAACGACCACTGCATATTTAATGATGAGATCGAAGGGCTATCTGTCTTTATTTTAATCAACAGCTGTTAGTGGTCTGAAGTCAAGAACATTTAGAAAGTCTCAAATGAGGTTCCCAAGCTGTCTCGTATGACGGCAGTGCAGGATAAACGGTACAGGATTTGTTAATGGCGAGATTGGAGTATGTGGGAACTATCAAATATTGCACGGGAGTGAATCAATAACTTAGGAGAAGGATCTGAAAGCAACAATAGTTTTTCAGACGATCCCTATACACCTACCGGTTTCTGTAGCACCGTCTTTTCTCTCGTTGGGCTGATACTAAGCTCGTTGGTTTTTTCAACAGGAATAAGACAGTTACGAATGTTCATCAATTTAAATATTATATTTCAATTAATTTATAAAACATACCATTGTCTGTTGCAGTGACATAGAACTTGTACTCAGATTTAGACTCTTTATCCAGAGCTGCGATGGTGGTGATCCATCCAGTGTGAGTGTCGATGGCGAAGTAGTTGGATGTTTCTGAGTTTTCATAAGCGAAGTTATACCGCACTTCGCCGTTGCTACCTTGATCTTCATCATGTGCTACCACTAAAAACATGAAATATATATTGAATTTGGTCAACTTACTTTTACATGGAATACGATAATTAATGCATGGAGATATCCAATTAAAATAGGTGTTAGAGATGCCAAAATGGATTGGCGATTCTAGCGTATTCTGTAAGTCAGTGGCAGAACTCTGTTCAAAGTAGATTTCTAAATTCATTTTTGTCTTCTGCTACTGCCTCCTAGATGTCACTAGTATAGATCACATTTATTTTCGGATGCCGGAATATATGGTATGTATATAGTTCGATTTCTTTAGGTAGAATACATTGATCAATGTAATAGCAATTAAAATACAGCAAATTAGTAATTATTTTACATTGACCATGTTAAAAAATTATTGTCAATAAACGCATTTTAGAACATATCTGACCATTATGGAAGGTGCAACCTTGTATACTAAAAGAGAGGTGCCTTAACCGGGAGCTTCTGCAGTACGGTACGGATTGATTAGCGACAGGCAGTATGGTTTCCGGTACCAGCGCGGCGATCCATGGGGGACTTCCTAGCTTAAGTCAGGCAACTGTGGAGTAAATCCATCCAAATCATATGGTGACACTCACATCGTTGCTCTTGATATCACCAAAGCGTTCGATCAGGTGTTGCACGCTGCCCTCATATGCAAACTTCCATCCTAAGCTGTGCAGATGGCTATCTGGCCGCAAGATGTCGTAACTGACGAGTTCTCATCTTCAACCCACAATGTCAACGCATGAGTTCCGCAGTGGTCGGTCTTGGCCCGACATTGTTCCTCTTACATATCAACGGCCTTCTCTCCTGTACGATCATTCCAATCCACAGCTTTGCTGATGATAGAACACTACAAGCAGTACATGTCGCAATTCAGAGTGCCAAGCCGATGTTTGCCGTTGAGCTGGAGAAAAGAGACTAGCAGCGACTTCCTCTCTGACGTGAGACTTGAGACGTGAGAATTTATCACTGCTTGGGGACGCAACAATCTGATAGTATTTAACGCTTCGAAAACATAGAGTACTGCGCATTGACTAACAAGAAGCGCTCTGGCGATCATCCGGTTTCGATGGATAGCCAAGTTCTAACAAAGAACCGGTCGGACTCCAGATCACCGACTACTTGATCTGGCATGAACACATCTCATCAATCGTGGCAGCTGCTGTGAAAAGTTTGGTTTATTGTTTAGGGCTAAGAAGTATTACTACTACCTCCTCACTTTGTACAAGGTCCAGATAAAACCTAGCCTTGACTACTGCTCACATGTTTGGGGTGCTGCCGCCAATATTATCCAAGCTAGATGTTTTTTAAAGGTCCGAGTGATCGATGACTCTTCTCTAGAGGACAACCTCAGGAGTCGTTCGCACCGACGGGACGTCTACGATCTAACTCTCTTACACCGCTATTTCAACATATCAACGGGCTTTGCTCCTCCATAATGCCGCTACGCGATGAGCCTGTCAGACAGACCCTGGCTTCGGCCTCCCATCCTAACTGTGTCGAACTTTGTACAGCTGGTACGACCGGCAGGGCTATTATGTAAAAAACCTGAATAATGTCAAAAAAATCGGTAAAATGTCAACTTATGCACTAGATAGCCGCTAGTGTGCCGCTAGATCATGCCGCGCATACTACAAGTGAGACTGAAGTGAATGTCAGCTAGTTTAAAGCTGACACTTTATAGGAAAACCAACATAATGTCAAAAAAACTACAAACTTACCCTTTAAGATGGAACTTCCCTCTGCTACATTTTCAGCCACGTAAACTACATAACTACCACTTTCAAATTTGGGCGAGTGATCGTTTTCGTCTTGCACCTGCAGAGCTATTTCGGCCAGAGCTGTCAATGGTGGACTACCATCTGTCAGAGCCAGAACTCCGATCAAATGCTGAGATTGGCGTTCGAAGTCCAGGGGTCGGGCAATTGATATTTGGCCTTGGGAATCTATTTGGAATTGTGGCGTGTCGCTGTCGTAATCCGAAATTATTTGATAGCTTATAGAAGCATTTGAAGAGTGCGTTTTCAAGCGAGTTATCACAGTACCTATAAATGAAAATAATAGATGTATTTATGCGAATAAAAACTGAGTAGGTTTGGTCCGTAAGCCCCGCTCTTCACTCTTTTGAAGAGCTTTATTAAAATAAATGCAGTTGACAATAAAACAAATGATCTTTTTCAGCTATTTTAGCAAAATATCGAATTTATGCCATATGTAGGTATTAAAAAACAATGATTTGGTGCCCATTGAAATTCCTCAACATATTGTGGCGACAGTAGGAGGGCGTACACTTTCTTATAGTCCAGCGTTGATGTCGAGATTTGAAGTGTGGAACGACAGCTCGTAAAATTCAACATAGCGCTGAGCCGCCTGTAATAATCCGATCAAAACAATAAACATCCTCTTTCAGGAAAGGCGTGTAGCATTACAGGGAGCTATTATATAAACTTAATCTAGAATTTTTTAAGAGAAACTTTGGGGAAAGTCAACAAGCAGCGTATTGCTTCATGAGCATAATGCTCCCAGCCATAGTTCTTGCATTGCTGTGGCTTGTCCTACACCAAGATGGGTTTGAATTGGTAGATTGCACAGCCCCACAAAACACTGGAAGATCCGTGCGACAGACGGATGATGATATTCCTGTGTCGACGCTGAATCCAAAATCGGGATCATAAAAGTTCCTAGACGTCGAACATTCACCCCCGGGCCCAAACACTACCACTAGGAAGAGTTGAGTTTCGCATGCCAGATGCTGGAGAATGGTAATCACATGTATTTTTCGACGCTGAATCCAAATCCGTGGTCGGCAAGATCCCTACACCCCCAGAGTCCACTCCTGGGTCTAAAAACTACCTTAAAAGGAGTGAAAATTAATTTGCGGATTCCAGACGCTGACCCTGAGACTAAAAAGTACCCATAAATGGAAGTGGAAAATTAAATTTCGGATACCAGATGCTCAACCACGGTATTATGTATTTTTCAACGCTGAATCCGACTTTAATGCCAACAAAATTTTTACACCCCTGGAATTCGCCCCCGTGACCAAAAACTACCATTAATAAGGCGGTGAAAAATCGATTTTCCGTTGAGCCATACATAATTGAAATACCGTATGATATGCCTCGAAATCGAAAATTTTTAAACGTTACAAACTCATTCCGGTAGTACTGGCAACGTTTGTATATATGGAACGAGTTTACAGCTTAACATAAACGTGCGTATGTAGGTCAGAATTTCTACAGAGCGATTCATACAGTGTGTATTGCATGTGGAATTTGACGAGTATGGAATCATGCTATCTTTTTCTCCCAAAGGAGGAGAAAAACTGTATAGCGTAGATATAATATTGTTCTTTGCAGTTGTTCGAAGTATCTCTGAATTCCAGGGGTGTACAAATTTCGTGGATCCCAAATTCGGATTCAGCTTCGAAAACTTGCTCCAGCTTCTGACAACTGAAACTCAATTTTCGGCGATTCAAGGGGTAGTTTTGGGGCCTGGGGTGAATTTTAGACGTCGAGGAACTTTTATGATCCCAGATCTGGGTTCAATGTTGAAAAATACACAGGGATACCATAGTCTGTCTAACGATCTCGACTTTTTTTCGGGGCCATGTTACCCACCATAAGCACTGGTCCCTTGTAATTTCAGACTATAAATAACATTAAAAGAATATTTAGGAGGTAAAATCGAACGATAAACATGTGATAACACCGACTGAACGTGTGTTAATGTTAGTAGGAAATAAACAATTAATTAGATTAAATGTAGCTCCATTGCAAGAGGGTATAGCAGATAGTTCATATAAACTAAATTATTCGTTGGTTTATATCAATTTAACTTATAGAAATTATATGATGATCCATGGCATTCAATTATAATCAGAGGTCAAAATAAGAGAAGAAACATGCTTCATATAAATACCGTTTGCGTACGCACTTGATTATACCTATAATTTACTTTGAATAATATCAAATTTGGATTTTACATAATATAGTATAAAAAAGTGAAAAGATCTATAATCATTTTTGGTTTATAAAGTTTATTTATGATGGGTTATTAAATATTATTTCAAATTACTGCGAAAATAACATACGATTAATTGGTCACATACCTGTTGGAGAGTTTTCCGATAGGAAGAACTTTCCATCCTTCCTTTCAAATACAGGAGGAAAATCATTTGGTCCCATTATGAGCACATTTACAGGTATATCAGCATGTTTTTCTGGCTTGCCTATGTCAGTTGCCCGAACGAAAAACTGGAACACTTCGCCAACTGAAAGAACAAATATAATGAAAAATTACTCATCGAATTTACTGTTTTGCATCCGTCCATTAGTTTCAAATGTTGTAATACTTCCTTGGAGAGAAGCTTCTTGATATTTCTTATTGTTAGTGCCTACAGGGTATTACAGATTGTTGTCAGGAAAGCTGAACAGCAGATTCAGCACGTTGTAGTAGGAAAAAAATCATATAAAAATGGCCCGAAAATGCGTCCTTTCTATGTATAAACTAGCTCCTTTTTGATAGCCAGCCTTACATTTTTCGAACACAGATTGAAATACTGAGATGAGATTTAGTACACCGAAATGTATTCTCAAAGGTCACAATGATATGTACAAAATTGTTTGCTAAAACCTTTGCATCCGTGGCATTCACGTAGGCAAGTCTCTATGTTTATCAAAAAAGTATGCCGCTGACTTTTGCAAAAAATACTACCAAACTGATATTTGAGTGTTTCATTCAGACGCATAGTTTTTGAAATAGAAATTATTTTATGAACCAGCACATAAATCGTTATCGTTTTTCAAAAATAGTAAAAAAGTTAGTATTTTTAACGAACATATCGAAAAACTACAAGCAGAATCAATACGGCTCTGAGAAAACAACACTTATTTTTGCAGGCACCAGTGGTAAAATTTTTACCAAAACATAAAGCATAAACACCAGTTCATACGAATGTTTTTCCTATATTTTGCTCTTATTTCCCTGATAACATTCTGTAAAAACCTGCATACAACGTTTTAAATACAATAGTAACTATTAATATAAACAAATTTCACATAATGAATGCTTACCGTTGTCAAACACATTTTTGATGAGGAAAATATCACCAGTAGTCTTGTTTATACCGAAAATGCTAGCCGCCTCAGAAGACTTCTTTTCGTATATGGAATACTCGAGTTGAGCATTTAGCCCTTCATCAATGTCCACAGCTTTCACTCTCACAATGGTGGTGTGGAGTGTCAGGTTCGAATGGATACTAACTTTGTATTCTCGAAGAAGAAATTTTGGTGCATTGTCATTTTCGTCCAACACCTTTCGAAATAGAAATACATTAAGCATTTATGAATTACGAAAAACTCCAAAAAAAACAAACAACATGTGACTCATTATACCTTTTTCAGTACTCATCTTCCGATGTGCCCTAAGATGCAATGAAACTGGATAGTATGTAATACATATGACTGTCAATTTTGTGTGTAATTGATTACTCTCTCTGGGTTTCTGGAGTAGCAGATATGGGACACATACACGGATAGAAAGTAGGACATAATGTAGCTAACCAAACATGTTTAATCTTATTTTTTACAATTTTCGAAACCACAATAGTTTGCGGAAGTAAAATTACGTATGTCATTTGAAATGGTCAGGTACCATTCAGAATTTTGACACATTCTTCATGATACTTCATCAAGGCAAAACGTGAAACAAATAACTGCTGATTATCTAGTTACATTAAAATTACCTCATATTACCTTTTTCTTCTTCAATCGATATTACTAGGACCACTTTTTGCACAATTAGTCAATACATTACCGATGACTTCACGTAGTCAGACTTAAAGCCATGTGCAGCCACATGGAATACACGAGTATTAACATATGTATCGTCACTTGTAAGGTAATACTGTAAAACGGGTACTTAATCACCGAAAACCCTCTACAATTGGAAATAGACGAAGTCGAAAATCTATGACGTGTACTTCGTATATTTTATTGTCAGTGGATGTATATGAAAATACATTTTCATCGTTATCTGGATTATATAGTTGTGAACACAGTCTTGAATTTTATTTGATTCAATATTGCCAACAGGACTGATTTAACACAAAGATGTCACTTGCTGACCAGCTGTTTACCTCAAAAGATGTCAAAAAGGTGCTGAAGTACTGACTGATGTTTATAATTGGTAAACTAAAACTACCATTTGCTACATCATCGTTTGACACTCTCAAAAACCACAAAATACGAATTAAGTTTATATGGATCACAATATCAAGTTATTAATATTGGCATTACCTTCACCCTGACTGTCATGAAGTCTGACAATCCACCACCATCTGTAGCTTTGACGAGGATCTCATACATTCTTTGTTTCTCTCTGTCCAGCCTCACTTTGGTCGTGATCTTGCCAGAAGTCTTATCGATGTTGAAGACTTCATTCAACAGATCAGAGTGGATGCTGTAAGTTATACTCCCAAATTCTCCCATATCCGGATCTGTCGCGTTCACGTTTATAATCGTATGACCAGGTGCTTTGTTTTCATAAACTTGAACATCCCTGATAATGTCAGGAAACGATGGTGGGTGCAAGTTGGCTGGCAGAAGTTCTACCTTCAACCTGACGAAGTTGGTGTATACACCATCAGAAACAGATACATTGAGGATCATCATATTTTGGGTACCTAAGGAAAATTGTTTATCTTTGTATAGATTGTCAAGTCAATATTGTTTTAGTTAGTTATTGTTTCGTAGCTTATTATTTGAGCTATTTGCTGATAGAAAAGTTGCAATGTATAGTAAGGTAGCTTTTGAGATGTTTCGACAATGTTTTAATAATGAGTATCGGCTGCTTCTCCTACAGCAACAAATCATATTTACATAGTAGTTTGTGAACATTTCTTACCAAAATTCGCCAAGTTAGTCAATGCTACAATCCCTGTATCAGGATCTATGGTGAAAGTTTGCTGTTCGTTGCCAGAAACAATACTATATCGTAGCGAATCTTGATCAATTTCGTCCAAATCACTGGCTTTCACTATAGTGACGAATTGATCTCTCTTGGCACTTACTGACAATCCACTCGAATATGACGACTGCTCAAACTTAGGCGGGTTATCATTCATATCGAGAACTGAAAATTGCAGTTAGAATCAGAGATTGCATAACAGAACTGGAATAGGACCCCATTATCTGGCACTAATTCAAGCCACGTATGTTTATTGGACGCCGTTTCGGCCATCATGGAGGCCTTTTTCAAGTACAATGACAATTAGTGACAATATCTTTTGTTTATCTGTCTTATTTTTTCATCACTACAATGTTAAGATGACATCGCGTAAAACCAGAAAAGCCCAGGATCACCTGGAGCAGGCATTCCCCCTCCAAAAGGACGACCAGCCCCTCAATGCGAACAGAGAGCGTGCTGTCATCCTGAAAACGTTTAATGCTCCCTAAGAACGCGAAAACCCACCCAGTACTGTTGTCGCAACATACCGGTTTACTGTTTTGCAATCTTCGACTACTAATATTGCATATGCACTGTTCAATAGTACTTATATATGGTACGCATGAAAAAATACCTTCATTCCTTCAAGGATATTCATCCAAATTGTATCACAGTCCAAAGAGGAACAAGAAAGACAATTGTTCTGTAATTTTATATAGGCCGATTCCTTTGTCTTTCTTATGTCATTGCCATGCTCTTTGTGCAATACTAAGACTTATTTTCGTTTAAACATATGCCCTGTTTCCTACACATGCTCGCATTGAACAGATTTTGAAGTTTCTCCCTTAATCATACCGTGTGTTCTCGAAGAGCACTTAGCGCCTACCCCAGGGGATCATTTCTGCTCCAAAAAGGTCCCATCTTAAAATTACATTGAGGTTCCCGCGCAATCTTTCAGGCTATTGTCGCAACACACAGTTTAGTAATGAAGAAAAGAAAAATAAAAGAACCACGTTTATCTCACCTGGATGAGAGATAAACAAAATATTTATATTGTCATTAAATGTCATTGTATCCGAAAAGGTCACCGTATTGGCCGAAACGTCGTACAGTAAACAATAATTAAAAAATATGTGGTCACATGTAGCGGTCAGACAATGGAGTCCTATCAATATGAAAATCACAGAATCAGTTTCAGGTATTACATAACAAAATTTGCACACGCTCAATGCACAATATTGGATGTCATCTAGACGCAAGTGATAAATTGATGCAACACAAGCATTGACTTTTTCCAGTAGGTGAAATATATCTTGCCTTAATCCTCGGATCATAGGATATACTGCTAAGTTGTTCAATGATGCACTTAACTCATAAAGCTGACGTTTCGATATTTATTTGATTTCAGGGGTACAATACGAAATACAAAAATAACAAAAGATATATGTTTAAAAATAGATCACGATATACAAAAATGTTAAAAACAGTGGTATGCATAAACCAAAAATATACGACGATGGGTGCATGTACTAATAGGAAAACTTTAAATATAACTAATTTTAATGGAGTTAGTAATTGAAACTTCATCCAAAACAAGAGAAAAGTAAAAACGGGCTAAAAAACAATAAATATATATAAAAAACTCATTTGGAAAGGTTTGGCCTTCGACATTTTTTATTTTTTATACATACTTCTTCTTATCCGTTTTTATTTTGCCATTTGTTTTTCCTCAAGCTTTAATTACTAACTCCATTAAAATTAATCACTTAAGGTTTTCTATTTGTACATGCATTCGCATCATCGTATATTTTTTGTTTGTGTATGCTACTGTATTTCACATCTTTGTATATTTTGATCTATTTTTTAACATATTTCTTTGGTATTTTCCTATTTTGTCGAAATTTATTTTTCGCATTTTGTATCCCTGAAGGAGATATCAAATAAATATCGAAACATTGCACTATATCTCAAAATTAGAGAATTAAGACAAGAAGTGATAAATTAGAAAGCATTATTCAAATCTAGCGGTACATAGAATGTTTCACATTTAGAGAGGTTACTCTTAAAGGTGACAGTTTCAATCAGATGCCTTGTACCGAAATTTTAAAAATTGTATTCTTTTCTAATATACGTCACATTAGAATTATGCATGATAGTCGAAAAAACAATGATTCTACTTGGAAATGAAATATATATAGTAAGCTGAAAAATAGCATTGGTCTTCCTTTTTTGAGGATTTATAATTTGTTTCCATTATTTTGTGTCGGTGTCAGAAAAGTGATGAAAATCGGAGTATACAACGTTGATTAAAAGGTCAAAATTGCGTGTATACATGTGCGCTTTGCAAAAATATGCATCATCCTTCAAGAGTTATTTACAAATAGATTAATCTAAATATCTTCAAAATTATAATGTCCTTAAAAAGCACACAAGACATTATATTACTTTGCTTACCAAACATACATAAATGTTAGCGTCTAAGTACTATTCATACTCCATCTGGGGGTAAAAAACAGGATATTTGTTAAAACGTTGCTTGTGGCATTTGACCTCGAATAACGTAAGTTAACGACATAAGATTATATTTGAGACTTTTGAACCAAGTTATAGAATTTCAAAGCAAACATTCATGCAAATGTCCAGCTTATCATATTTCGTTCCGAGTTTGTCCCTTTTACCGTGTCATCTTTTCAACGCACACGATCTTATTCATAAATTTCAACCTTATCATACCTGTCAACCAGACATGTGCAGTGCTAGATATGCTCGGCACCCCTTGGTCCGCAGCAACAACGACAAAATGTTTAGAGCTTGATTCTTCGTGATCCAAGGATTGCTTCAGATAAATTGTTCCCTCGTTTTCATCTATGTAAAAATAATTCGTAGAGTTATTGATATCTTTTTGGATAGAATATATGATTTTCTGGTTGGTGCCTGTATCGTTGTCTACAGCTGCAACGGTAAGAATCGGTGTACCTGAAATTAAAAAAAAAGCCTCAAGTAGATTGACTCTGTACTTCTCACGAAATTCCGTCATCAATTAAATTATGTTGGATGTATTTCAAAAGTAAACGTTATATGAATTCTATTTATATATCAAAGCAATTGAGTGAGAGGAATAGAGTTAACCATCTTAACGGTCTGAATAAAATTTCCATCATTTTTTTATTTTCAACAACAATAACAATCAGTCGCAGTAGTAGCCGCTAAAATCAAGAGGGACAAGTTAGCTTATATCAGAAAAATATAACTACACAACGGTAACCGAGAAAATAGTGGGTCAGGTCTATTCAAAAGACTGAAATTGAAACTTGATTAAGTATCTTCACTTAAGTATGATATATCGGAAGTCTCGACATCTCAAACTATAGAAAAGAAATCAGTCACTTCTGTTTCAACCACAAATGTGGAAAATATGTATGATTATTATGTCTAACAGGTGCATAATGCTACCGGGAATAGAAACTTAATAGTAGAACGTCTTCCATCGAGATGAAATTGCAACGTTTACTACCCTCTATAAAAGTCTATAAACCTCTTATTCCAATTTTAAAGCCCCCGGAAGCTCTGAAAATGAACAGGAGTCTCTGGAACGTCAAAACACCAAGTTTCGGCGCTCTTTTAGTTTTTTTTGCCCAAAGCTTCGCCGGCCTGGAATTTTCAAATCCAACAAAGCTATTTTGTCTTGATATATATTGTTGAGATTTTAGCAAAACCTAAGTGGTACTTTCCAGGCCATAGAGGGGTCAAGAATTAGGTAAAATAATGGTAGTCTGACGGTAATGAGTGTCAAGGTTTTTTTAGAATATATGTTATGTAAAAAGATATATCTCATTTTCGAAATTTTTAGTGATTACAATACTAATTAGAATATGAAGTAAAATCACCTCATTATGTATTTACCTGTTACCAGTTATTTCAGTATGGACAAAAGTGAATAAACAATGATATAATATTCTCAAATTAGCTTACCAAATTGAGCAGCTTCAGATATTGATATATTGTAGCTTTCTTGGGAGAATTCAGGAGGGCAATCATTCACATCTTGCACCATTATTGCCACTGGCACCTCGGCGTATACACCTGACACAGAATCTGTTGCTCGAATAAGCAACTCGTACTGTGATTGTTGCTCAAAGTCCAGCTCATCAACTACTGAGATGACACCTTATTGGAAAGAAAGCATTGTCAGTCTACTTTTGCATTGTCATTACGAGAAAAATATATTATATATATATATACATATTTTCATTGAGAATATTTTTACGTTTTTGAAAGTGAAAAGTATTACAAAAGATCTTGCAATTCAATATCAACATATAGTATGCCAAAAACATTTTTTGACGTCAGGTTTTTGTTTCCAAAGTGATGTTCACACAATGCCTTTTCGTCCGCAAAGATTTAGTAACTGATTTCGGCTTCTCTACATGTTAAAAACAATACATCAGCATTTTGCAATGCGAGGTTCAAGCTAACTGGAAGTAACTAAGTTGTCAAGCTTTTGAATACAATATATGTAATTCTGTGGAAAAACAAAAAAAATACAGTGGAGGCAATTTCTGTGCTAATGTGTTTCGAGATATAATGAATACTGTTCACTTTTTTTGCTTTTCTGTTACAATATTGATTGCCTGGAGCCTAAAAATGCTCGTCGATATTGTGAAAAATCGCGATTTTATGCTGTGGTATAACATCTGCTATAAGTAGGATTTATTTTCCGTTCCATCAATGTTACAATAAGTGCTATGTTCTAACAATGTTTTACCATACCAAATGTGGTTTGCTACCGTCAAATTCAGTTGAATGAATTGTAAAAAAGTGTCGTTCAGCTCTATGCGTCAAACTGAACATCCCTAATAAAATTAGCCAAATTCTATATAATAAATAAGATAAATAAGAAGACAATAGTATGATTTCCTGATTTCATAAATTTTCAGAGCAAAGTATCCAACTACAATATAAAATTGATAGTAACATATTAATTAAACTTACACCAAGTTTAAGTGACATTTTATAAACGGATTTACATATCGCTGCAAATTTATTTTGATGGTTGGATATTAAAATTTGGAGGTATCTGTTTCAAAATTTTGTAAAGAATCCCGAATAAACTTCCTCCTCTCTATTTTTAAGTCAGATCCATGATTTTGTTAGTAAATGAGCGTAGTAATTAGCTGGTACTAGTTATCTTATGGATTAATAGTAACTTTGCTGTTCTTACATGAAAACCACTAATCTAGCTACAAATCTAGAGCTACTACTACTTCTACATGTTAGTTGAAAGCTGTTAAGTAAACCAAAAGAAAAAGCTGAAATACGTAGACATGTTTTTTGGATGTATTGAGAAGTAACAATCTGTATATGTAGATGAAAAAGAGTACTAGTTACGTAAAGCAACTTGGTGGAATATGCTTTGCATGCAATGTTAATATCATGACGCATAAAGGGTATCTCAAAAGTCATGGATCAAACGAAAGGGAGTGATAGAGGTGGGTGACAAACCAAATATGTCTTTATGCGATTGTGCACGGATTTGTAAAAAATCGCTTCTTTTGTGTCAATGCTATTTTTTATGAAATTATCTTCTTATTTCTCAATAAGCTTCACAGGGTGAGTATACTCTTGAATGGTGTGTTATTGAAGAAAAACTATCAATTAAAACTTAGTCCAGTTAATGTAGGCTGAACCGTAATTTTATATATTCTGAAAAATATTACAGCATATTCAAGCAGGCTTGTAGAAAAAATTAATGCGCAGATAAGCGCTATACATAAGAAAAATGTACGGATATTATGGCCTTGGATGCTTTATCCGCCCACTGATCTTTTGTATAGGCCTTGTTGAACATGCTGATGTATTTTTGAGAACAGAAAAAAATATAGTCGATTGCTGTATCTACATTAACTGGAATAATTTTTGATAGGTTTTCTTCAACGATACATTTGGGAACACATCCAATAAAGCTGATTTAGAAACAATAAAAGATAACTCCAGATAATTAATAGAGCATCGAAAGCAGAGAGTTTCTACAAATGGCGATAGCTCTAGAACCGTGAATAATCGAATAAGGACATATATGGTTTTTTGATTGGAAATTACCCTCTTTCGCTTGACCTATAACGTTTGGGACACCCTGTAGATCTGAGCAAAATGGAAGCTCTACCCGTACTATTATTGAATGCAGTATCATCAGATCTGCTCTGTATCTCTAATAGGCACCATGAAGGTTGTTCGCAATACTAACAAAAAACGCAAGCCTATTTAGGGTAATTGCTGTATACAGTGTACGAGAGAAGTGCGAGAAGCATGCAATACGTATGTCAGAAAGAGTGCGCCGATTACAACGCGGCAAGCCGAGTTGCTAGGTAAGGTAGTGCTTTGTTTCTCTTTATAACATACGTATTGTATACTCCTCGCGCTTCTCTCTCGTACACATTACCTCGTCAGTGATATTTGGATTTCTCTGTATAGGGAAACATGTGCATGACATATTGCACACAACTTGGCCCAACTGACGATATTCGATAGGTGGTATCACCTTCACGGATAATTGTCTATACTTCCTAAAGAATCATAATACAGCTGACACACCCTACCGATTATCGGCATCTTTTCGAAAGTATGTCATTATAGTATTACGCTACCTCATGAAAAATATTATGTACGTTTTTAGTTTTTGAGTAAAATCCCATACAACAATGGTTAGATCAGAGATCAATCTTCAGTGTAGGAGTACTGACTAACTGAATTTTACCATTACAATTACACCTAGCCTACCAGGACAGTAGCAGAGACATCAAACCAATATATTTGTTGCATGCATATAGGTATGTAACAACAAAATCTGTAGAAAATTCGTTGTTTTCGAAATTTTTGCAGTATCAAAATTGCATTGTATGACACAGAACGTACCACGTTTTTATGGAAGATTAATCTTGATTAAACTAGTTATTAGGTTAACACATTGCTGAGAAATCCGCTGAATGTGGTTGAAATTTACTTATTGTCAGGAAAGCAAGAAAAGCTGCAAAAGTCGATGAACAAGTTTAATTATCTCCTAAAAAGCATTTTTTTGAGTTTAAAATTGATTAACAATATCATATTGATTCACGCAACAGTTTTCTAGAATTTGAAATTGTTAATACTATATATCGTCCTTGTTGTTTTTAATACAGAGCGAAAGGTTCTATGAAACTACCGTACTGCACGACCAAAAAACTGTTTAGTACTATTAAAGCTTGTCCCAGAGTTCAACTTTTTTTGTAAAATATCCTTAGCAATAAATGTCAAGGAACGTAACTAATGTCACTACATAGAAGAAAAGTTTGAAATACTATTTCATCAAATTGCATGCGAACGTATAACATCACAATTATCTGCAAAACCTTACCTTAAAAAAATTACAGTAAAAATATAAATTTAATGAGAGAACTGTAAAAAAATTGACATGTCACGTGCACATTGCCTCATACAGGCTATGGGAATTGGGACTGGCTCCTTCTATCTAGTCTCTTGGCTCTTGTTGAGAGCTGGGCAGCGTGGCGTGCAGCCTTTCAATAAGAATTCGGCATTCGTGCTTTTACTTAACACTTATTACTTAGGATAATATTAATTTAACAAAAAAATATAAATTCTGGTCAGGAATGACTTATAACATTTTTTTTTTAACTTTGCCAAAAAAATATTGGCTATTTAGATAAAAATGTAGAATTCTTCTAAACTAGCAAGTAGAACAAAATAATTATCCTTATACTTATGAGGTAAAAATGAGAGCACTTTTGGGATGAGATTTAGCGGTACTAAATATCAACTTTTTGGCATGTAAAATCTCTGCTTTTTTCACGATGCACTAAAAAATGTGTCTAGGATAAACCATTCCAAGCTACTGCATAAGTCAATCTGAAATTTTTAACCAGGGGATAACTAAATTTCTTCATAGACATTTGCAGGTATTATTGACTTCCTAATAATAGGTAAATTTTAAGTCTCCAGCGGATTTTCCAGAAACTAGTTTTAACCGTAATGATGAAGGATTTTCAATATTTACTATAGGATAATTGCCTTAGTTTGCGATAAAAATACAGTATGTTTTACATATGAGCAAAAATATGACAAAGAGCAATTTTGGAACTTGAGACTGAAAATTAAAATACCCCACTAAATTGTCAGCAGGTTTTCTATAGATTTTGTTACTACATACTTATAGTATCTGAAACGTTCATTGGATTGTTGAATCTGCAACTATCCCAAACCTAGTGTCTTTCCAGAACTGGCAGAAACGACCGCTCCTTTGTCCCGAGGGTGTCGAGACTGTGGAAAAATCTGCAAAAGGAAGCTTTTCCCAGTTCTACTAACCGTAGGCAGTTCAAAAATCGGATTAACAAAATTTCTTTGGGATCATCATAGCAGCCGAGGTGTCCCGGCGTTTAGGCTTCTGCCTGCGCGGCTGCTTCGGTTTAAAAAAAATTACCCTGGGCTAAATGAGGATTTATATATTTCGATATTTTTTGATGTTGTGACCGCAAATATACAATTCAGCTTTTTCTTCCAGTAAAGCTAATTTTTAGAGGTACTCACAGGGCCCGTTGTTACTGTCCGGGGCTGTCAAAAATCGAAAAAAAAACAAGATGGATTAATGGATTATTTCTGAGGGTTTAAATTCAAATGTTAAGGAAACCTCAAACACAAAAATTCACAACCGGATTTAGTTTAGCATTAAATTAAGTACCATCACCAAAGGCGACGTGTGACTAAAACTACACAGGAAAAACGTTAAAGGTTATAGTTGCAGTTTTGTTTATATTTTAGTGGTGTACAAACTCGTGTGAATTATACTAATACAAACTTTTTAACACTCCACAAAGATGTGAGATGAAAAACAATCAGTACAGCTAAGAACACTAATAATAAAATATACCTGAAATCTCTACCCTACAGCCTTCTAAATGTCTTAAAAAGTTTGTTAAATTCCTATAGACCTTTCTACTTCTTCGATACACTAACAGAAAATAATAACAAATATTTAGTGGAAATATAATCTGAGCTATAGGTCATGTGTTTTCAACATGGCGTGCTACGCAAAAGCTCAAAAATACTACACCAGTGTCCTTCCTAAACATGGAGCAAAAATTCAAAAGGTAATTATTTGTAATGTTTGATGATATTAGAAAATTTTCTTATTAATGTACAAACAGCTAGAAAGCTATACTCGAATTTTTTCTTCACATACAACCTCCAATACCCCAGGATCTCATTTAATACTATAGCGCTAAATCTAGCAATTATGCGATTTCTTAAATATTTCAAATGTTCAACTCGAAAACTGTAAATTCATAACTCATGTTTTTAGAGAAATTAGTCTAGACAGTTTTAAGTCTGAAGAGCTTACAACCATACTATAGTTTTTGGATGTAACTAAAAGCCTTGATGAATATAACCATGCTCCAGCCGTCATGAGGAGGAAATTGCGAGTATTTTGAATTGCTGCTATGTATTAAGAGGCTTCACTTGTAATTTTTACTATAGTCACGTATCAAACTCGGAAAGAAGTGGTTTTTCGAAAATTGTCAAAGAATAAGAGTGGATAAAACAAATGTTGATTCTCCAGCTTTTTTGGCCGTTAAATGGAACCTCACATACAGGGTACTGGCACTTCGCCATATTTATTCCAGGACGAGATTAGGGGTCTAAAATACAACAAATTTCACAATATATATGCAAAGGCGAAAACCCACAGTTTTAGAGATATTTGATTTTTTGTCAACAATCACTCGAGCCTGAATATAATTATAATATATTATGAAACGAAAACAATTTTGTTTTTAAGATTAGCTGCTATTTTATTATTTGAGAACAAACTACGAAAGCCATTTGCAGGCTCACCCAGCTCTCACATTGTTTCTTTTTAATATCTAGACAAAAATGTCCAGTTTTGGCTTATTGTTGAAACATCACGAAAATAAAAAATCTCCATAGCTAATGGTTTTCGCCTATACATATACGGGTTTCAAACAAAAGTTGTAAAGTTTTGTGTGGGGCAAAACGATGGTAACCTTGACCACGACTTTGACTGCGCCCTTCAAGGTCATTCTCGGGCAAACATATTTTCAAATGGAACTCTCACTTTTTGTGTCCTTGACCATCAACATCAAATTAAGACATTGGAATAATTTGCTGTAGCAAAAATTTCCGACAGCACAGCTGTAAGCTTTGCGGGAGTCAGCCAAAGGTGATCTTGACCAATGACCTTGACTAACACCTTCAAGGTCATTTCTTGCTTTCTGCAATTTTGGACTACAAATCAAGGGGTTACCTTAAAAATGACATTTTAGATTGACATAACCCTAACTATGAGGACAAGGTCACATTCTGACGTAACATTTCCTGCTTTTGCCAATTCCGGGAAAGAAATGAGGGGAAATGTTGACTTGATTTTGTAGGTCATGGTCAAAATCATGGTCAAGCTTACCTTTGGATGACCCCCACAAACTTCATAACTGTGCGGTCGAACAATTTTGCTCGAGCAAATTGTTTTCAATGTCTACTTGAGCTATAAATGGCCTTGAAGGTCATGGTGAAGGTCATATTCAGACGTAGAATTTCCTCCTCCTTTCAATTCCGGTGTGAAAGAAAGGGGAGGGTCCCATTTGAAAATACTTGCTTGACCTTGAAATTGCCTTGAACGTAGTGATAAAGGTCATGATCAAGATCACCATCACTTTTCCCTCCAAACACTATAACTTTTGCTTGACAGTTTTTTCTAGCATGCATAGTTTTCGAAATATTGAAACAATCACTATGCAAATTTTTACACCATGCTTATTTAGAAGACATTTTGTGTGACAAAATATACTGAATGCTTCTGCTACAATGCTAATTTAGTGTGTCATAAAACCTGCCCGACACCCAGTATTTGAAAACACATGGATAGTCCCAGACGTTCACTATGACTGGTTACGAAAAGACATCAAAGGCTTTCTATTCACCATATATAGTAAATACTAACCGGTATTGAAATCTAGGGCGAACTCTTCCATTTCATTTCCTTTGATAATGCTGTAAATCAATTTTCGTGAAAGCGGCGATTCGGCCTCGATGGAAATGGATAAAGGCGAATGAAGCTCCACGTTTTCGGGTATAGTTTCCGAGTAAAATTGTTTTTTGAATACCGGCATTGATCTGTCGATGACTTTCACGTGTACGGTAACGTCAGTTCTGCAGGGCGTTATTCCTGGAAAAAAGTTCCATTTTAATAATGTGAAGTAAACTTAAGCTAGTTATAATAGGATCGCTTTGCTTTTGAAGCAACGGGCCATTGGAAAAAGTCAACTTCGTAAGTTTGACAAAATAATGCTTAGGATGAAAAAAATCGAAAGCCTCAATTTGCGTTTTTATGAACCCAAACGCAGAAAAATGAACAAACAGCACCAAAACATAGGTGTATGAGTAACAGAAAGTGCCTATAGTTATGTTTACGGTTTTTGGCTGTTACGTCAACGATCCATTACGGTATAAGTGAGCAAATCGACTAACTGTACCATGTGCGGGGTTGAAGCTCCATAGAAAAATTACACACTGGACAAACCGATCTTAAGCGCAGCTGCCCTTGCACGCATTAATTGATTAATGAAGAACCACGATCTCAAAATACTGTCGGTTAGTTTTATTTTCAGTGACTATGTTTCATGTTGAAGATCAATAAAAGTAAAATCAAAATACTCTACTACTTCATTATGAGAACTCATTTTGAGAAAATTTTCAAGGTGGCGAGACGCAGCTGAAGAACGTATGTCTCGGCTAGACAGCAGACAGCATTTAAAACAGATGATCGCTACAAAAAAATGTCCTTTTCTGAAGAAAATGTATCGTTAATCACCACAAAATTAAGGATAACGAAATTAAAGTTTACAGTTGCTGGCCAACAACTTACTATTAATGCAACTTGGCAGTGGATCTTTATTGGAAATTATAGTTATTCTAAGAGAACGCTTTCTATATGAAACCATGGATGCGTATCTGTACCTTTATCGTATGCAGCAATCAGCAGCTCATACTCTCTGTTGTGTCCCTCGAGGTTCTGTTTCAGTTCGATGTCGCCACTCTCCCTGTGTACCTTAAACAACTCTCCGTGCCCTTTTATCAACTCGTACCTAACTTCACCATTTTCGGCACTATCCATATCGATGGCATGAACCTTTGCAATAATGCTGCCCTTCTCATCATCTACTGATACCACTGCGTAGTATGGTAGATTCACAAACATAGGGCAATTGTCATTGATGTCTAGAACTGTTACGTTCACTATGACATGAGCCACCTGTAAATTGATAAATGTAAGTAAAACGCAAGGAAAAAAACCGATTTTCTGTTTAATTTTTTTTTTATAAAATCTTTCTCGCCAAAAAAATATTAGTATTGAGAAGAATAATTCAAAGCTTCAGAAATGTTGCAATTCAAGAATCTTTCCACTCGTGATTTCTTTGGTTCGAAAAATATTTTGTTATAAAACTGAGGTATGTAAGGATAATCCTGAGCGTTAACGGTATTAAGGGAAGCATATTTATCAAACATTATTGGATACACTGACTGTATGATCAATAAGTAAAGCCTTTATCGAAACTGCAGAATCTAATCATACACAACAAGACACTCAGATTTTATAACTATTATGCAGGGAGATCTAACTTATTACCAATTACACGATTACTTTTTACGCGTAGTATAAACTCATTAAGGCTCGCAAGTACTGGATGAAAAAATAAAATTACATAATCAAATAATATGATTGTTAATCTAAACACTAAATATATTCTACAAACCCTTGGCCTGTCTCTTGGCAAAGTCGAGCTTCTGGCTTCCACAATCAGTTCGTAGTTATCTTTAACCTCTCTGTCAAATTTAATTCCTGTTGTTCTTATAACTCCAGAAGTCAGTCCAATGGTGAACATATCCGTCGGATTCAGTATTTTAAACTCCAAGTGTTCATTTAAGGCTGTTCCCAAAACGTTCACTACACAAACATGTGTAATTTTGGTAGTGTTTTCCATTATAGAGCCTTCGTATAGAGGTTTTTGAAACACAAGTCCCGAGTTATCAGATTCTTCAACTTTGACGAATACTTTTGCAACACTGGAGAATTTTCCGTCTGATACTCGTACTTTCAGTTTGTGTGATGATTTCAGCTTCTCAGGGTCCATTAATGTTATCAAACCGGATCTACCATCAATAACGAAAGCGCCATTCTTGTTTCCTTCAATAATGTCATATCTCAGCACACCTGTTTCTGAGGAATCAGGATCAGAGGCATTCAAGTGCACGATAGCCACGTTTTTGTACGAAGGCAGTAATAAAGTGACATTGTACTCAGATCTATCGAAAACTGGTGGACAATCATTCACATCTGTAACCATAATGTCAACCCTTGCAGTAGTGTCGGAGCTCAGCCTAGGTTTGCCCATATCAGAAACCTGAACGTGGAACGAAAAACTTGAATGCATTTCGTGATCCAATAGCTTCACGGTCCTGATAGCACCGGTGTTGGAATCTATCTGGAAGTACCTCCTTGGCAGTATTTCTACGATGTCGTACTGTAGCAAAGCGTTGACCTCTGAGTCAGCATCAAACGCCTTTATGACCAATGGCTCACTGGCATTTGTAATAATGAGAGAGTTGGTTGGTGCAGACTCACTAATGCTGCCGGAGTATCGAGATTGTAGGAATTGGGGAACGTTGTCATTTTTGTCCAAGATGTGTATGATGACGTTGCACACGGCCGATATTGATGCCTGTAAATAAAATCATACACATAATAGGTTGCAACGCTAGTGTATTCAGTCTAGAATATATGCAATTTGAACAACATTACTGACACTAATACGTACGAGTTCTTTATGTCGTATGTTTTCAGATACAAGATTATTTACTCTATGAAGCTTATGATAAAATGTAGTAGTGTTGAGGATGACGAACAAGGAGAAAGATCTCTTGCATTTAATAAAAGAAAAAAAGCAGTAAAGTACGAGCAGCTCTAACGTCATCGAAGGCAACACCAACAGCAAAAGGGCACCAGGAAGAAGGTGGTGTGTTACAACAGTCCTGGGTGGGTTTTAGAGTTTTCGGAGGACTTTTAGTGTTTTCGGTATGATGGACGAGGGTGACGCAGCTGGTAGGTTAAAAACGACAGATAGCCTCATACTCGCTTGTCGCTTTGGAGGACTGGGCATCCTTTAGGGAACGGCACTGCCTATCAAAGGCGGCACTGGGCTTTACTGGTTTTGCGCGGTGCCATTTTAAATTGTAATGAAGGCTTCGCGTAATATCAGCATATTACAGGACCTTTCAGACTAATGTAGTATAGGAATAAAAAATTGAAAGAAAAAAAAAGTATCACCTGGAAGACATAAATAATATATATTGCAAAAAGTGTCAATTCAACTTGAAGGAAATCACCGTTAAGACCGAAACGTCGTTCATTAAAGAGGAATTTTAAACATATGCGGTTTTAACTCGCCCAGGCAAGCATTGGGGATTGTTATATCATTTGTTTCCATTTGCCTGAATCTCTTCTTTGATACACCGTAGTTTCATACTTAGTGATGGATTGTGGAATTATTTCCAGAATACAAAAGATCCAGACTATTTTTTGAAATAAATTAGATCAGTAATAATTACCTAAAAGGGGGAGTGGGGGCAGAATAGTGATCCTATGTAAACAGACCATCAAGATTGAAATAAGAGCTAAAAATGGGATCAACTGATACAAAAGGATATTTACTGGTAATCTAACTGCGATTTATATGGAGTTCACTGACTGATCATCTAAGTCTGTAGTATAAAACGTGAACCTGTAATGCATATCTAAGATTTATTTAATAAAGAAACTCTCGTGGCTCCTATTATAACATCAATTCACCCAGTAAAGATAATAAAGACTTTGTAACCTGCAATTTCCTTCTCTTTTGAGATGTAATAACTGGTGCTGCGCCTAATAGCATTATTAAAGTATATTAAAGTTGGTCTGTAACTCTTTTTTTATACGAATACTGTAGCATTACGTAGGTAAACATTGTGTAAATTTTGTGGTATGACAACAGATACAGTTAGGTTTATTTCACATTTTTATGAGATATACGTTAGTCTGTACGAAGTATAAACATGCAAGTGTTGATACAAATAAATTAGTGGTTTTTTAAAGTGTCCTAGGTTCCCGACTGTTGTTCGCTGTGGTCCATCAACTAAAGAATGTTCGACAAAATGAAAAAAGTGAGAATAAGCCATCCATGGAGTTCATTGAGAGATGGTATTTGAATTTCAAACGTGACTTATTTGATTTAATGATAAACAAGCGAAACCCTGAATATTTATGAAGTACTGGGAGAATTATATCCTATCATTAAATGGATAGCATAAGTTCATCATCACAAGTGACGCTATGTTTTCAGAAGTTCCAACGAAAAGACAAAGCCGGGTTTTCGAAAATGAAACTCGGCTGATTTAGGTGAAAGAGTCGCGGTTGGTTGGAATAAAAATGATCGTTCCTAATTCAGGAAATCATTCATCATCAAACTGCTAAATTGTATACAAAAAGTACAAGTATTGGATCATTCATTTTATAGCTCTGACTTGTGATAATTTTTTCAATTTCCGAAATAACTAGAAGCCAAAAAGACGCGTAGATTTATACCTGAAGATGACCTAATTGCAGCTTGGGGTTCTATAAAGATCAATGGAACAGCTGGTTTCATGATTGGTTCTTGCATGTGGTTCACTCACTGTTCCGGAAATTATTTACAAAAACAAGAAAGTTTTTTCATACGATAAGACTTATGTCGTGCCCTACATATTATACATTTTTTCACTTACCATATTTGTGGTCATTACAGATAAATTATAGTATTTCGTGGTCTCATAGTCGAGATACTTCATTGTAGTAATAACCCCTGTGCTAGGACTAATCATAAAGGCATCATCAGTATTTCCTGACAAGATTTCGAACTGCAAGGAAGAAGTACTTCTAACATCCAAATGAGCAACGTAGCTACCCAAAGGTTGGTCTTCAAATATTTCTGCAGCAATTTCCTTGTTAGAAAACCTGTAAAATGAGATTAGGTACAGCATTAAAAAGGTATGTTAACATAATTTTAGGGGTAAGTTAGTCGCATTCAGATATTACTCACATTTGGTGACAATTCATAGGAATGTTTGAAATTTTTATATGTTCAAGGTATTGGCACATGTTCCTGTCAAGTTTCAACAAAATCTATCCCGTTTAGCTTCTGATATAACCCATATGACATTTACATGACTCTTATGAGACGCATGATATCTTCTACTATTACTTCAATATAGTCAGTAACAAATTTATAGGAATGTTTAAAACACATGAATCTTGAGGGACATAAAACCTTAACATCAAAATTTGAAGATCTGCCGTCCCGTTATTGAAATATTTGGATCGGAAGCTGTCCAATCCGTGGTGTCTGTCGTATTGATGTACCATCTTACAAAGGGAAACAGTTAACGTTAACGTTAAAAAACTGGGCGTATGAAACTTGAGCAACATTGAAACATTATGGTAGAAATAGAAGGCACCTAATTCTGTAATGAGTTTTTGAAATTTTTATAAAGAAATCTAATAAATTCACTATTTCTGTCGTATTCAGATGTTCGGTATGGAAGCTGAGTGCGGTCCACTTACAGTTTGACTTCGCTGTTACTGGACTGATAATAACTTAATACCCAGCAGGATAATGTTTTGCTGCATGCTGATAAAAAGATAGGAAATACATTATAATGACAATAGTAATACCTTGGAGGAGCATTATCAGCCATAGTCAACATAATATGAGCTGGAACAGTAGATGATAATGGAGGCTGGCCGTGATCCATAGCTCTGATTTGCAGTGTGTATTCTGTAACGGTGGCCAAATCTAAATCCCTGGCTATCGTTATGATTCCTAATTCGGAGTCTATACTAAAGGCGTTTCCCACATTTCCAGAAATTATTGAGTAGGTGACGCGAGCGTTTTCCCCTTTATCATGATCAGCTGCAAAGGCTCTTAAAACTGCGCTGCCCACTGCTGCTGATTCAAATACCTGTGGAAAATTATTAAAAATAGACTATTTGCCAAAAATATTGACTTCAAGACGTTGGTACAGATACACTAATAATGATTGTTAGAGCTGTTCATTGGTCCTTAGAATTGAGTCATAATAAAACATCGTAGGTTTAACCGGTTACGGGTAATGTGGCTTATCTCATCTGATGAGGGCCCCTCAGTTGTCAGTAGCGTAGGATTTTAGCTGGGGTGTGTGGCAAATTCCATACTGCTGTACGGGGACCCTATCTATGGTAAAGCCCTGAATAAATAGAAATATAGACAGCTAATGCTCAGAAATCAGCAAGAGATGAATGTTGCGCGTGCTCTCCGCTTTTAGAACGGTGTCGACATATTTTCTGGCTGAGGAGAGACGTGTGCTCTATAAAAAGGGCGCCGGAGCTAAATACGATGAAAGAGAGGTGCTTTTTGATAGATAGCAGAAGAGATGGACTGTAACTGCCATTGGTGTAAGGACTAGAAGGCTGATTTCCGATATTGAAACCCGGATAAATATATTGCGCATTTTCTCCCAGAACATAGTTGGTATGCGAACTGCGTAAGTTGCAACTCATTTACTTCAATATGACATGACGCATGAGTTGACTACCAGAGGCAGACGGACTTGATCATCATTTCACTGCTGACAATTTTGCCAGGAATATGAGCGAGGACAAACGGGTCGACATTTATACCAGTATTGAGGCGGATGATCAAGGCACAGGATCATAAAAACAGACCAATGAACTAACAGTTTTCTACTTGTTGTGTTGTACATATTATCTACTGCCAATATTTCGCTAATATGAATGCGAACATACAGATGTCTTCTCTATACACCACCTCAAAACATACTTGAAGTAGATAAGACTGCGAAGTTTTTACTTTTGAAGCTGTTTAAAAAATAAAAAAAAAAATGCAAATAAGAGTTTAGTATGTACAAAATTCTTTTCCATAAGTTTAAAAAGAATTATCGCTACTGTGTATTTTTTATTTGCAAAACATTTATAATCAAAGATCATTCCATAATTACAGCTGCATTCTCCCTAGATACAAACTGAAATGAAAAATTGGTGCACCTCGTATAGTTGTGAATATTTTAGAAATATGCCCCCACATACTATGTATAATATCTTATGCAGAATTTTTAGAAAATTTTGCATAGAAACAATATTCCGCACTCACATCGAAGGACTAACCTGTATACAGGGTGTTAATACAGTATATAGACAAAGTTTAACCATCGAATCCTTGGTCAATTTGAAGACTAAATGTTGATATGAACATGGGTCCGTAACGGTTTTCTTTTCGAGCTAGTCCACTATTACTAAAGAAATACGAGTAATATTCCGAATATTTCTATGAATAATGAAACGTACTTAGTGAGCAGTTGGTATAACCTATGATAAATTGTGCATGTTTTATAAGTTGCTGACGCTCAATATGAACGTGGAAGAAAATAGTATTATGCTGTATTTTTGGAGAAAAAATTTACTTAGAAGGTCAATAGTTTTGAACAGTAACATTCGAAAAGAACGACAGCAATAGAAAATATTGAATAGTGTTTTTTTACAGTAAATGTTCAAAGTGGCCATCTTCGACTTCAATTCAGGCGTCTAGTCTGTTACACATTGACTGACGAACTCTTCTGAAAATATTTTGTATAGTCAGACATGACTCGACAATTCTGACTCTTAAGTCCTCCACGCTTTGAACAGGAGCATTGTATACTAATGATTTCAATTGTTCCCATAAACAGAAGTCGATAGGAATCATGTCAGGCGATCTAGGCGGTTATGCCTGTGGTCCGCCTCTTCCAATCGATCGATTTGGATAATTATTATCTGGGTATTCTCGCGCAACGACACTGAAGTGTGGCGGAGCACCGTCATGCTTGTACCATATGCGAGGTCGTTCTCTAAGAGAAGAATAATATAGGTATCTACGTATATGGAGGGTCTGAAAATAACTGTAAATCATGTGATATTCACCACAGGGCATACTTAATTAAAATAAAATACGTTCTTTTCTCTAGTAATTTTTTAGAACAATGTCATCATTTCTTTTAGTGCTAATATCCTCTAGCTTGAAAACAAAGCTGTTGCGGACCCATGTTCACATGGAAATTTCGTCTTCAAATTGACCAAGGATTCGATGGTTAAAGTTTGTCTACATACTTTATTAACACCTTGTATATTACATATTACATCCTTCGCCGCTAAGCGCCTTAGGATATAGACGTGTGTGACCAATAATGACCACGTTCTTAACCTAAGTGTGTAATATACTTTATATCTTACCTTTCCTACGAGGATCTTGTCCGAGAAATGAGGAGCATGGTCGTTATGATCGTGCACGATGATTTTCACTCTAGCGTAGTTCCTTTTTGATGGTGTCCCTCCATCTCTCACCATCACTGTTAGGATGTGCTCATTCAAGGTCTCCCTATCTAAGCTTGCTGCTAGAGATATAACTCCTGTGATGGAATCAAGCATGAACGTTCTAAGCGATATTATATTTTCAGCAGAGTGGAAGCTGTAGATGAGTTTTCCGTTGTCGTCTCTATCAACGGCTTTTAGTTTTAGGATATCTGTGTACAGAGGTACAGCTTCACTGATTTCAACCTGTAAAGGATACTTATATTTAATTCAACCGGAAAGGAGAAAAGGTGCGAAGTACATTTAGTCGTTCCTAACTTCATTTAAATATATTTTTGTAATCAAATCATGTTTCATACTCTTCAGGCATACATTATAACCCTTTCCAACCAACGTTCTGAACTACGTCCTCCATAATCAACTTTATTTTTCCATTGGTTAGCACATTAGAATTTTGCTTAATAATTCATTCAATTTCGACTTCAACGATGATTGTACACGTCATAAATTCATGAAGCTTAGATCTAAAGACTAAATAATTCCCCTGTTGACCTTAGTATTACTAAACTATCAAACATTTGGCCGTGTCATCAGTGAAATATACCTCCAGCGTTTCAGAGTTTAAAAGAATAATCAGATGTTCGTTAATTGCTGAGAATAACAGGCGTTATTTCCAGTACAATGCCACACGTGCCATCATAGCCGGCTGGTAAATATCGTACAGGCTGTCCTAGAATAATATGTCAATTTCTCGTAAGCACACAGAACACAAGCAATAATGCCATGACTTCCTTTAAAAAATGTTCTGCTAGGCTCTACGGAGATACAAGGTCCTAAAGAACCCTACTGAAATCCGATTTTTTTTTCAAATAAATGTAGAATTCAACAAAATGTTGACAACTTAGTAATTACTTGAGATCCCACATGACGGTGACCATGGAAAACTAAATATTAACCCATTTAGATCACCAGAGACAGTCCAATTCAAGTGCGTTATTGCTACAAAATGTACACTCTGTCCGATAATGGTCCAACGATAAGGTAGTTTGATCTTGAAGCTTAAAAAATACTCTTGCTTAACATCAAACAAATTAACCGCTTTTGAGAAAGATACTAAAATACTTTAGTTTTATTTCAGTACTATTGATTTTTGTACCATTTTTTTATACCGAACCAGTAGTAGTAGTGAAGGCAGAAGCCTAAATGTTATGACACCGCCGCTGCCATGAGGATTCCAAAGAAATTTTGTTAATCCGATTTTTGAACTGCCTGAGGTTAGTAGGACTGGGAAAAGCCTCCTCTTGTAGGTTGTTTCACAATTTTGGAAATATACTAATTCTGATAACATATTCGTAATTAACACTTTAACACTCGAAAAACTACGAGAATATATATTTTCAGATCACTTGATTCAGCTTTAAGTGTACGTTAGGCTTTTATAGGGCAGTGACTGCAGTGTAAAATGATAGAAACAATATTGAAATAAGTTCGTTTTTTTAGAAATGATTCATTTTATATGCAATCAAACAAAAACGCGCTTTTTTCCAGCTAAATCGGTTTACCAAAAGCATTAATTTAAGGCAATTATTATACATCAAAATGTGAAAACGTCAGGAGCATTGCATTAGGATTAGTCCATATCTGGCAATTCAAATGAGTCTTGAGGTGGTGAGGAGTTTTTTGACAAAGTTGAATTCTTGCCAGTATCTTGAAAACGAGGCATTTTCGGACGGAATGGGCCATGGATTCGGTTTCAGCGACCCAAAAAGCGTATTATAAGATATGTTGCGTTCACGTTCCCGACTGACCCATTTTGTGACTTTTTGGTAAGAATACCCCTACACATGGTAATTATATGTTAAAATGCTTTAAATGCGGTTCAAATGACCTTTATTCCACGTATTTCGGGCTGCCCATATCGAATCCGAGGTCGTTTTATATGTATGTGACCCCGTTTATGATGTAGATCTAATTACGTAGCGAAAAATTGCAAAACCAGGCGTTTTTTTGCGACTTTAAGGTGCTAAAAATCCATTTTTACTATCGATGGCTACATGAGAGCGGAGCTTTGCACAATGAGGTAACTTGGGGCGCTGAATATGAATATCACAGCGAAAAATTTCTTAAGTGTTATCAGACGGAATTTAGGGTGAAAAGTTGACGAGAAACTATTTTTCCGGGCTAGCCGTAAATTCTAACGATGCATCGACATCGAATTTGGAATCTACGCAACCGATTTACCCAGAAAACAAGTTTCCATCTCGATCATAGACGCGCAAGAGTTTTTAGAAATTTTTTATTAGTCGTTTTTTGACAAAGTTGAATTCTTGCCAGTATCTTGAAAACGAGGCATTTTCGGACGGAATGGGCCATGGATTCGGTTTCATCGACCCAAAAAGCGTATTATAAGATATGTTGCGTTCACGTCCCCTACAGACCCATTTTGTGACTTTTTGGTAAGAATACCCCTATACATGGTAATTATATGTTAAAATGCTTTAAATGCGGTTTAAATGACCCTTATTCCACGTATTTTGGGCTGCCGATATCGAGTCCGAGGTCGTTTTATATGTATGTGACCCCGTTTATGATGTAGATCTAATTACGTAGCGAAAAATTGCAAAACCAGGCGTTTTTTGCGACTTTAAGGTGCTAAAAATCCATTTTTACTATCGATGGCTACATGAGAGCGGAGCTTTGCACAATGAGGTAATTTGGGGCGCTGAATATGAATATCACAGCGAAAAATTTCTTAAGTGTTATCGGACGGAATTTAGGGTGAAAAGTTGACGAGAAACTATTTTTCCGGGCTAGTCGTAAATTCTAGCGATGTATCGACATCGAATTTGGAATCTACGCACCCTATTTATTCAGAAAACAAGTTTCCATCTCGATCACAGACGCGCAAGGGTTTTTAGAAATTTTTTATTAGTCGTTTTTTGACAAAGTTGAATTCTTGCCAGTATCTTGAAAATGAGGCATTTTCGGACGGAATGGGCCAAGGATTCGGTTTCAGCGATCCAAAAAGCGTATTATCTATCGAGTCCGAGGTCGTTTTATATGTATGTGACCCCGTTTATGATGTAGATCTAATTACTTAGCGAAAAATTGCAAAACCAGGCGTTTTTTGCGACTTTAAGGTGCTAAAAATCCATTTTTACTATCGATGGCTACATGAGGAGCTTTGCACGATGAGGTAATTTGGGGCGCTGAATATGAATATTACAGTGAAAAAGTTCTCAAGTGTTATCAGACGGAATTTAGGGTGAAAAGTTGACGAGAAACTATTTTTCCGGGCAAGGAACCCATCAAGTAAAGATCCTACTGGTTACTAAACTATCTAAATTATGTTAAATCCTTCAGTGTTGTACATAAGTTATTTAAGGATAACCGATTTCAAGTCGCGCATTTATGGGCCTTTATCTCCATAGAGGAACCCCACCCCGTAGGACATTATTTTATAGAAACTTGTTGCATTATTTTTTTAGTTCAACTCGTATATTTACTTCATGGTCGACATTTTTGACCTTACCCTCACTCTATGAGTTTAACCTCTTATATACATTATTCGTGCGTAATACATACGAATACTTCACTTTTACTTTCAATGCCAACTGGTAAATGCAAACATTTTTTGTTCTTTTTACTTTACTTGGAATATACTTCATAAAAAATCATGTCACTCATGTTCGTCAGCCAATCTATCGGTCTGATCGCTAATCCTTGCCCTTCTGTAATTTAGAAGCTTTATGGTTTTTGAAAATCGATCCAGTGGCGGTGGAGGAAAGGACAAAAAAAAAAACGGAGTGCGAAGGGGTTGCAGAAGAAGGGGGAATTTTTTGGCGGAAGCATAAGTATACGTTTCTTACCATTGTAACTCTACGCATCTATAAGACATATTTCACAGATACATTTTCTTATACAACTTTGAAGTTGAGTCATTAATTTTCAGATAATGATTGTAGAAGGAAGATAAACCAAAAATTAAAAAAAATGTTTACCTTGTTTTATAAAGTATCCTCCCGACAAGTATTTCAGTGCGGACCTGTATTTGATCGTGATGTCCCCTGTGAGGTCTTAAGTCACCTGATTCACGAGCCCGTTGTACTACATTAACAAAGGCACGAGGGTTTGGTTGCACTCGATTGGGAAACCGATCCGCATAAACATGTGCCATCTTTTATTTCGTTTGAGCCACGCAACAGACGCCACTATTCACACGCGTTACCGACTGACACTGACTGTATGTATACAACTGAATAAAATAATTGTAAAAACATCGTTCCAAATTCTTTCGCTTTTTTGTTTCCGATGCGATGAACCGATAAGGCGGATTATATCCGTTGTTGCCAAACACGAGCACATGATATTATTATTGAGACAGGGCGGTACTCAAACTTCCAAAGGGCTATAACTTTGTTACTTTAATTTTACCAGAAAAATGGTAAAGGAAAAAAACATTTCTTTTGATCAGATCTACTCACTGTTAAAATAAATGACTCAACTTCGAAGTCACCCTGTATATTTGCATCCAAGATTTAGACTGAGAGTGGTATTTTTAAATAAAGCTGTGCCACTATATCTCGAGCGAAAGGCCTGGGCATCCATGCAGTGAATTTTTTACTTGAACAGCAGAGAAAGCGTTCTGTGAAATATCGGACGCTTAATTAAAAAATACCCTACATTGATACAGTGCTTTCCAAAAAGATCCCCAATTATTTATCCAACGAGACAAATTAGCAATCCTAAAACGGTCTTTAAATGGAATGGATGTTTATGTGATATTATAAAATTTCGTATGAGTATCTACTGCACAACCATATAATATAAAATCACAATCTTTTAAAATAACGCACCGGCACGCTGTTGAAGTATTTACCCCTATGTCAATGGGCGAGGAAGTATTGTAATCCTTGACACGTTTATAACTTGCACATCGATGAAATTTGCACACGAGATTACTATGCCAAGGACGCAAACGCTTTGTAGCTTTTGAAAATCGGCCCAGGGCGGCGTTAAGGGCAAAAAACGAAAAAATCTAAGTACGCCTTGTGACGTTTCAGAGGTTCCTTTTTGTAGGAGTTAAAAATCGGGGGTTGGGAACAAACAAATATTTATAGACGAGACACTCTGTCGGTCAGGAAGATTGCAACCCTTATGCGCCAAACTCTGTGTCTGTCTGACTGCCGCCTTCCCAATCTCGAGTTAGAGTAGCATCGTTACCAGATGGCCGATACTTAGGGCAGGGAAGAAAGTAGCATTTGCGTTACGAAATGGGTGAGAACTATGGAGTACGGACTAATTGTGTGTTACTGATTGACTGACCATTTAATTTTTTTCTTATAGATATCTGTAATCCTTTATGAACATGATGACATCTTACACGAATAATTTTGATACTCAGCGTTACTATTAAAAAAGAAAAATGAATTGCATTTGAAAATAACTTGCTATTGATCGATAAACCTCATGCTTTTACAACAGAATTTTGATATTCACCATTCAGTTTGTTAATTCACAGTAATTTAATTTGTTTAAGGCACATTATTACATAAAATGACCCTACCAACTAAGAGTGATTTACAAACTCACCTTATAGCTGCTCTCCGAAAATTCCGGTCTGTGATCGTTGATATCGATGACTGATATATTCAGCTGCGTATAAACAGTGTGAATGGTGTTGCTAACGCTGACGTTTAGAGTGTACTCGTTCTGGATTTCATAATCCAGTTTTTGAGCTATAAGGATATTGCCGATGTCTCGACCAATGTAAAAATCACCTCGTGGGTCCCCATCTAGAAAGAAAAAAAAAGAGTAGTTAACCTAATCCGATTTTTGAACTGCCTAAGGTTAGTAGTACTGTGAAAAGTTTCTGCAAGCAAATTGTTTCGCAATCTGCAAGCCTTTGAACAAAGAGGCCATCCTACCGGCCAGTTCTGGAAGTTCGACGAAGCTAGGATGGGCAGAAGCCTGGTGCTATTCAATGTCCTACTTTTTTTCAGAAAATAAGGAGTATCTGGCAGCCCTGGTATCGCGGACTATGTGCCTTATTCGCGCTTTTCATGTAATTACATCTACTTCGGAGATTTTCTTCCGATTTCAAAATTATGACGCCAAAATACTGCATCTCTAAGAGGATGCATTATAAGACATAAGAATTTTCTATGTTATTTTTGGAACCAGTTTTTGGCGTAGCAATGATGTCTTTGTTTTTTGAATCACCCTTTATGGTTATAAGGTCGCTGATTTCATTTTTTTCTTCTGCATATACACACGGTCACTGAGATATTAAAAAAAGTCAATTTCAAAGGTAATAAAACTGAGTATGCTCAATTCTTCTGTGAAATGTGTGTTTATACGCCCAAGAAGTGTGGATATATGTGATAGTCATGTGAATAAAATTCCAAAACGTTTCCACATAAGCCTCCTCTGAGGTTGCCTGCAGCCGGTAAGCAGTATTTTAAAAGTATTTGCACACAAAATGGGAAGATGGGAACTGAAAAGTATTCATATGGGTAGTTTATTGTATTCAAAAGCGTTATTTAGTTTGGAAAAGCTATTATTTGAAAAGTAGCTGGTGATAAGGTAAAAAATCAAATCAATGATGTTATACTGTTGTGTAATTTGAAAATAATGTTGTTTTTATCATTAAATTACCCAAATTACATATATAACAGGCGACTGATATAAAAAGCATAAATCACCGTTCTACACCATACTTCTTTTTTCACCAGACGTTCTGTAGCGCAATATTATATCACGAGCATACCACAACTGTGCTTGTTGCGTTTAAATTTAAGAATCCAAAAGTCCCAGAACGGCAAAATATGTCAGAATATTCAAGGGGCATACTAAAAGTAAAATAGTGGAAGTTTGGTATTTTCCCTGGTTACTCGCTGGTGTCCTTGAATTTTACCTTGAGTATAACTTTGAGGATCAAATAAAGGTCAAGACGATTTTTTTAAATGTACGCCGGAAACAGAAACAGAAAATTTACGTTCAGATATGAGCTTGGATGAAAATTATTTTGCCTTTGAATGATCTGGATAAGGTTATCGTAAAAAAAGTTGAAAAGATTACAGTGATTTTTCTGGAGATATAGCGAAAATAAGAATCCAAAGGCAGCAGGAGTAATTAATTTTTTTCTAGCCAACTACTCATGACCTTGACCTTGATGGTCAAATCAATGCCAAGACAATTTTTCTTAATGACACTATACTGACCACAGCAATAACGGTAAATTTTGTTAGGCTACGATTTTGGGTTAAAATTATTTTAGCATGGACGTCATCGTCCAGGTTATAGTAAAAACATCATTTCAAAAAGTTTTGAGGATGTTTTTAGAGATAAAACATAAATACAGATTCTAACACACCAGGGGTTCTAGTTCCCAGGCAATTCACGGGTAACATTGAGAGTCACTTTGAGCATGACGTTGACGGTCAAATCAAGGTCTAGACAAGGCTTTGCTTAGCGACTTCTTTTAATCCCGGAAAAGTATAGGGTGAAAGGATCCCATCTCAAAAGAAATCGGTTTTTGTATTTTTAAAACACGTATTTGTTATATTTTCATTTTCAATCGCGAATTAGCAGTTTTTCCTTTATCAGCCCTTTGCAGCACTAAGCGAGAGTGCTAAACCAGGAGCAAACCTAACAATAAGTCACAATAATTAGAATACAAAGAAGTTGAATTTAACTATAAAGCTGAGTCACAGGAACGTCATTTCAAGATCGACCTCTATGGGTTCACATGGCGATATACATGCCCTACTTCTCTCATGTGAGTAAGATCTCTATTCAAAATCGCACTAATAATAATAGTTCATTGCCTACTTGCTAGAATGATTTAATTCGCACTGTGGTTAACGCGCCTTCAATGACGTGTTCGTTCATTTCAAGTGATACGCGAGTAATGTTGATGTCTAATTCCTCAACAGTTTTCTCTGACCTATGTAGAAAGAGCCTTAAAGGAAAAAGTCTAAGGTTTTGCACCAAATGCTCTAGGTGATCAGTTTTGGTCCGAAGCGAGAAAATATCTGCTCGCAGAATTCTTGTCGCAGTAGGGCAGTTTCATGGACTGTTCAGCTAGTAGGGTCGCACTGTTTAGTCGTTCTGACGAACATGTGCTTGATTTTCAACAAGCAAATAGTGTGTTCTTATGGCGCGATAACCGTTGCATTCTCGAACGCGCCATTAAGAATTGTAACTACAGAATGGCAGCCGACATTTAAAAGGATTGGTTTTCAAAAACGCAATGCCAAGAGTAAATACTTATTTTCTTCGGGAGTAACGATTAAACGATGAAGCTGATTGTTTTTATATTTTTTATTTTAATAAAATCTCTCTAAAGTGAATAAGCCGTTACATGCAAGAGCAAAATGAAATACTTACCGACTATATCATACCACAAAGTGTTATTGTCAGGATCGTTGGCTGTAATGGAGGCAACAAGGAATCCAATTTCGTCACCCTCAGTCAGCTGAACTGCCTGAGGGGTTTTAACAATTGGAGGGTACTTGGATGTCTTCGGCGTCGGCACTATTCGAACTGATACCTTACAAATACTCGATTTTGCTGGGTCGCCAGAATCCGTTACTTTGATCTGAAAGAAGTAGGTGTGTCATTTAAATGGGATCAACTTAATACCTATATATATATATATATATATATACATGCATGCATTTAAAAGATTGAGAATGGTTAGTGTTACAACGTTTTTTAAACGAAGCAAAATGTGCATATTACATGTCTTTAGCCATATGAAAAAAGTAATTTTTAATTATGTCAATTAGAAACGTTGTAAAATAAAATCATTTCTCTATCGTCGCATCTTAGGTTTAATAAGACATTTACATATCCTTATAAGACTTTTTATCTTCTAGAATCTAGAAACTGTCCTTGACCATTTTTGAATCCGCTAACACAGCCTTGGGCTCTAAGGTGGCGCAGCACCAATCCGTTTACACTAAACTTGAACTTTAGGGCAGCGCCACTGTCCATGGTTATCCCATGGTCACTAACGCTGCTATAAGCGCGCCTATAACACACAGCGCACTATTTGGTCAGACTCTACTTTACACTTTATAGCACAATTCATTCTGTGGTGTTCATAACTAATAACTAATTCTGATTTCATATAATACCTGTTACAAAAAAATTTAGCGTAATTCTGTAATAATAATAATTATAAGTATCAAGTATTGTACAGGATGCAGCAGAATCAACTAAGTAGTTTCAAAGAGTTACAAAAAAAAACGTCTGAACCTATAGAAAAATTGTGTTAAACTTCGGAGTGAATAATTTATATCAATCTAAATTTGTTTTTTTATAAAATAGATGGGGGTCATTAGGAGCAGTACACTGCTAAATAATAATAAACGTCTTAATTCGCTAAATAACAGAACAAATAATAAATAAATCTTACAATTTCAAAAAAGGATGTTTTCGAAGGGCGAAGTTCAGCTGTGCATCACTGAAGTGAAGCTCATCTGTTCTTCCACTTAACACTTTAAATGATATTACATTCTAAATAGATAATCAAAGGACTACCCTGATAATTATTCCATCATGTAAGTATACACAATAGAATACTGTCTTGTATGACTTAAGTATTTATACGCTCTGCTGGGTGGCTAATACTTGCTTAACATAACTGTTGCATTCTACAATATTATATTTTTTAATTTCGTTCGGGAAACCGTTGTACACACTATAAATCTGATAGGTAAAACTTGGTTTAAGAAATTCAACTTGAAATCTTGGAGGAGACAATAGACCCTTAAATCGGACATTATAACAGTTGTTTTGCATTTATTCGTCTGTAATATAATCAGGCTGCCCTCTATTAGAGATATTTAATCACCCTGCATCATACAATTTGTGAGTGACTGCTTGGTCAGCGGATGCCTTAACTTGACTTCAAACAACATTTTAAACTTTTTGTATCTTATGTTTATAAGTAGAGGTTAAATGAGGCCCATATACAACATCGGTATAGTTTGAAATTGAAAGAACTAGACTGGCACAGAGAAATATTTTAGTTTATTTTTTGTTAATAGAGATCAGTTCCAAAGCAGTGTTTTTTTTTAAAAGTTCACCAATATGCGATTTAAATGTTAATTAGCAATCAAGATCAACTACGATTTTCTTGTTCTGAAAAAGGTATTAGTATAATCATCTTACTCACCCCCTGGTAGGGGGTATTTAAAACATGGACGCATAAAATGGGTACGCCATTTTTTGTGGGAAAACTTTTTATTCGAAAACAAAGAATAAGAAAACGTGTTTTCTTGGGATTCAATCGAAAGAGTTGACAGGAACGAAAAAACGCTTCAAATAATAGGAATTTATGAGACTAGAGAATGGGACCACAGGTAAAAAGATCCCACTAATAGTACAAAAGTTACGGCTAATGCGATGATAATTCCACGCAGTTACTTGAAATTTTTCAAATCCGAAGGCTTCTTACTTATAAATAACCACAACAAAATTGGAATCAATTGGTGAAGTTGTTTTTGAGTATTCCTAATTGTTCGTCCCAAAACTCTTGTCTTCCGGCCATTACTACTAGTTTATTGAGCAATATAGGGTTCGTTCATAGGGCATTTTATAGCAAAACAAACAAGTTTACCTTGCCGACATGAATCACAAGCCGTTCTGGAAGATTTGTTATTTTTATGTGAAAAACGAAGGTTTCCTTTTTTCTCCTGGACAAATTCAAACATTTCGTATTTATATTTATCCGCATTATGCGTCGTCTTCTATTGCACGGGATAAGTAGCTCGGATTTCTTTGTCACAAGTTTCCATTCGCATCAACATTTCACTATTAAAAACCTACCAACCATCATTCAAGCCTGGTTTTTAGCAGACAGCGCAAATCAGTGTAAATAACTAGTATAAACATACCTGTTTATACCTTCCAACCCAGTAATTATGTCAGTAAAAAAATAGACAATCCAACATTTCTATATTTTATAGGTTGTGTTTATAGTTTCGTTTGACATTAAATTTATGGGTTTAATTTACTAGTCAAACTAAACATGATGCTTTCGTCCGTCCGACCAAAATTTTCAATGGCAAGTAGAAAACATCTACTTTACAGCCAGAATCATCAGCCATCTAGCGGTCAAGTGGTGACTGGGCTATTAAGCGTGAATTGAGATCGCTAGCAATTCGAAATAGGAGCAGCTATGTGCTTTCTGCAGTGTTCGATTCTGGTGTGATAGATGGCGCATTGCGCTGTCTTATTATAAGTGCAACTTTTTATAAAAGATATATTTTTTTATCATACTAATTTTGATATAAAATGATTTTCATCCATCAAACAGATGGGTGGAGGTTACTTCTAATCACTACAATAGGAGTAGCGGAATTCAAAACTTACGTTTAGTTCATACTCCTGTCCAGGCTCGAATCCTTTTTGGGCATACACCATTCCTGTGCTGTTGTCTATTCTGAACTTCGACCTTCCTTTGCCAGATTTAATGTGGTACTTTAGCAAAGCATTCTGGCCCAAGTCTCGGTCAAATGCCAATACCTAAAGAAAGATACATAATCGTGAGGTCGTATCGTCTATTAACGGTATCGAATAGCGCACGTAGAAAAATGATTCATGTTAAAATATGTAGCATGATGGATTTGTAATTGGAGAAAATTTAATAAAAGACAAGAATGAAGCTACGCTTTAAACGAGGGGTCGAATATTAAGGGCATTCCTCTGAACTTGGTTTAGTTTGATTTGCTAAATTTTCTCAATTATATACTTCGAGAAATATAAAGTATAACTGACATTGTGAGGTAGGTAACTGTACAGTCACTTGTCACTCCATGTAGTAAAACCAGTCAACAGTTCTCTCTCTACTAATATAAAAAAAAGTATTAGTAATATTTTATAGAAAATGACTTTTCGTTACTTGGTACAGAAACTACAATAATAACACAGCTCTTTTTGAGCAAAATAATGTCTAGTATGGGTCCAAACGACATTGAAAAGTTTTTCTCCTTAGCTATAAAGTTTAAAATCAACAGTCTGAAACTTTGCAAATCGTGATTTTTGAAACAGCCGTTTAAATATATTTTTGAAAAATTGACAATTGTAATGAAATAATTATTGAAAAAAAATTTGAAAAGAGGTGTATGTATGTGCCGACCATGGGAACTGCTTGGGGAGGCAACAATCTTGTACAGTTCAATGCTTCCAAAACGCAGTACTGTACTTTGACGAACAACAAGCGTCCTAGCGCTCATCCGGTTTCGATGGATGGCCGAGTTCTGCCAAAGAGCCATTAATTTCGGCTGGTCGGAGTCCAGATCACCGAGGACCTGATCTGGCACGAACACATCTCGTCAATATCTGCAGACAGACCGCCTGACTTTGGTGTCCCATCCTAACCGTGTCAAACTTCTCACATCCAGAACTGGCTGATACGACCGCTCCTTTGTCCCGAGGGCGTCGAGATTGTGGAACACTCTACAAGAGGAAGCTTTTCCCAGTTCTACTAGCCTTAGGCAGTTCAAAAATTGTATTAACAAAATTTCTTTGGGATCATCAGAGCAGCCGCGGTGTTTCGGCATTTAGGCTTCTGCCTGCGCGGCTGCTTCGATATATATATATATATATATATATATATAATTCATAGGCAACCATGCAACTACCAGTGATATAATAATAAGATCTTTTCAATTTCAATTTTCAATTCTGCTTGTAAGCTACACTATTTTTTTAACTTATTACCTTTTTTATTACTTAATATCGAAGAAGTCTACTAAGTCTACAAGAAAATCGTTACAAATCCCGTGACAAAGACAAAATACAGGAAAAAATGAATATCCATAAACCTTGTGATTCTTACACAAAACTGTAAATATTATAAAACTTTTTAGACTTAGGTATAAAATGATATATATAGGGTGTCCGGAAATTATATATATATGTTGACCACTGTCTTTAAGTGACAGCGTTGCTACCTCTTTGACTATTGCCGCAGGTTATGGATGACCTTTTCTGTTGAAAATTGAGTCTTGTTTTTGTTACTTCAACCTGGTTGTGACGATGGAAATTGTATATCCAAATGTCCTTATAGAACAACTTAATCAATAGGTTTACATATACCCTGGTATCGGAAAGGAAGAGAGCAGCAAAATCAGTGCCAGTATCCCGCCGTATTCAAGGAGATGCCGCGCTTGCAGTGGCGTGCGAACTGTTCTGCTGTTCTCTTCCATTTCGGTATCCAAATACAAAAACAGACTGCTATCCTATATATCTTATTTCCGTCAATCTGATACTCGCAGAATTTACATCGAGTTTTCTGTTTGAGTTGAATTCACTCTGTAACTGTGACTGCACATTACCACCTAAAAGAACTTTCATGCTGCCACCATATCCATGCGAATTCCATCCATCTATAAAGAAACAAAACAGAAAAGTCGAACACAACTGGGTAACAATGAAATGCACTCGTGCGACGACGGAACATCGACAAAGTTAATTACGGCAATTTACGGAAAAACAAAAACACAAAGGATAGTGATGCATGCAGTGGAAAATCCCAGAGACATCAAATGCATGGTGAGAGAGACAAGTGGAAATCCATTGTGCATTAAAGTGTACGTTTCAAATGGAGATTTGTAGCATTAGGTTCCAGATATTATTTGCTTCCGATTTGATGAGCGTGATTTGTTCTCCGTCGACATACTGTTTATCCGGAAAATTCATTTTTCGTCTCGTACGTATATGTACAATTGAACAGTTTATTTAGATTGTTAATGATGTACCAGGTGTTGCTGTTTAATTTCCAAAATCGGTTTTTCTCTGTAGTTGAAGCTGTTTTGGTGACACAAATATGAAAATTGTGAAACAAGGCTTTTTGAGGATAGGAAATACGAATATATTCAACATAATATCGATGCATCCGCGTAATAGACAGTCTGCGCCACCCAGTGCGCTCAAAGTCGCTCAGCTACGCGCCGCCATAATACATCCGCTCATCTCTGGTCAGCTGCGTTATTATGTGAAAGACCTATTAAGGTAAATAACCTATAAAATGTCAACTTGTTGACTAAGTAGGATAGTGTGAAAAAAGGTAGTTTCGCGCTTGCTACAAGCGAGCATGAAGTAAGCGAGAGCTAGCTAAAAGTTGATGTCTTGTTGGAAAACAAACAAAATGTCAAAAAACAACACCTTTCAATTTACATAACCCCGTGCGGCTCTCGTTCGGACAAACGTGAGCTGAGCGGTTTAATCGCGGCTGGTCAGAAATAAGCGGATATATTCTGGCAGCGCGTAGCTGAGCAAGTTGGAGTGCAGGCGATTGCTCAGACCATCTGTTATGGCACCTCTTCTCAATCAGCGATTACAAACGATTACGCGCAAGTACGATCGAGTAGAGGGCATACTCGGCTGTACTCGCCGATCATCGTCTATGATCGCCTTCGACCCGTGAATTATCGGTTTTTCGGATACGCCTCAAGAGGAATTGTCGGGTGGATGTGTGCAGTTGAGTTGAGGTGTCCACACGATCGCCGATCACTCATTGGCCGTCGCAAATAAATGGTTGCAGCAACACACACTGTTTGCCGTTTGATAATCGTATTCATTATCTCCAAAAAACGATTTTGAAAAGAAATATCAACATGTATGTCATTAACGAGTGACTATTTACTAAACCATATTTGCCTAAATATTATTTTTTTGCACACGTTTATTCTAGGAATAGTTTTTGACACATTTATTACGGTCCATCCTGTATATGCCGCGATGAAAGTTTCCATTTAGTAACACTGCTTATAGTTAATGACAGTGTTTTTAGATAAATCCCAGCATTTGATGTTCCCTGTTAAACCAATATGAAATAAAGCTCTATTAACAGCAGCAATGCCGGTGTTATTATAGATGATGTTATGATGTGTTTCCATCCGGGTACTAGAAAATGTGTATAGCTTGTTAAGCTTAATAATGCTTATAAGAATACCGTTTATGAGTGTGAAGTGGTTATACGATTCATATGATTTCTGATTTTGAATATACCTAATTATTGTTTAAAATACAAGATATAAACAATGCCCAGAATTTATTCATAATATCTTACGCCTTAAAACAGAAATATTTCGGCCGCTTGCGAAAGTTTTTTAAAAAATATTGTAAATGCGGAACATCCCGCGAAATCTAGGTTATGTCATTGTGGATTGACATATAGATATCTTGTATCCATACCGTTACGAAGTTCCATTATGTAGACAACATGCATGCTAGCAAACATAGTTTGTCGCAGTGACTTTGACTGCCCACAGTAATATCAGCAACCATTCTCGTCCAATCTATGTTTATAGGTGCCAAAATTGAGATGGGCTGACTATATGGAAAAATGAGATAAAAATAGGTTGATTCAGTTCAGCACTGAAAAATGTAACAGTTTATTGCTGACCGTTTTATAATGAAGCTCCATCTCCAGCCTTCAAATAAAAACGTTTTACACACTTTTTCCATCTGCTGTCAAAACATAACAAACACACAATACTACATAAATATAGTATAACCAAGATCTACCGAAATCTGTTTGTTCTTGAAGTAGATATCGGCAATTTGAAAATAATTCATATTCAATTTCCTTTCAATATTTTTTTATTAATTTATTGAAAGACGTCAGCTAGCCCTGAGTATGTTTGTAATGAAAAGCTGCTTCTTTGATACAAAACAATTTTTTTAAAGAAACTTTGAAAAATAAGACACAAAAATTATTTCTGGCTATCTTTGATTATCCCAAGCAATAATCTATGGTGTCTTAGCGCAATGGAATCTCAGTATTTTTGTCTTACTTTTCCGTATAGTCGCTTCCGTCCTGGAAGTTTAATATGTGTCGTCTGCTTGGAGTACTTTAGCTCATATGGGAAACCACGTGCTCTGTGTTCATTATGGTCTATTTTTTATTTTATTGTGAAGTAACTTCAAAGAACAGCATTTATAATTTACTTTAGTAACATGATTTTATTATTCCCAGATCGTTAGTATGTATGAATGTTAAGAATGTTCGTTCGTGCTTGGCATAACACACAATCCTTTGGTCGTGCACACATCGTGCTCTTACCCGCAGAACACGGTCCATTCCCGTAAAGTCCCCGGGAAGGCCGTGCGATTCCCACAGGTCCACCTCTGCGGCAGCACCGTCCGCTCCGTCGAAATAGTCTGCGGCATCGTTCTAGATCGACAACCGAGCCAGTGTGTTAAAAATTTACACTATAAGTTTATGAACTTACATTGGGTGTTTAATCGTGTATTTTTATAAGAAGACCAAATTGCAAATTTATATATGGTTATACGAGGTATGTAAATTAAGTGATGCGACTGTTTTGTTTAATTTTTTTAATCAAACAGAATTACTATTTTATATACTCTCAAAATAACTTCCTTCTGAAGCCACACAGCGCAGGAGATGGTTCTTCCACTCCTCATAGCAGTGCTGGAACTTCGACACTGGAATAGCCTTCAGCTGGTCGGTTACAGCCATTTGAATGTTTATCGACTGAAGAGAAACAGTCGCAAGGCGAATAAGGAGGCTGAGGAGCCACAGGATTTTTTGTACTGTTCAAAAACTCGTTTATTGACATTGCTGTGTGACAAGGAGCGTTATCGTGATGCAATACTTTGATCTGATAAACGGTGGTGTGAGTCAAATTTAACTCCGATCATTCTATCTGTAAACCGACGGTCTGTACGAACAAGATCCCAGATTCTGTAGATATTTTCATCGTTTCTTGAAGATGAACGCCTTCCGCTTCGTGGTTCACCTTCAATTAACTTTCTCCATTCTAAAAATGTCTTGAACCACCGAAAAACCTCGGCTCTTGACAAAACACTATCTCCGTAGGCTTGCTGAAGTTTAGCAAGAGTTTCTTCATCGTTGCTTGAACCAGATGACTTGAGCGAGTTCAAACCTATACTGAAGGCGGATCACAAGTTCACCTGTCTCCCTTCCAAGCCCGATGCCTCCAGTGCTGCTAGATCGCACACTAAGTTTCCAGTCTCATCACTTAATTTACAGACCTCGTAAATATCACTCTATGGCCACTGCCTCTTATTAAGGTATCGATACAGCATCGATACACGATGATACTCGACATTAGGGTTTAATATCGCCAGGGGTATCAGATTCATTCAACACAGTGGGCAATGACCTTCAGTCAGAAAATGGCAGAGTCTATAAAAACTAAGAATGTTAAAAAGTGACTAGAAATTTGATGCCTTTATAAAACTGATGTATCTTAAATTTTGTTCAAGCAACTTACCCATAAAAGAAGTTTCATATATTTGATTAAAAACTTCGCAAACTTTTCTATGGTTTAAACGGGTATATACTGCACAAGTTGCGTCATATATATATAGTCAAGAAAATATGACTTTAAAGTTAAATAGTTCTGCAAAAAATTCTAGTGCTGCGCTTTTATATCTCCCCATGCCTGTTTGTCATTTTCTCAGAGTGCTTTATAAAGTATAAAGTCTACTCTATTTCCCATTGGATTATGCAAAGTAGTCAAGTAGAAAATAGCGGAGTTTTTGCTTTTGTTATGTGTTGAGTCCATAAAAGTTACATTCTGCTATTCAGCCCACGCCACTCATGCTCGCGCTTTTAATTTCATGCTACTATGATTCAGCTGAGTGTGGAGTATATTCTTATACAAGATAAAATCCTGTTGTCTAGAATATCTGAGATGATTCTTTAAGCGACTTCACGGAAATACATACTTTATATCGACAAATGTGAACAAAAGCCTTATTTCCAAAATACAGAGTTGCTCCGTTTTTTAATAAATTCTTCCTAATTAGGTGTCTCTATAATAGGCTGGTCAATCTTCCTCAAACTGTATACAATAACTGTATTCGTAGAAGTTCAGATTTTATAAGCAATTTGATGGTTCCAAAATGAGTTACGTTGAGGTGATTTTAAAAGTTCGCGAAGAGAAAAAAGTCACAAGGATTCAAGTCAGGCGCATAAGGAGGCTGAGGAGCCGCGGCAATGTTTTTACTGGCCAAAAACTAGTACATTGACATTGCTGTGGAACAAGGAGCATTATCGTAATGCATCACCCAGTTGTTCTTAATCTGATGATAGGTGGAGTGAGTCAAATTTAACTATTCCCGATCATTCTCAACATGCCAAGCCACCGAAAAACCTGGGCTCTTGAGAAAACACTATCTATGTAGGCCTGTTCTGCAAGAGTTTCCGTTGCACTGTGCCCTAGCCTGAAGCAAAACCTGATAGCTATTACGTTACGAAATAACGTTATTTGAAATGGATGTTACTCATTTTTAGAACACAATAGAAAAAACTGTCCCACAAAAAAAAACTGCTACGGACAACCAAATGACTCGGGCGAGTTCAAACTTGTACTGCAGGCGGATCATATCTTCTCCTGTCTCCCCTCCAAGACTGGCGCTTCCAGTGTTGCCAGATTGATCGCTGCGTTGCCAGCCTCATCACCTAATTTACAGATCTCGTATACAATTTCTTGGCAGTTTTACTTCCCGAGCGCTCACGCGGCATGCAAACACATTACTAGCTTGGCTATTTCGCCGCTGACACTCAATAAACCTTACTAGCATATAAGCTGAGCTTGGATTTTAAACGTCTTTTTCTCAGAATTTGTTGTGCGTTGCGCGTTACCATTCCAACGGGTGAGTACCTAAAGGAGTACCATTACTACGCAAAGTTTAATTCAAAATAAATTCCCAAAGGTCGTCCTTCCGCTTGTTAGTGTAAATATGGAATATAGATACGGGTAAAAATGTTTGATGTATGTTTTTAAATTGTTTGTTTTGTCATGATATAACCTAGTTGATCATCAATGAGCAAAGCATAACAACGATAAAAACTGATTTTAATCCATATTATTGTCTCCATCAGCAGTGCATTTAGTTGACATCTATCGATGTGGTAAAAACAAACGTTTATGAAGTGGAAGTGGTAGTGGTGGGGAGGCGAAGCCTGGTAACTAGGCCACCTTTGACCCTTTTTTGTCGACACCGTAGTACCAACTCTGTACTCTACAAACCATAATTGATTATTGAATAAGCCAGCTTCAGCGATACGATGTACCTATGTTGATCTTTCAACGATCTGGTGCATGATATAGACAACACACAACAGAACATCCATGGCTCGGAATTAACTTCCGAGGCGGAGATTCGAATCCGCGAGCCTCGAGTCGACCGATTAGTAGCTCGACACGCTAACCACTCAGCTACCCAGGCACCAACGATTATGAAACTACAACATATAGTGCAGTGATGTGGCGTCAAAGGGGTGCGAATAAACTTTGAAGTTGCATATGAAAGAGCAGTGAAACTGCAATAACCTTAAGGAGCACATTTTTTATATGCAGGGAAATGTAGACATAAAAAAGATGATATTTTCAATTGGCTTCTATAAATATGTTTCTGTATAATACGTTATGAGTTACTTTTTTGAAAGAAAGAAACGTACTTAGCTCTAAGCATTCTTTTTTAATGTAACAGGTAATAAAATATTCTGACAATTTTCAAGAAACTCTTAACCCTCTTACGCTAGTAGTGATGACATTGTTATTCGAAAAAAATATTTTTGCACTATGACTCACTTTACTATTTTATATGATTGTAGATGCTGATATTTTATTGGGTTTATCGGAATTTTACTGCTCGAATTGTGGTTTTAGGATTTGATCATTGCTACCTAGAACGAAAACTAGTATACAGTTGGATATTTGTGGTAATATACATATGATAATATGAATGGAATATTCCGTTCAGCACAATGAAACCTGAAAACACCTTAAGATATAAAATTTATACGTGGGGATTCATGAAAGGTGATACTAATGATGATGATGATTTCGGTAACACTACGCAAGGTTGATATTAGCAGCTGAATAGTTTTGAACTACTGGAAAATGTATGACTGTTTATTCAAGCTAGGCTTAGATAACTGTGATTTAGATTAGCTGCTCAGGGAAGTTGCCAAATCTCTAGATAAATAGATGAAAGACACAAGGGCATATCTGTCTGAGCAAGATTTTCACGTATCAATAGACACATGTGAGTAGAGGGCGACGCAATATACTCTAATCACTAATCACAGAACTGAGAAATTATGCTCTTGCATCACAGCGTAGAGAAAAGGCTGGTTATCTTCAGCACTTACAAGAAACTAATAATTCATCTTCTTTATATAAGGGTATAAGGAATTTGAACATGCAGACTAAGAAGCGTAACCACATACCTGTTAGTTTACGTAACGCAACGCAGATAATTATTTTTTATCTGTTTTTGAAGATAATACTCAGCTCTGTGCTAGTGAAATAGAATTTTATGATAATAAAATACTTGATGAATCGCTCAAATTTGATCTGGTCATGACCACTGAGGAATATATACGTTCGCATTTACTTAAAATAAAATCTAATGCCTGTGGGCATGATGGTATTACGCCTAATATGATAAAACTGTGTCTTCCTGTGATTGGCAAATATTTAACGCATTTGATTAATTCTTGTTTGGAACTTCACTATTTTCCCTCTGCATGGAAGCAAGCAGTAATTGTTCCTTTGGCAAAAACTAATGACCCTTCAGCTTATTCCGACCTGCACCCAATAAGTTTACTTTCGATTCTATCAAAAATATTGGAAAGGATAGTACATGATCAATTGAAAGAGTACTGCTGTGAGAATAACATAATTCCAAAAAACCAGTCTGGCTTCAAAGTAGGGAATAGCACCACCACTGCCCTACTTAAGGTGACTGATGATATTGTTGAGGCTTTGGATCGGGGTCAAGCAGTGGCTCTTGTACTGCTTGACTTCTCCTAGGCTTTTGACACTATCAATCATTCACTCTTGATCTCAAAATGCAAATATATTGGATTTTCTCCTCAAGCATCTATCAAGTTCATTATTACTAGTTATCTCATGAATCGTATGCAAAGGGTACATTTGGACAACTCATATTCGACATATAAGAATGTGATATCAGGGGTCCCTCAAGGCTCTGTTTTAGGACCGCTATTGTTCTCCATTTACATATCAGACATGTGTAAACTGATACGCTCCTCTGAAGTGATGATTTTTGCGCATGATACACAAATATGTAAAACTTTTGATCCAAATGAATGTGTAGCAGCTGTTGACGAGTTGAATTGTGACTTAGCCACTATTGTTAGTTTTTCCAAGCATAGCTCCTTAACGCTAAATGCCTCTAAATCTAAAGCTGTTCTCTTTGCACCAAAAAACAAAATCATTAATATCAGAAATAACAAGACAGTACGCATTAATGACACTTCTTTAGTTTATGAGGATCTTGCAAAATATTTGGGTGCCTAGTTCTCTCAAAAATCAACTACTGCCTTATAGTTTTCTATCCTTACTTAGATCAAGTCTCAATTCGCAGACTTCAACTGATTCAAAATTCGTGCTGTCGCTTCATCTACGGTTTAAGAAAATATGACCATGTTTCACACTGTATTCGTAGTTTAAAATGGTTAGATATTAATAGTTCTTACGAGTAGTTTATCTTGAATTTCATTCATAATCCCGAATACCTCTTCAAAAAATTGTTTTCAGGCAATCTGTTAGAGATCGCATGCTCAGGTATGGCAAATTATTAGATATTCCACGGCACCATACAGCTTTATTTACTCGCTCTTTTAGGCATAATTGTGTCAAATTGTATAACGTGCTACCTGATGCATTCAAAAATTTATCTCAAACTAAATTTAAAGTTTGCGTCAAGCAGCATTTGCTATCAAAAATGACTCTTAGTAGTAATTAAGTAGTAGTTTGTAGTTTAGATTAGTAACCGCCAGAAAAAAATTTATTTGACGTGTTGCTGAATCTGTTTATATTTTCTATATTATGTCTTGCAATATTTTTGTTTTCCTTTGGTTAGCCACTGTATACATATAACTCAAATATCTTTCTTCAACGAAAACGTTTTTAAAAAGATTTATTTTTGAGAAAGACCAAATACAATGATGTTAATTGAATGAGTTCTGAATCGAGACTGACTGCAAAGTTCATTATACAAACCAAAGTAAAGAACAAATGAAATACAATACTGTAACTGATAAGAAAGGAACGTGGAGGCAAAAGTCCTTGTTCAGCATATTCTTCTCTGTAGACTGGTACATAACTCCTCCACCCCTAGAATGAAGCTTCCCCTGGAAGGTGAATTTCTTTCTTCTTATATCTTGAACTGGAATCTTCTCTTCTAGTGCGTTTTGTGGGACTTGGACCTTCTTCTTTCATCTCGGCTAATTCAATGTCGATTTCTAACTTGGATGCTTTCTTGTTTCTCCATCTTCTATATAAGATTATGCAGCAGATGCTTGAAAATACGAGATATAGTAATATGGTCCAAATACTGGGTTTTCCAAAATTTTCTATGGAATTTTCTTCTAAAATTGGTAACATTCGATTAACTTGTAATTCTGGTAAATTTAACGTTTTCAGAGTAATTTGTGTCTCTGGGATATTTTGTTTCATAAAATGGAAATCCATTTTGTCAGCTACGAGGGGCTTTCCATAGGTTTTGTCTTGAAAGATAATTTCATTGTCTTGGAATGATATTTGGCATTCACTGGCTTTGACTAAGAAAATGCCAAGTAATGACTTTGTATCGATTTGCTCCTTGCATTTAATTTTCAATTTTTCTTCGGTGAGAAATACAGCTAAATACTGGTTAATTTCGGGAATAAATTCGATGTGATTTTCTTCAATCTGAAGCTTCGTGTATCTACATGGTTCTGTATGATCTTCTGTAATTATTGACTTCTCGCATTGGGCTTTGTGATTGGCTAATATACGATTAGGGCATTGATAGATTCTACCTTGGGTACAAATCTCGTGCAGGGGTTTGATCTCATTTCGATCAGATTTTAGCAAATACTTATAATTTGGGATAATAGTGACGAATTCTGATTTGTGCATCAGAGTCGGTATAGGTAACATATAATAAAGATCGAAATGTTCAGGATAATCTATAGGAATAGATAGAAAATAACTTATTTGATTCTGATCGATTTTACAGCTGATAGAAATAATAGATTCATAATCTAGCATATTTTCATACTTTACTTCAAATGGTAATTCATTTTTATAAAATGTGGATATCTTACGGAGTTCTTGAAATAATTCTCTAGTCCTTATTATACTGGGATGCATGGTTTTCAATTTGCAAAAAGTTATCGAATTTTCGATATCTTGTAAAATATTCAATATGGCATTATAAAGGATAATTAATTGATTGATAATGTCCTTCGCTGAAAGAATATCCTGGTTTGTTGTCTGGTTCAATAAAATATGTTTCAATTGTAAAATGTTATTTCTTAATGTCATCTCATTGTGCTGTATATCTTGAATAGTCCCGTTAAATTTTGCGACAAGTTCATTGTTTACTGAATATTGCATTCTCAGCTGATTTTGAATATGATGCTGATTTTCTTGTAAATGAGATAAAATTTTATCAATACGTTCTCCATCGTCGGAGTCTAAATTTCCTGTTATTGTTTTTACTACATATCCTATGCCATTAAAAAGTCCTCTCTTATTGCGAGTCTTTTGAGAATGAGATTTAATGTATTCGATTTTCTCTTGAATCAAGCTCCTTATATAAGATACTATCTTATTATAATTTTCTAGCTCGTTATTAATCTTAGAATGGTTTCTATAACTATAGTTAAGATTACTGTATTGAATATTCAAATCTTCATATTCCTTATATAAAGGTGATAGATCATAATAGTGCACAAAAGTATGTTTTGTCTTTTGTAGCCTAGCTGTGCCTAAATTTACTGGCAAAATTCCTAAATTGTTCGTTATGTTTCTTATTTCTGCTCCGCATCCGAAATAGATGAGGTATCTGAAATATTAGTAAATTTAAATTGGTAAGTTTTCTTCCTGGGCCTTTTAATATTGGATAAATGGATATTTTTGGAAGTATTGGCATGTGTGGGATCTATCTCCGCTCTTTTTAATTTCTTATCTATACTAATTAATTTTTCTTGCTTATACTTATTTTTAGTTTTCTGTTGCTTCTGCTTATTCTTAACATATACCTTGTTAGGAATATCAGGCAAAACTTCACGTTTCTCATTTGCTTTATTTATAACTTTTTCTTTATTCTGTAATATCTTTTCATTTAAATTCCTATATACTAATTTCATTTTTTCCTTATGATTCTGTAAATAATTATTTAATAATTGCTTATCTATGTCTATATTA